TGAATGAACTTATAAAAATGTACTTCCTTGTCTATTTATCAGTATGGATCGGTTGAGGGCAATTTTGATGTGTTTCTGACTGTTTTGTCTAGAGTGCGCGTATATATTTACTAATTTCTCATTACTGTACTATATTTTCATTATTACAGCAAAAAAAAAAAATATTTATAAGTAAATAGTTTTGTTATAACAAAAGAGTGAATAGGCTACGCGTTCAAACATAGCCAGACATTACACATAGAAATATGCTTCATATTTAAGGATGAGAAGTCAACTAGTAATATCCATAGCCAATGGTTTAAGGCTTAATGGATTGAATATGGTATCATGTTTGAAACTTACCATATGGTCTAGAAGTGTCTAGAGCTTTTTCATACGGTAAACACTAATTTGCGGAGCGAGCTGGTCTAGTGGTTAGAGCACGGGACTCCGGTCCCTGGGTTCAAATCCCGCCAAATCACACTTAGATTTTATCTAAGTGATAATGCCGCAACCCCTAGGTCTAGCCTGAAGTAATGTGCAAAACAATTCCAAACTCGTGCTTAACGTCCTCGGACAAAAAAACTTTCCTACCATGTTTTCGTTCCCTAACCCAATTTCCCTGTGTGTTTATTCAAGAAATGTTAACTTCTCAGTCTTATGACGAGTTGCGTAAATCCAAAACTAAATTGTGACGGTAAACGTTAATTAGCTTTGAGAAAATTAGCAACCTAAAAAGGAACTTACATTATTGGTAAGATTGTAAGTATTTCCGCCTTGTACAGTACTTGGTGAGCTATTCTTAAAAAACGTGTAAGAATATAATACAAAGACGTAGGGAACATTCGGGAGTGATTCAGGGTTGTTTTGGATTTGTTATCATTATTCAAACAAGCTATGATTAGTACACTCATATATGATAAGGGGCACTGAACCATTGGAAGGAATTTTATCAAACTTTAATTAACTCACTTTAATCAAACTTAATTAACGGTTGGAATTGCCTTATTTACCTTTCTTTAATTTGTAAACTCTGCATTATCATGTTCTGATTATTTAACATTCCGTTTAGTAATTTATTTGTAAAGTTGGTATTTTTTGTTACTGGTCTTATGTATTCGTTTACACATTTAAGTCACAATTCAACGCTAACTGTACAACGATTTCACCAGGCATTCTTGGGGCCCAGCGCGAGCGGGGCTTTTACTACTAAAAAAAGGCAGTACGGTAAAAAAATACCATTTTACAAACATGTGGATTAAAAATATTAGCGTTAAATACTCCTCCCCCCCCCCAAATCACAATATTGAGTTTCATGAGAGGTTTTACTTTTTCTAATGTACATGTATACAGTAGTCATATAATTAAGGAGACCATATTAATTTACAGTCTTGGTATGGTACAGTATTGTGGGTTGAACGTAATCTACTGTAAACATCTGTCTGCACTGTTGTTTATTTGCTTGAGTTACAATTCAATTTTTTCACTGTTAACGCCATAGTAGTCCATAGTAGTTCACTGTATACGTCATGTGCATCTCACGCGATTACAGCAACATCCGTGATGATTTCCTGCGATTTCGATATCATCCGTGGTGATCTCTCATGATCGCGGCAACAGCTGTGATGATAATCTGTGATCGCGGGCACATATCCGTGATGATTTCTCGTGATTTCAGCAAGAATTGTGATCATCTCCAGCGATTATAGCAACGTGCGTAATGATTTCCCATGATCGCGGCAACATCCGCGATGATTTCCGATGATCGCGGCAACATCCGCGATGATTTTCCATTATCGCGGCAACATACGTCTTTTATGATTATCGGGATTGGTTACTTGACATGACAATGCAAAAAGAGGACAAAAGGTGATTATTTTTTAAATTGTTTTGGGATACTCTAAGCTCGGGGCTCTCCGAGGTACCCCCGTGAGGCCGCACCGTTCTCATTATTGTAAGGCCGGCTCTGGATGTCACGCCACTAAACCTCGCCTTAGTGTCAATTGTGGACCTGATACTGCTAACATACAGGATACAACATTCACAGATCCTGCATACAATTACAAATTAGGTGTACGCTACCACCATGAGAATCTTATCTAGTGTTGGGTCGAATAAAACAGAGTAGAAAAAGAGTGAAAATTTAAAAACGTACGTTTTCAGGAAACACACTTTGCAAATTTTTTTCCCCTTTTTTCAAAACTTTTATTATTTTTTGGATTTCATTAACATTTGAAGTTTCATAAAATGTCCATGGTAACGCAATATCTTTGGTAGTTTTTTTTAAAAGAGCATCTTTAGTGGAAAAACACAAAATCCTGTCACGACCATAACAGACGTTTAAATGAATATTAAAAATAGTTAATATTATTTTTATAACTATGTTTTGCTATAAACTAATTTACTTTTATGACCATTATACATTAAAAAGGTCACTGAGCTTTTAGTATATTTGGTCTTTCTAGAAAAAAATAAAAAACTCAAAAAAATTGAAAAAAGCCAATAATATCTTTTTAAGTTTGTATAACACCGAAAAAACTTACCTGAGACCCGAAAAATCGTTATGTTTGCATAGAGGCGTGCTTCTTTTGTGTATAAAACATTGAAATATGACGATATTTTAATTTTTGAAATTTTTATGACAGAAATCATAAACGTGATGGTCAGGGACAAGCGGTACGGTCGTGAATTTTATAAAAAATCTAAATCTTTCTAAACAATCCTTTAATTATACTATTAGTTATAATAAAAATATGTGTTTCAATTGAACTAAACTGTTCAAATTACAATTATATTAAAGTTATAGTCACGACCAAACACACTATAATCCATAAGGCTGGATAGGTCGTGAAAAAACCCGCGATGGTCGTGAAACTTTGGTCGTGAAATTACGTGTTATTTGGCTCTGTTCTGGCGGTAGCTCTGCACCTCATGTTCGAGGATACAAAGTGGACTTCTAGGTTAATCTAGCAATTGAAATATCTTATAAACAAAAATTAACACCATGTCTACTTCATCGAATGACTATGTACGGTCATGGACACACCAAAATTACAAAAAACACAACCTTTCCTGTATTAATCTTGTAATTCCTCCTTTCAACTCGAAACGACCGGCACTACAATCCTGACGTACACCCCGAACTAGTCTCTAAAACCAACTGACTCCATCAACGCGAGGCTTGCCACTGTCGTGCTCCAAAGTTGAAAAATTTTCCCAAATGGTCGTGACGCTAAATCGAGGGACAGACTTATTATGTCATGGTAGTCAGTTTGCAATGACAATAAAATGATAATATGCTCCTTTTTTGTAAGTTTAATAACCATTGATGACATAAAAATATGGCTTTATATATTGCTGCATGAATAATTAGTCTAAAAACAGCGTGAAAGTTGGAAAATGTACCCTAGGGACACGTCATGGTCGTGAATTTCGAGACTTTAAAAATACGAAAAAAATACCTAGAACCTATTTAAAACCAAATAAATGTGTGTAACATGTTGCCCCCATCCCAAAAAATATTAAAACACATAATAATAAACTACAAATCCAGTAGCTACGAAGTAAAATGCCAGGGACATGAAAACGTACGTTTTTAAATTTTCACTCAAAACCGCACACAGGATCCACGGCATCGGAACCTCACTGGAGGATCCTTGCTTCACCAGACACCGGGATGATGACACTACGGAGTGAGGAACTGCGCAGAGTCGTCCAGCGTAAATAGCAGGGAAATTAACAAAACAAAGATTGTTTGCTATAGCTGCATAGTGCTGTTAAGGGAATTTGTAAGAGGATTTATTTTCAACAATTTGTATTTTCAAAGAGAGCTGGCTTTTGTCACACAATATCATTTATTTAAAAAATCAATTCAATGTCTTATTTTTTTATGGGCAAAATATCACATTTAACTCGCTGCTCATGGAGAGTAATTGGTTATGCCTTGGTTGATCTGGTTTACCTCTAAGAGGTTAACTGACTCAATAAACCCTGTAGTTACTCACCCAAGTATGTCTTTGGAGCTGATGAGCTGGAACAATACCTGAGTGCAGATGATAGTGGTGGCATTGGAACACCTCACTCAATTAGTCCCTGCAGACACAGCCATTATTGACCTCCCAATGATATACTTTAGAACAACTTGTAAAATGTGCAAGATTAAAAAACAATCTATATCTCAAAAGCATATCTTTGGTGTAGACAGACCAAAAACCAAAGTACTTTTTCAGCCTGTTTTTCTAATATGCAGAAATAACATTATTAGATTTCTAGGTAGTAAAAAATGTCTCTGTCACCCCAAACAATTCAGAAAAAACGTTATTATATCTTTAGTACATGGGCAACAACCTTTAAAAAACATTGAGGCCAAGGGGCCTTAATATGATTAATATAGAGGGTATGGGCTGAGTAATTACATATTTTGTCCAGTTTGATATTTTTAAATGGCAGCTAACTACTAAAAAAACTTGTTAAAACCACTTTTTAAATAACCAATAATGACTTGATTATATTTTTGTAAAAATTATAGATTTGTTACAAATTTGCGGGTAATGATTTGGTCCCAATGGTCTCATGATTTTTGGGGCTCTTCAGTAAACACTGGGAGATTAAGACAGAGGCGGCCCTACATATAGGCGAACAAGGCGGTGCCTGGGGCCCACGCTTTTCAGGGGCCCCGCACAGCCGTATTTCAGGTATTAAGAGAGGCCCGCTATTGAGCTTCGCCTTGGGCTCTGCTATCTCTAGGGCAGCCACTGGATCGAGGCTCTTGGGCCCCACTGAATCAGTGCCCATGGTAAGTACTCATATCTAGAAAATAATGGATAGGCCCCTTAGGTACAAAAAGCTGAATGCAACTACACTCCAAAAATTCCTATACACTCACAGTACCGGTAACTTATTTGTTTACCTTAATTGGTCATTCACACTTATAAAACAAAAAGTTAGTGAAGATGAGTAGGGCAGTGTGATAAGGTAATAATTAAACTAGGAACGTTTGGTAACAAAAGAAAGCTATAGAATAAATATTTCAACACTTTATTCAAAAAAATAGTAGTAGGAAACAATTGGGTATCTCAACAGACATAATATAAAATGTACATAGATAAAAATGTACAAAAATATAATTCAACATGACAGCACAACAGGGCACCGGGAAAGTATAAAACTACGGCCTGGTTAATTTTACAAACTGCAATTTCCAACTTTTGACAAGATATGAATAAAACATATGTTTCCTGTATATTTCACAGTTATACAGTACTTTGAAATTTAACTGAAAGCCTAAAAAGTAGCAGAGACTTCTTGGCAAAATATAAATAAATTTCAAAACTATTTAGGATCTATGGTTTCATCTTTTTTTGTGGAGCCAACCCAGTAGTAGAACAAAGAGTAGTCAAGAAACAATGCGCCCGAAGGTCATTATTAAATCTTAGACAGAGTACCTAACTAACAAACATAAATGTAGCTAAGGAGGGAGGTAAATGGGGCAAAACCCCTAGTAGGCACCAAACTAACACAAAGAGAAAACACGTTTACAATTGAATTGATAATGGACATTAAATGTACGGACAAATTACATTCAACAAGACAACATAGTGAGACTCTTGGAAAACTGAATTTTCTTTCATTTGAGAAATTTAAATCTGTAACATTTAAAAAGGTATATCCATAAAAATATTTTTCAGAAATAAACTGTAAAAGATTCAAGGGCTAATAGATGCTTAAAAATAGATGTAAAATACACATCCTTAATAGTTAAGACTAAGAGAGCTTCGATTTAATTTCTAATAGGAGAAAATATCAGTGTTATGTAGTGACCTTTTTGTGAATCTATTAGCACCTAGACTGTGTTTTCTCATTTAAGATAGCTAATCTCTATTACTTTTCAAAAAGTTCCTAAAATGTTTCAAGCTCTCTGAGTGGTAATTTGTAAACATAAAGAGTAGTCCAAGTTGGACAGAAAAGCCTCAAGGCCAAATTGCAACAGATCTAGATTCCTTAAGGTTTTTGTCATATAAGTTTGAGATCATTCCTCCAAGCTATTGTACTATTAAAGAACACAGATGATAGTTGTTTAGCCCTGCAATCGAAAACATTCATTTTAAGTTAAACAAGAATTTGTCCGTGGTGCATATTTTTATCCTAACATTTTCTTTTCATGAGCATTATCTTCTCAAATGCATCTTGCTTCCAGGTGTGTTGTGTGTTATTCCACTTTAAATACTACAAAAAATCAAAATGTATAAAATGCTTACTCTAAAAATTGACCAAAAGGGGTCAAATACTTTCTCAAGCGAGGCTTGATGAGTCAAATATTTGATCAAAATATGACAGAAGCCTGTCATGGTTACATGGTAAAAACATATAAACAAAATATCAATGGGCTTAATGTTTCTAGCTCCAATTATGAAAAGTATCCAAACAAATCTTTTGACTCACTTTAAATAATAAATTTCAAAAATAAGATGCCTATGTAGTGTAAGCAATAAGCATTGACAAATGTTACAATCAATCAAAAAGCATTTACGATAAAAGTCAAGTTAAGGAATGGGGTTCCATGAAAAGAAAACATCTCCCAAACATGAATTTCACAGTAAACAAGGGGCTTGCAGTAAACTTAAAATAAAAATGTATAAAATACTTATAAAATAACTTAAATAAGCTTAAACAAAGGTAAGGCTTTCTGAAAAATGATTCTACACTAAAATATTAAAACATTCTTAACTAAAGTAACAAAACATCTATACTTTGTTTCCCTTCAGTAGTTCACCTTTCACTAGTCTGAATAAAAAGCCTAGTCTGTCAAAATCAACCCAAAGAGGTCAAAGCAATTCAATTCAAAGTGATTTTCACATCGACCAGATCTTAATGAGACCAGAAACAATTAATTAATGGTAAACATGAAACAAAGTACAATCAAAACAGCCCTTCTGGAGTAATACTCATTAAGTGTTAAATATGTTTTTAAACTAGCCTATGTGATCACAATCAGTCTTTGAACTTGAATATCACAGTAGAAACCTTACCTAAGAGCACATTTGGCATTTTTGTACATAGATAGTATGGCTATACATGGTTCAAATTAAATAAACAGTTATGTCTCCTCTTAAACTGTACAAACTGAATACTGGATTTTCAGATATTTTTACAGGTAAGCAAATAGGTTATGTATTAGCCTAATCTTAGTAAATTGGCCATATTTGTGTGATTCGATAAAACCAAGAAAAAATTACCTATCGACAGAAAAATTAAAATAATGTATTGTTAAGTTTCCTTAAGTGTTTGATCGTGTTAGAATTGATGTCTTGAATCTTTTTCAATCAGAGATTTGTTCAGTAGTTCAGGAACTTTCTTGGTCCAGGGATCTTTGATGTATTGCTTGGCCAAGATTAAGGTTATGAAGAGGCTAACGGTTCCATCTATCTCCTAGAAAACACAGATTGTTCATAACTTATGTTAAATATATCAATATTTAGTGAGAAAACTGATACTTCCACCCGAAAGTTTGAGCCAGCTGCCAAAAAAACTCACCTTAAACGTAAAATTAAATTTTAGAATAATTACAGCCTCTTTCACATAACTGAACATCAAACATGTTCCATTTTGTGGATGTTTACATTTGTATTCTTCTGAATTCTATCATTTTCCTTGTGTTTAAGAAATGTATACAAAACATAAAAATAAATTTTTGACACACACTTAATTCAAAGTGATTCCAATCAAAACACAACAAAAATACATTTAAAATATCTGCATTACAAAAGTATCAACTTTTGTTATACATTTTTTAAGAAATATTACGAGTAATTTTGAATCTAAATTCAAGTTTAGAACTGTTTGTATTGTATTTCACAATTGTTGATGTACGATATGATAAAATATAGCTTATATACACTATATTTACATTTGGCACGAAAAAGTTAAACTTTCCTGATCCTATACAATAAAGAGCTCACATCTTTTTCCAGTAATAAAATTCCATTAATATTTTCCCCACCCCCTCTTTTTAGCTATGTTGGGGTAGCAGATAGACGTGGAAAGTCACAAAATTAGATGGCTATTTGTATATAATCAACATATTTTGAAGAAAAATATCAAATTTATAATATTATATGAAACAAAAAGACATAAAAATACTTAAACTTCATATTTCAAATCAAAATTAAATTTTCTTCATTCATTATGTACACATAGAGTACAGAGTGGCGTCAACAAGTGCTATTATAAACTAGTAAGTACAAGTATATATAATAAAATAATAAATTAAAATTGTAATCACTGTAAGAAATCAAATTAACTGTTACAGAGAACATATGCTCAACAAAATTCATTAAAACTGTACAAAGGTTTAACAATAATAAATGACTTCAATTTCTTGTTTAAGGACCCTAAATCAGTTATAAATTTTATGTTTTCTGGTAATGAGTTATAAAATTTGATGCCTGAATAGTGAATATGTTGGCTTCTTCTCATAAAACGTTAGCTTATGTCTATTAAAACAAAAATTATTCTTATTCCTAGTTTCATATCTGTGGTTAAAACCTAGCATCAGTTTCAAAGTAGGTAAGAAAGATAAAAGTTGGATAGCTGACCTTTTACTTTTTGTCGGCTTTTTTTGGCGGCTTTTTTGGACTTTCTGGGAGTGCTTGGGCAACATCTTGTCTTTCATATTCAGCATAATCTAAAGTGAAGAAAAAAGATGTTAAAACAAAATATGTTTTTCTAAAAAACGTTAGATGTAAATGCAGTCCCAAGACTGGAAAGTAGAGACCTTGCTGCATTTAATAAAATAACTTTCCTGACCAAAATTCTGCTTGTGAAGTAATCAGCAATATATTTTTTCGTAGTATGACGAAAAGTGTAGTCCATGTTCACAGGTTAAAATCAAATTTGTTTCACCACGTCCATTAAACTTGAACCCAAAACGCAGAGTAACTTTTGGTTATAGTGATTAAATATACAATTAAATTTTTTAAACGGACACAGCTGATTCGCCTTTAATGTTATTTAGCCAAGGTTGATGATGATGGACGCAGTAAAGTTAAACTAGATTTGGTTCTTCAAGGACCTTTATCAGTGATATATTAAATGAGATTCAACATATCAATGTACACCATAAAGGTGCTAATATGAGTATTATTAGCCCAAAGAATTGTGGATATTTATAGGCATGCACTGTGGATGCGATACTCCCTGGTGTGGATTAACGTCCGCACGAGTGAGTACTACGACTATCCGCAGTACTATCCTGATAGTTAGACCAATTCGTATATACCAAGGAAAAATGTGGTTCGGATTCCACTATAAACTGTAGGTCCCTTAGTTGCCATTAGCTGTATGGGCCATTAATTAACAGCTGTGTCTAAGGAATGTCGGCCTTAGTCACTAACAAGACTACAAGATCGCGCCACTCATCCTACACTCATCTCCATTCATACTTGGCTTAAAATACCTACTATGTATGGTCGCCGTTTCATTGAACAGTATTAACAGTATTAACCCGTTTACTCTATTTTTGATAACCTAAAAATCAATGACTTGTTTTTTAAACCAAAAAAATACAACTGTTTATGTTTGCAAGATTTATTTTACACATTATCTCTTTGCAAATGGTGCTTCTTCTTGATATTTTTCCTTAACAAGTTTTACGAGTGATAAATTCAACAATCCACGGAAATTAAATGTAGTTTGTAGGAATAAGTCTATGGAAAATATTATTATACCTAGCTCCCTCTGTGTTAAATTTTGGGTTCCTCTTCTCATCAGACCAGCACCTCTGTGAGAGTTACCTGGAAGGCAGATCACACTTCTTAGATCACCAAGTCTTAAAAATGTGACGGTCTAGCATTTATTAGGAATACATTTAGAATACTATGAATACCAGCCCGACAAGTTTTGGATAATTTCAGCCATTGCTACTAATATCGGCAATTGGGCAATGGAAACTTGTTGCAACTCCACTGCCAGCATAATGTTGCAATTTAATAGGGTATTTATCGAGTGTCACAAAGTATTGGATACATCGATTGCTTCATCGCGTTCGATGGTTTGGTCGTGGCACGGTGTGGCCTAATTGTTCTGCTGACAAGAGGTGTCATCATTCCGAGTGAAATGTATGACCCTCAAACTGAGAGACGGGGGCAGTCAGTCGGGTTAAAAGAGTCTGTGAGTCGGGGTTTTGCACTATCTTTCCCTCCGCCGCGGTTGTCCACAGGGTAGACATGTTCCCGTTTCAAATCTTTTTATGTACAGTAGACCCTCTCTAATCCGGCACTTCGCCACTCCGGCACTTCGCCACTCTGGCACTCCAGTAATCCGGCGTCTTTTGGCAGGTGAAGTCTTCCGCGATCGCAGCAAAATTCTAATTATCTCCCACGGCCGAGTAGGCATCATCATCAACTCCCGCGGTCATGGACACGTCATCGTCGTCTTGTGAGATTGCGGCAAAATCATGAACATCTGCCGTGGTCACGATAACTCACGACCTGGTGATAATAAGTTAATGGTGATAACTACGACATTTTAATTGAAAAGCTAGGCAAAATTGGAGTTATAGGAAAAGAGCAACTGTGGTTTTCTTCCTATTTAACTAATAGATATCAGAGAACTAAAATCAGCAAAAATGGTCAACAAGTAAATTCATCTTGGGATAAAGTGCAATGTGGTGTGCCACAGGGGTCAATATTGGGTCCCTCTTTGTTTTTAATCTATGTAAATGATCTGCCAAATATAACAAAGATGAAACTTTTTCAATATGCAGATGACACAATGCTTTTGTGTAGAGGACCCAGTATTGACGTCCTGCAGACTAGCATAGACCAAGAATTCTATGCTCTGGGTAACTGGTTCCGGGCAAATGGTCTGGCCCTTAATGTGGAAAAAACACAAATTATAAACTTTTCAGCTAACTACAGGGAAGATGATTCAAATCACATTATCCTTTCAAATTATCAATTATCTCCACAACAAAATGTAAAATTCCTCGGATAAATTTTGAATAAAAATCTTAACTGGGCATCTCAAATTGAAAATTTAAGTAAAAAACTGGACCCTTGCATTTTCTCAATAAGAATAATCTCACAAGTAACGAATCTAGAAACCCAGCTAATAATATATCATGCATATTTCTCATCATTAATGACATATGGTATCTTGATCTGGGGTAATTCTCCTTATTCAAAAAAGATTTTTAAATTACAAAAAAAAGTAATACGAATTATTGGCAAAGTTCCCCCTAGTAAAAAACTGTTTCAAAGCTTTAAAGTTCTTACTTTTTACGATCACTATATTTTGGAAATAGCATGCTGGGTCCATAGTAACCTCTCCACTTTTATGGAGAACCAAACTCAACATAATTACAATACAAGAAAAAAGAATATTATCAAACCTGTAGCTCATAATTTACAAATATTTGAGTCATCACCACAATACATTGGTCCAAAAATCTTAAATAACTTACCAACAAGTTTAGTTACTCTAGAAAATCCCTATAAGTTTAGACTTTCTTTAAAAGAATGGCTCAAGACTATATCTTTTTTTCATTGGCAGATTATTTTAAGGACTGCTGGAATTAGCTATAAATAAACCTTCCCACTCCTTCAAGCTCAATTTTTTGTCATGTAACAATGTTGTATTTTGGGAAGATTCAGTTGATTTTGTATAAATACAGATGTATTAGTTTTATCTATTAGTTTTAAGTCTTTATTTAACCATTGACAATATGTCCTGTTATTATGATGTACTGACATGTAACTCAATAAATAAATAAATAAAATAACGTCATCGATGTCTTGAGCAATCACAGCAAAGTCATGAACATCTCCCACAGCCGTTTAGACTTTATCATCGCCTCCCACCGTCACGGAAACGTCATCGTCGCCTTACGCAATCGCGGCAAAATCATGAACATTTCCTGTGGCCGTTTAGACATTATCATTGCCTCCCGCGGTCACGGAAACGTTGTCGTTGTCTTGCGCGTTTGTGGCAAAATCATGAACATCTCCCGCAGCCATTTAGACATTATCGTTGTCTTCCGCGATCACGAAAAATTATGAACATCTCTCGCGGCCGTTTAGACGTTATCATCGCCTCCCGCGGTCACGGAAACGTCATCATCGCCTGCCACGGTCACGGAAACGTCATCATCGTCATGCCCGATCGTGAAAATTGCGGTTTCTGTTCCTGCAATCCTCGGAGACGTGTTTTAAGTGCTAAAATACTCTTGTTGCAGTGTATATTGATAACATTCCAGTGATCCGGCAGTATCATGGTCTTTTATCTGCCGGATTACTGAGAGTCTACTGTATTCACAATTGATTGTAACCCATTCAATCCCCCCCCCCATTCAGAACCCAAATCAACTTTGTTAATTTAAAATGATAAACCAAGTGTTAAAATCTTAACTCAGCCTTCGATCATTTAGTTTTTACCCTTCCGTTGCATGGTCATCACAGAAATAAATTACAACTGATTCTTCCATACACAAAGAAATCATAAAAGGAGGTTTTAGTTCAATATCAGCTTGAAATGTTATCATTAGGGAATGAAAATGTGCTTTATCCAATAGAATTCAGTCAGTAAAAGCAAAGATAAAAAAAAACTAAGCACAATTTGTTTGTGCTAGGACTCTAGGCTCTATCCCGTGATGGTTTTTCACATTACTTTAGACCATGCCTAGGGGTTGCGGCATTATCACTTTATGATCCATTAGTGATCTGGTGGGATTTGAGCCTGGGACTTCAGGGAATTCCAATAAACCAGCTCGCTCTTGATCGAGCACATCAATAAATACATCTTCTTACCTAGATTTTGCCCATTCTGGCCGCCTCCCCTCCATTGGCCCTGGAACCCTGCAAAATAAAACACATCATTGGCAAATGTGTAAAATATCTGTTATTTCATTTGTTATTTTGTTAGAGTGTATTACGACTAAAATTCTCTAGTGATCGTACCATGATATATTATATGAATTATCTAGGAATATCCACAAACAACACAGCTAAAGTATATAATTTAATTGCTATTCTATTGTAGGAGATTAGTCAAATATCAGATAGCTTTAAGTGTTGTTGACATGATGATGACCAGGTTATAGAATAGTTCAGATTTTTTCAAAGTAAAATCTTACACTGGGGGTTATTTGGGTCCCTTTCCCTCCATTGGCCATGGGACTTGAACCCTGCACAATATACTGATTATTAATTTGCTTCTAAAAAAATCTAGCAAATTTAGTTATAGCATGTAAAGAAGCTTAATTGGTCTATTTTCATTTTTGGTAGTAGAAACCATGTATCAGTTTTTACTTCCAGCAACTTAAGTTTGTTTGTTAATGAACTGGTAGAACTAACTCGTAGACATTGTAAATAAATACAAAGGAAATTATTATTTATTAGAATATTAAAAAGTCAAATCTTTTAATACAATTTGTTCTTAAAATATTGTTGGACATAAATCTAAGAAAATAAAACTCACTATTTATTAACCTAAATTAATTAAATGATGTTAATTATGTTACAAGACTGATAACTTACTAAAAGCACATTGATGTATGAAAGAAAATTGTCATTGGAATTTTATTTAGCCTATCAACTAAATAAAAATAAGCTGGGGTGGCTGCCCCGTTTGCTTTGCCCTCGAAGCGGCCCTGCTTCGTTTGATAAATAATTAAAGTATTTTATTATTCTCCTATCTGGTTATTCACCTTCTTATATAAAATGCTTTGTGACGCCTACATAGTATATATTACAAAGGTTTGGACAGGTAAATTGTACTTTTATAATATTGGCAAAGTTTAAGTTGCCAGTTTTTAGAAAACCAGAAAGAGTCGGTTTTCAATTCATTTTGTATATAAAATAAATTTGGCACGATTAGAGGAGACGGTACTCAGCTATTGCGGAGGATGTAGAAGATTTTGGCCACCATTGCATGAGACGACAATGATATCTTCACGACCTCCCACAATATAGCCAAGCTTGTGGAAGACATGGTGATAACATTAGTAATTCATTTGGTAGTTAATTTGTAGGAATAAGTCTATGAAATATATTATTGTACCTCGCCCTCTCTGTGTTGTGTGTGTAGGGTTTGTTCCTCCTCTCCTTGGACCACCACCTCTGCGAAAGTTCCCTGGAAGGTAGATGACACTTTTCTTAGATCACCAAGTTAAAAATAACAAAATGAATATTTCAGAAGTCTTCACCTTGAAAAGGGTCATTGGATTTTGTGGAGTTGAATGCCTCCTTTACAATCATCATCATAAAATAAATAAACAAATATATCTTTACTGTCACATAACGTTTAGCATCCAAACAAAGCTCAAGTTTTCTTGAAAATAATAATATTTTGGCTAGTGAACAATTTGCTTTTAGAAAGGGTTTAAGCACGATGAAAGCTTTATATGATTTCATTTGTTTCGTGGGCTTTGGATGGGTCACATAGAACAAAGAGAGTTTTGTGACCTTTTTGGCAATTTGACTGTGTCAACCATGATATCCTTTTGAAAAAGCTAAATATTTATAACTTTTCAAAACATCTGTCTTTTAGTTGACTTCATACTTAACAAACAGTTTTCAAAGAACAATAATTTTTTAAATGATGAAAAATCAATATCAGAATGGGAAAAGATTACAGTTGGTGTTCCTCAAGACTCAATTCTTGGACCTTTACTCTTTATTTTGTATATAAATGACTTAATTAAAAATGTCTCCAACAACCTTATTTTATATGCTGACGATACAACTGCAGTTGTCAAATGTAAAAATGATTCATAATTATCGGAACTGGAACAGTGGTTCAACATTAATGGTCTAAAAACGAATCAAGATAAAACCCAATTGGTAAAGGTTTGTACTGCTCAGGCAAAAGAGTTTATAGACCAAAATTTAGCTGTTCACGATGATGCAAACTTTTTCGGTTTGTTTACGTAGATTTGCACCATGGAGAACATCATGTAAGCCAATTTTTAAAGAATTAGGAGTAATGACTGTTCTGAGTTTAACAATGTTTAAAACCCTTTTGATGATGGAAGGAAATTTTGAAAAATTATTAGGGATGTGCGAATATTTGAAATTTTGAATAGATGAAGAAATACTTCTGTATTCGCGCCCGACTCGATCTTAATGAGTATATTCGAACATTCGAATAGTAAACAAACCTAGAAATAATCTCTAATTCCAACCAAATAAATCATGGTATTGTGTTGTTTTATTTCATCCCAACATTTTATGCTTCTTATTTTTAAGTCACGACGGCAACTTCAGCATATTATTACATCTTCCTTAACTCTAAAGTCTACATGACCATTTTCAAGGAATTTTGTTGTGTCATTATTAAAGTTACTCTGTCCAGCTGCCTAGTTTACAATGCTCTAATACGATAGGCTTACTGCAACGTACTAGCATGGAAACACTAGACTGTCAACAATTCTTATTTGATTAATTAACAATATCCTATATTTGGCAGCAATTTAGTTTGTATTAATTTATCAGACAGATCTATTTGTATAACTTTTAAATACATTCTCTTAGCTTAGTTAATATTAGGATCAACTTTTTGTAACGTGAACTTAAAGTAAAGTAGAATGACGAAGTCGTCTGAAAGTGTTGTCTGAGTAGCAACTAGCAAGCTACGAGGTTAGAACTACACTTCACAGTCTTTGGCATAGATTAAACATACTACTTAACAAGACACAAACTACTGTGAATTAATTTCTATGAAAATAATCAGCAACATTTTTCTATTTTTCAACAGAGAAATATCTTTTTCCTACAGTTACCTAACAATGTACATCTTCTCTCACTGATTTGAGAAAGCAAAGTGGCCAATTCGCTCATCAGTGAGACAATGTTAACATTGTCTCACTCTAATTACTTTGTCTCACTCCAGATTTGCAACGTGGAGGCACGAAACAGTGAGCGCGTAACATGCAGGCAACGTCGTATGCGCGCGAAATACGTTGGCAGCACTGGCTGTAAATCAGCTGGTCAGCTGTTGTACTGTTGTATTTGTCACTTCACATTAAATGTTATATTAAAAGTTCACTTCTGTGTAAAAATAGGTTATGTTTGTTCATGTTTCTTCACAAATGTTTTTGTTTTATGGTAACTGTAGGAAAAGTATAATGTGCAACTCGAGTGCAAAGTGCAATTGCCTCACTCGAGAAACCATTCCTCACTCGCCTACGGCTCGTGAGTAAGGATTTCTCTTGAGTGAGTCAATTGCTCACTTTTCTCACTAGTTGCACAAATAACTATTTTTAACTCTACTTTCTTGTTTTGTTACACAATTTTGTCTGCAATAGGAGCGTTGTATTGCAAACGGGAGGTGTAAGAGGGGAGGGTCTTTGACCTTGAGAATACCCGAGCTCTACTGGAGACAATGATCAATGGTTTGTTTACATCCTACTGCCCTTCCTTCCGAGAAAAGACCATGTAGTTTCAAAAACATTGACTTGCAGTTTAAAAACATGACTGGTTTTTCTGCATTTAATTTTACTTATTTTCCTGGAAAGGTCCCCAGCACCGCGGTCAATCCAATTACGTTAATGGGGGTTGTGTAATATAATTCGTTAACATGAAATAACAGTTTGTTAAGTTCAGACATAAACTTTTTTGCTACAATACTTCGATATTGATATTATTATAGACTATTTCTCCAGTCTTTCATTGTCGTCTGTTAAATGGTTGGTAAATGCTGGCAACTATGACTGTCTTTGTTTGTACTGAATGCATTTATATGTTTTTAAAAGTTTAAATTAGTTCCCATGGTCCGATTATGCTGGATCGCGAACTCGTTCGAATAAACGTAGGTTTACACGTTTGTACCAAATTTCATAAAAATCGGATCATTTTTGCTCGAGTTATCGCACTAACGGACACACATATATATATGTATATATTATATACATATATATATATATGAATTTAAATGGATGGGGTTTTTGGCCTCTAGGGACCTCAAAATGAAAAATTAAATCGGTCCCGGGTCCAGGTCTTACCATGAGTAGGCCTACTACGGTAATAGCTTTAGGGGAAATTCGCTAATAGGTTCAGCCTTTTATCTTAACGGTTTTTTTCTTGACATAATCATGTTCGGGGTCAAAGGTTTTGATAATGTGAGATACTGTAATTGTTGTTAGAAAACCATAAATGTAGGAAATTATTCAGTTTTATAGTAATGTCAATGAAATCAAATGAGAAAAATACTGGAAGCCCTGCACCGTACCCATTTTGTACCAAGAACAAATAGGTAAGGGCAAAAATAGATTTTTTTAAATGTTATATTGGTTAAAATCAGGATTATTAACCTTAGTAGAGTTCCAAAGCTGTGATTGGAAAACTCTTTGGAGTCTATAATAATAACATAAATATTTGCTCGGTAATATTCGATATTTGAAAATATTATGAAGTATTCGATTCGATTCGAACCCAAAAATTACTATTCGCACACCCCTAAAAATTATACCGAAAAGATCAAAAGTCGCACAACATCTGTTACAAAACGGCCACTTGATAGGAAAAATGGAGGATACTGTACCTATTTTAAAGAATTGTAAGAAAGGATGTGTAATGAATGCTTGGGAAGAATTTTATATTTATAAGGAAAAATGTAAAAATAGAAATTAGCTGATTTAGCTGAACAAGTAAATTTCGACTCCAATTGTACTTATAAAAATGTATTGGCCGGTGCTTCCGGTAACCAATAGGATATAAATAGGGACACCATTCAAGATTCTTGTCATTCGCCAATTGGATCTGATAATGATTGGAGTGTCCAATCAAAATCGATCTCCACTTACCATCTTTTTTGTATATTTACCGTCTTGTGAGTAACAGTAACCGTCTAGTTAGTAACAGTATAATCGTAAAAATATTTTTTAAGTGTTATAAGACGTTTCCTAAATTTTTTAACTGATACATTTTGTTTAAACAACTTTTATTTTTATAGTTTTGGTTTATTTTAGTCTTTTATAACTCCTTAGGTATTTGTATTTTGGAGACGTAGGAATTGGCTAACTCAGGAACTCGCTAACTCGGTCGTGTGTCGGAACTGGCTAACTCTGGAACTGGCTAACCGTCTCAGACAGGAATTGGCTAACTCCGGAACCCGCTAACTCGATTATGTCACGCGGCGGAATTCGCTAACTCTGGAAGTCGCTAACCCGGCCGCGCCCACTGCACGGAGCGTTGCCAACCTTGTACGACGAAATAATTGTATTTCAAAATGTCAGTGTCAATAAAGATACAGTAAATGTTATTGTTTTTTGTTATCAATTCCACTTTTAACAGCTACCTAGCCCAAAGTAATTAAAAAACAATTAAAAAAATCATTAATAATTGTTTTTTTTTCATTTTACTGTACAACGGCCAATTAAATGTTTATGATTTCGATCTTAAATATAAATGCCAGTATTATAGGAAAAAATAGAATATGAAAAATTATTGATTATCCAGTAGTACCAATTAAACTTCCATGAAATTAAGCTATAATACACGCAAGTTCTCAAACACGGAAAACAAATTTCATCGTGATGTCGTAATAAACCAAAACCACTTTCATAACTAATTCATAAATTTAAAATTAAAGGTTCGTCGTTGAATCGTCCAACATCCGTGAAAAAATATGACATAGGCTACGTTTCATAACCATTTATAGAATAGCTGTAAATCTAGACCTAATAGTTTAAACCAACGCATTGTATTGTTCGCATTGTATTGCATTGCCTACTAGTAAAAGCTAGTTGCCTAATTATTTCAAACATTTGTTGAATTATTGAGTAATAATGTTACATGTTTTAATAACAGTTTTTAGATGATAAACCTAAGCCCCACTAGTAAATAATAGAAGAATATATAATATTCTTATATTAAAACGTGACAGGCTTATTTTATTTCACGATTCTTAATCGACGACTTGACGGATATTCCTGATTTTAGTGTTAAGTTTCCTTTATATTACTTTTACAATCGAAATATACTAGATCAAGCCATTGCCCGGTTCCTTGTTCCCCTATACTGAGCTACTCAATAGACAATAGCTTTGTTGTTGGATAAGATCGGCTAATTTTAGCTATGGCCACCATTCATCAAAATGATAGCAAACAAGAACGCCTGGGTCCATTTAGAACCATAAAAACTCCAGACTTCTCAAAAGTAATGAAAGACGTAAAATTAATATTAATCAAACAAAATTAAGATGATGACCCGTTCTACACTAATAGCCTACGATAACAGAAATTTACAAATTGTATTTTTGCATAGACTATTTTTTTTAATATAATCCATCAATACATTACCACTTTATAATGTACTGATTAATACTAATTTATATTCAATAGCTCTATTTAATAATATATTTAACACTACTAAAATGTATTTCTGTAATGACGTTTAACGTGTAAATTTTATCGGGAAGTTAATCCTCAAAATTCAAGGTCCTTAAAGTCTACGGCAATTACTGGAGCTTTTTTACAATGTCTAATTGTTGGTTGCCTCGAATAGGATAGACTATTACATTACTGCTTCAATTTTGGTTAATAGATCATATGTTTCCTAACATCATAATGTAACAACATTTAAATTAACTAGGTGTTACCCACGGGCTTCAACCCGTTTGACTTCATAAGTATTAATAAAACTATTGATTGGTTAAGTTAAGCTGAAATAAACAAAACAGATTACAGCATTACAAACAATAACATACAAATAAGAACAGCTGAGGTATTTTTAACATAAGGAAAGTTCCCTTTGGGAAGCAATTATGACCTTAAAGGGCATTTATGAAAAAATGGACAATTTTGCGCAAGGTTTCTCGTCATGACGAACATTTTAAGTATATGGTTTATGGGGGTGTGACTTATAGTTTTCTCAAAAGTTCATGGGTACTTTTGGCTGTATATAGGGTGTCCCACGAAGGGGTTTAAACGTTTGATTTTATATTACCTGACCATTCATGCACCGAACTTTTTTAAACTTTACACAGTTTACAAAGTAGGTTCTAAAAATATTCTGGAAAAATTTCAACTCCATAACCTTAGTAGAAACAAAATGGCGGCATATTGAAAAATGTACCAATTTGCTTTCTATAAAAATTACTTTCATGATTTATTATCTGATTTGTTTACTACGTTGCGGTTCTAACGCTCATTGTTGAAGAACAGCTGTTTGATTGTAAAATGAGTTGTAAATGAACAGGTTCTACGGTACCAGAAATGAATCAAGCAATCTTTCAACAAGATGGTGCACCATCTCATTTCGCAAATCCTGTCAAGCAATTACTAAATGGCAACCTTCATGGCCGTTGGATTGGTCGTGGAAATGATTTTTTTAGATTGGCCACCCCAATCACCTGATTTAACTGTTTGCGACAGCTTTTTATGGGGTTTCTTGAAGGAACAAGTTTATACCCATAGCTTCAATAATGATGAGGAACTAAAACGATCAATAGAAGAGGAACTTCTCCGAATACTGCAGGGTTTTTTTTAAGAGCTTACGAATAAATTGTTACGCACCGTTATCAACTGTGTTGCTGTGTATGGGTTACAGTTTGAATAATTTTGGACATTAAGGTTTTCCATTAGGCTATGTTCTAGTTTTTTTTTTATTTCAGTCATGCCCTAGAAAGTAACAATAAAATTATTTTATAAAACCAAAAATACCTTCTTTAATGTTTTTAAAGCATCGTTTTTCAATATGCCGCCATTTTGTTTCTACTAAGGTTAGGGAGTTGAAATTTTTCCAGAATATTTTTATATCCTACTTCTTAAACTGTGTCAAGTTTAAAAAAGTTTGATGCATGAATGGGCACGTAATATAAAATCAAACGTTTAAACCCCTTCGTGGAACACCCCGTATATATATAGATTTTCTTGGCTAAAGTAAAGACGCAATATTGTAATAGAGTGTTAACGTTTTAGGTTTTCGTTATTCATTAATGTACCTAGGTATATCATGTGCCTGCTATACAAAAATATCGAAACTATTTTATTTGTTTACTAATACTATGATTCGAAATTATTTTGGTAATAAATACAGAAATATTACGAAGAACCAAACTATTGTTAACACTCGCACGACAGATATAATATAGGCCTTTAAAGAAACAAATATTATAACCTATCAAGGACAAAATTTTCATAACCTGTAAAAGATCCAAATTAAATGTACAGTACTATCTTTTTGCATCCCAATAAACTACTATTTAAGTAAGAAGACAATAGATAAAACATACTCCCTTATATTAGTACATTTCTCATCCTTATAGATCAGCTGAAGACAATTTTATTGTTAGTTCTGTCCGGTGCAATGTCTGTAAAGGTCGTGTTTTATTTACAATTTGTTTCTTGTTTTCAGTCATTTAAAACCTCGTTTAACTAAATAAAACGTTCTAATCATAACTAATAACACGTCCCCTAGTTATATAACCAAACAGTAGAGAACAAATCATGAAATCAACTAAAAAATAATAGAATAGAAACACAATTTCGACGACACTAGCGATCAGTGTCACCGGACATGAACTAGACGCGAAAAACGAGCTTCAAAATGTACAATGGGATGTAATGTTTACTTGTGTTGGTTAGTCTATGGTAAGACTATAATGCATTTTCCACCCTAATAATATTCATAAGAATTATATTAAACATACTTTCGAATATATATTTATTTTATCGACTACATAGCTCTTACTCCTAATTACATAGGACTTATGTATTCGTAGGATACGATATTATGGTACCGATACGATCGTAGGTACTACACTTTCGGCAACACTGGCCAACAATCTTCGTGCTTGGCTCCCATTGGACGTCGCGAGAGGCTTCTGATTGGGAGTTAGCGAGTTCCGCCGAGGGACCGAGTTAGCGACTTCCGTACGAGGACGGAATTCGCTAACCCGGCTCTAGAGCGGGTTAGCGGGTTCCGGAGTTAGCCAATTCCGAAACCGAACAAGTTAGCGAGTTCCTCTCATCGACCAAATTTGAAGATAGGGCGTTTTACATTGGGTTAGCGAGTTCCAGAGTTAGCCAATTCCGCGGACCCGTATTTTGCCAATGTCACCTGTTTTATAGCATTGCTATATTATATAAACGTTAGATGACAATAAAGTATTTATTTATTTATTTATTTACTGGTCTAAAGCCTGACAACAGAAGCTATCAAGAAAGTTATGCGAGTAAAAAAATAAATTAGTCTTACCTCGAAGGAAGTCCAAAGCAGAAATTTTGACTTCCTGGTCTTGGCGTATGGTCCCTGTAAAATAAATCACGTATGTACTTTACCACATTACCTTATCACATTTTTAAAATGCACATATGAAAGTAATCTTATGAACAACTTTTATGTCCAACTTAATTTTTCAGTCAGTATAGTGCATCTGAGGCTGAACCTTACATGCCTCGACAATTTTTAAAATGCAAAAGAAGTGTTAAAGAATTTCATCATGAAACAAAAACAATCATCACTTCACTTTTCATATACACAATTCTGGTATACTAAAAGATTAATCAGCAATTAATTAAACATAAATTTATTCATCAATATCCAAAACATTTGAAAACAGATTCGCAGTATCCAAGACATTGACTATGCTTTTACCGAAGATTACTCTACTACATGGGTCTGGGGCTTTACAACAGTCTACCTACTTTTCTTGAGAGGGATCAATAATATTGCAGCGATTAAGAAATAATTCTAAATTTTGTTATTGAAAAACAAATAGTTTAGATTTTTTAAAGTCACACCTTACCTTCGGATTGAGGGTTGTTTGAAGTACCTCTCTCCTGAGGGGGGTTGGACCCTACAAAATAAATTATAATATAAAACACCTATGATTTCAACATTTTGTCTACAAAATAATATTTATTTGATTCCTTATATTAGACTATTATTTTTTGTTGCTATTTTTTCAAAAAGGCAGTTTTTTTGTACCGGTAAGGGCCATTTTTGCGTATAAATCTTTAGTTCGCTTGTACACCGTAACAAGGTTCCTCGCCACTTACTGGCATCATTTATGAACAGAATGACACCATTTGCAGCTCTGTAGCTGACATGTATGCTTTGCTGTGAGTTTTGAAATCATTTAAACTATCAAATCTACCGCCAAGTGCTATATCAATGTCAGTATAACCTTCAACATGACTAAACAATATTGCACAATAAACGAATTGGCTCTAAATGAAAAGAAAACTGTTCAGCTGAACTACTCTACTAAAAATAAAGACACAAACGTATTGATCCCTGGGACAGAAGCACGAAATAGTACCAAATATCTCGGCATTATCATGGATTCAAACTGACATGGAAACAGCACATTGACCAACTCTGCAAGAAGCTACGCTCTGGCATTTATGTCATCAGGCGAGTGAAGCAGGTTGGTGGTCTGGACACCGCAAAAACAGCCTACCATGCCCTGGTCGAGTGACACCTCAGGTATGGGCTGATTGTCTGGGGAAGTACATCTAACAACTATCTAAAAAGAGTCCTTATCCACCAAAAAAGAGCTATAAGATGTCTAGCAGACCTTCAATATCAAGGAAGCAGTTGTGATGCATTTAAGGAACTAAAAATCCTCACACTGACATCACTTTACATCCGTGAGGCAATTCTCCATGCCATCTCCACAAATCAAACAAGAATCAGGGACATTCACCATCACAATACACGGAACGCCTTAAGCTTTGCAATACCACCTCACCATCTAAGTCTCTTTGAAAGGAAGCCATCCTACAAAGGGGCCCTGTATTTCAACAACCTACCAGAACAACTTAGAAATGAACAAACTCACCGTTTCAAGAACCAATTAAGAACATTGCTGCAAGAAAGACCATTCTACTCAGAAAAAGAATTCCTTGACAACCAGCTTTAACAACATAATATGTTGTTCTAATATTATTAAATCAACAAATTTTAGTTATTATTCTGACACATGTACTGTTCTCAACGAGCATGTCAATAAAGATTATTGTCTATTGTCTATTGTCTACATAAGGTCAGTAATGTGTTTTTCTATTACAACTACAGTAGAAACTCGCTAGTCCGACCTCGGATGTTCCGACTCTTTGCTAATCCGATCTCGGATGGTCCGACTCTTCGCTTGGTCCGACCATGCCGCCTATACAAAAGGTATCCGCTAACGTAACCACATTGTCCAAGAAAAATACCTAGAAAATTTTATAAAATGTGTTTCTTTATTCTAATGGATTGAAATTTGTTGTATAACTATTTCTGTCCATTACTGGATTTGAGTCAATTTTCTTTATTGATATTGATGACAATGTTTTCTGATGGTGTAAGCTATTGCTAGGAAACACAAAATCTTAGGGTTGGACGGGTCCTGAAAATTCGGGAAATTTTCAGGAAGAAAATATTCCCGATTTTCGGGACGGGATTACATTTTATTCGGGAATTTTTCGGGACGGGATTTGGTCCAATGCCGCTTCGCGAGTGACGATGATGCCGCTACCACGAGAGATGTCCACGATAGTTCTGCGAATGCAGGAAGCGAAGTCATACCGACGATCGCGCCGTGACTGCGGAGTCATACCGACGTTCGCGCCGTGACCGCGGATTCATACCGACGATCATGCCGTGACCGCGAGTCATACAGACAATCACCCTGTGACCGCGGAGTCATACTGACGATCGCGCCGTGACCGCGGAGTCATGTCGACGATCGCGGACTCATACCGACGATCACGCAATGACCGTGAGTCATTTCGACGATAGCAACGTGACCGCGAGTCATTTCGACGATAGCAACGTGTGCGCGAGTCATTTCGACCATTTTTTTTGTTTTTATAGATCAGTGCCACAAACGGTAAAAATTAATTTTCTTTTTTGGTAACTGCAATACTCAAGACTTTCTTTTTATTCACAGGAAAAAATCCCGTCCCGTCCCGTCCCGAAAATTGAGAAGGAAATAAAAATCCCGTCTCGTCCCGTCCCAAACTAAAAATTCAATCTCGTCCATCCCTACAAAATCTCATTAAAACTATGTGGATACACTATAACCAAAGTTTGAATGCGAGTTAAATCTTACAGTCATTTCCTAGATAAAAAGTGATCTTTCACTAGAACTTATGTTTTAACGACCCTGATATCGTTATTTTTCACTACAGGGTTTACAGCTTCGATGCGAAAATCTTGAACGGGGGTTGTTTGGTGAAAAGGAGGAGGTTTAATACAATTTTAAAATTGTTATATAATATGCGGTCATTCACTGGTGCGATGATTTATGATGTTAAAAAAATTGTATTTTTTGACACTTTTTTTAACACAATACATCATTTTTTTAGTTGTATCATCTTCAGTACAGGGAAATATGGGCAATACATTTCAACGATGTCTTACAATGTAGCTTAGTAGTATATTTTCCCATGTCGTTTACAAGTAGAAAGTCAACCTTAAACGGTAATTCACTGGTGCACTCACCCTATTCCATATAAAAATGGAAACAAAAAAATGGGTTGGATTTCTTTTCATCCCCTAGGGGAGGAGGGGGGTGATTTTGCATGTTTGCAAGGGTTCACTAGATTGCATACAGATTAAAATCTATAAATGGAAGTTAAGTAATTTTTGTTTCAAAATGTTTCTTGCAGTATTCTCTATGATCTGTAGTATGGGTTTACTTTTATATTAAAATTTAATGGTCCCACAAATTTTTAAATGTTATAATTTGTCTTTACATTAAAATTTTAGAAAAATTTAATATTTAAAATATGTTCTATTTATTTAATCTTCATAACCATACTACAGATCATAGAGCTTTACAAGCTGAACAAAAAAAACCTCACTCTAACTTATCTAGAAGCTGAGATTTATTATTTCTAATATAAAAAACATAAACCTTATGGAACCGACTAAAAACCAAAACAATGTCATTTAGGCCTACTAACTTTTAGATGGAAAACAACCATGAACTGTAAATTTTAAACTTATATTCCTTTTTTTCAAAATTAAAATAAAAACTAAAAAATTTAAAAATATAATTTTTTATACAAATCAGGTTTTAGGCCGTTTTAGCATGAACTCCTCCTTAAACAATTTTCAAAACAAACAGCCAATCCCCATGTCTAAGCCAAGCCATGTGTGTGTTTTTTACCCCATGTCAGCTACAGAGTTGCAAATGGTGTAATTCTGTTCACAAATGCTGCCAGTAAGTGGCGAGGAGTGTCTTTGCGATGTACAAGCGAACTACGGATTTATAAGCAAAAACAGCCCTTATTTAAAAACCGCCCTCATATTAATTTTATTGAGTAACTCTACATTCCCTCTGACCCAGTATCTGACAGCTCTACTATCCAAATTCAAAGACAACTTTGTTCACTTCTGTGACTTTTTCTGAGACTTGCAGGATTTCTGTTACCGGTAGACACCATGAATTGTTAGTTCATTGGGAAAATATGAAGTAATGATCAGATGATTATCATCTTTTACTTATGAGGCAATGCTCTAGAGCCTCACAACAGCAGTTATTCACAAAGTTATGCAAGTGAAAAAAATCAATTAGTCTTACCTTGGATGTATTTTGAATAGCCTTTGGGGTATTTTATTGGAAGGTCTTGGTGGGTGGTCCCTGCAAAATAAATCACCTTATCACATTTAAAAAATGCACATATGCCTCAACTATTTTCAAGATTCAAAATAAGTGTTCAAGAAGTTAATCATTTAAATATAAAAATTCATCACTTCACTTTACAAGTACAAGGTTCTGGTATACTTAAAGAGTAATTAGTAACTATAATTTTTTTTTTTTTCAACATTAGGTTTAACGAGTACCTAGGTTTACTGCTACATGGAAGATAATAAAGTGTGTTTTTTTATAAAATATAATTAAAACTTAGTATGAAATAAATAAATTTGAATAAAGTAATACAATTTTAACAAAACATACCTATATACATTTAATCTACACCAGTTTACTTATTCTCCATAAGAATAACATACGGTATGAATATTTTATTTAATTTTTTTTTTATTTTCCCTGTAACCAACAACCATACATTCATATATTAAGTTATTTGATTTTTATGCTCTACAAAATGATTTGGAGAGAAATTGGGAAATTTTATTTTGAAAGTCAACAACCAGAAAAACCCAATTTTTATCACATAAGACAAAATTTTGAGTTGTTAATAGCGTTTTTGATTTAATAGGTGGGTGTCCATACTTTTACCCAACCCTGTATATGGATTTGAACAGATGTCATTTTTGGCCTCTGGAGACACCAAAACAAAAGAGTAAATTGGTCTTACCATAAAACCTAAGGTAATAGCTTATTCCCTATATGGGAAATTAGCAAAAATAAATTTATTCATCAATATCCAACACTTTGAAAACAGATTTGAAGTATCAAAGACATTGACTATGCTTTTATGAAAGATCACTCTGTAGTTTATTTCATATAGTACACCTCGTGAGAATTCACGTAACTGGCACGCGGAAGGGCTGTCGCGTGTGTGCAGAAGATTGTTACCGGCAAGCGGAAGGGCTGTCGCGTGTGAACAATTAATTGTGCGACCAACAGTGGAAGGACTGTCGTGATCGCATCTTCAAGGAACTGTGTGTGAACTGTGCAGTGAGAGTGAAAAAGTGCAAACTGGACATTAATAGGACAGTAACGGGAGGTAAGAGTTTGCAGTGTAACGAGACATTCGGTGAGTCGTAAATTAATTTACATGTCAGGAGTTTCACCAGTTTGTATGGATAGACTATTTAACGAGTATAAAATGGCAGGTCTTATAAGGTCTATGAATGCGTTTGATGCAGCTGAAGAAACGTGGTCCTCATATATAGAGAAGTTATTAATTTTTATTGACGCTAATGACATTAAGAACGAGAAAAAAGTATCTACTTTGTTAACGGTCATGGGTTTGAAAACGTATAATTTAGTGAAGAATTTGTGTGCACCGGATAAGCCAGCGGATAAGACATTTGATCAAATTGTGGAGTTAGTTGAAAAACATTTAAGTCCAACGCCATCGTTTATAACGGAACGTTATAAATTTAGTTTGAGAACTCAGAGAGAACATGAGTCAATCTCTGATTACGTAGTGCAATTAAAGGAACTGTCGATGTTTTGCGAATTTAAAACCAATCTGTCAGATTATTTGAGGGATAGGCTTGTGAGCGGTATCCGAAGTGACGTCATCAAGAAACGGTTACTCGGCGAGGGGGAGCTGACTTTTGAAAAGGCGGTAACCATAGCAACCAATATGGAAATGGCGGAGCGAGGTGCAGCGGCGCTGATGTCGGGCATGCAGACAGCGCGGGGTCAACAGCAGACGACGCAACTTCACTACAATGCCGGGCGGAAGGGGCCGGCGGCGGCGGCGCACAACAGTGGCAGTGGCAGTCATGGAGGTCAATGTCAACACTACCCACAACAACAACAACAGAGCCAGAGCCGGTCAACCAACTACAGGAGGGAGGAGAGAGTGTCAAGTGATGTGAAGTGTTTTTGCTGTGGAAAGCTAGGGCATAGGGCCAATGTGTGCAGGTTCAAGTCATATAAGTGCAATAAATGTGGAAAGCTAGGGCATTTAGCGAAGGTTTGCCGAAGCCAGGACAGGGGTAAGCCACTTACATTTCATAATTCTAGTCATAAGAAATATAGTAAGCAGCACTATGTTGATGAAAATGAAGATGGACATAATGAACAGACTACAGAGAGTGATTATGATTTAACTAATCTTTTTGCCTTAGATAATGATGAGAGTAATGTAGCAAATGATAGGGTAAGGCCTATTATGGTAAATTTGCAAGTTGAGAACAGGTCTTTGAATTTTGAAGTTGATAGTGGCGCTTGTGTAAGTGTCATTAATGAAAATTGTTACAAGGAGAATTTCAGCTCATTGGAGTTACAAAGTACAAATTTAGTATTAAGTTCATATACTAATCAGCCTATCAAGCCACTTGGTAAATTGAGCGTAAGAGTTAAGTACAGAGATATTATGAAGGAGTTAACCTTGTATGTGATTGCTAAGGGCGCGAATCCCTTGATGGGGAGAGATTGGATTCGAGATCTTGAGGTTGTAATTAAGATACCTAATGTAAGGAGCAACACGGGGTATGCTAACTCAGGTCAGAGTAAAGCTTTTTGTAATGTGATAGAAGGGGAGTCTAAAATCGTAAGTGAGTTGTATCAAAAGTTCCCGGAAGTATTTACAGACAAACTAGGATGTTATAAGGGCGAGTCGGCTAGGTTAGTGTTAAAAGATAATGCAGTCCCTAGATTTCTGAAGCCTAGGCCAATTCCTTTTGCCCTAAAGAGTAAAGTAGAAGCAGAGATACATCGATTAGTAGAGGAAGGAATCTTGTCACCGGTCAGTAACAGTGAATGGGGAAGTCCAGTTGTTCCGATTATTAAAAAGTCAGGAGAGTTACGTTTGTGTGCTGATTTTCGGGCTTCTTCACTAAATGATTCTTTGATAATTGATAGACATCCAATACCTAGAATAGAAGATCTTTTTAACACCTTACAAAAGGGTAAAACCTTCTCTAAAATCGACCTATCTCAGGCTTATCAGCAAGTGAGTTTAGATGAGCAGTCAAGGAAGTTGTGTACTATAAGTACTACAAAAGGGCTTTTCATGTATAATAGAGTTCCCTATGGTGTGGCGTCAGCACCAGGTCTTTTTCAAAAGATAATGGAGACCATTCTTGCGGGTATTCCAGGAGTAGTTTGTTTCCTGGATGATATTTTGATTACGGGTGAGAACAATGAGGTACATAAAGAGAGGTTAATTGAAGAGTGTAGTAAACTTAAAGCTAATGGTTTGACAGTAAGCAAGAAAAAGTGTGAGTTCTTTCGTAAATCGATTGAATATTTAGGGTATGTTTTGAGTGAGGAAGGTCTAAGCACCTCACTGTCTAAGATAAGTGCTATAGAGAAAGCTCCTATACCAACGGACGTATCACAGCTAAAAGCATTTTAGGCATGGTTAATTACTATGGCAAGTATGTACCCCACTTATCAACTATCGCAGCCCCTTTGTATAATTTGTTAAGAAAAGACAGTGTTTTTGAGTGGACAGCCACCTGTGATCAAGCATTTAAGATAATCAAAAGTAAATTGGTGTCAGCACCAATATTAGCACATTACGATCCTAACTTACCTGTAAGCCTAGCTACTTGATAGCTCTAGTTATGGTTTAGGGTGTGTACTAAGTCAGAGACAGAAAGACGGTTCAGAGAAATCGATTTGTTACGCTTCACGTACATTGTCAAAAGCTGTGGTAGGCTATAGTGTCATAGACAAGGAAGCACTAGGTATTGTGTATGGGGTTAAAAAATTTAACCAATATTTGTATGGTAGGAAATTTGTCTTAATTACAGACCATAAGCCTTTGTTGTCCATTTTCAGACCTAAGAAAGGGTTGCCTGCGTACGCAGCCAGCAGACTTCAGCGCTACGTGCTCTTCCTAACTAATTACGATTTTGACATTAAGTACGTGAGGTCAGAGGCGAATGCCAACGCCGACTGCCTATCTAGATTGCTCTTAAATATAAGAGATTTTCCTTTTGAGTCAGACGATGTAAACTATGTTGGCACGTATTTGCAATACATTCAAGAAAATTACATTCCTGTTAATTTTAATAATGTAAGAGAAGAGACAAAAAGGGACGTTGTGTTAAACAAAGTTTTAGGTTATGTTTTGCATGGCTGGCCAAACTACGCACCAAGTACTGACGAGAATCTAAAACCCTACTACCAGCGACAAAGTGAATTAGCTGTTGAGAACGGTATCATTATGTGGGGGCATAGAATAGTGGTACCTCAAAATTTACGGAAGTTGCTTTTGTCAGAATTACATTGTGGGCATCTCGGAATTGTTAAGATGAAAGCCATGGCCCGGTCGTACTTTTGGTGGCCTGGTCTAGATGCGGATATAGAAAATCTAGCTAACAGCTGTTCACTCTGTCTGATGGTACGTCAGAGCCCAGCTAAGTGTAACTTACATGTGTGGGAACATCCCAAAAACGTATGGGAACGCCTACATGTTGATTTCTTGGGCCCTATTAATGGTAAATTGTATATCATCATAGTAGACACTCACAGTAAGTGGTTGGAAGTAGAAGAAGTGAGCTCTACGGCAGCCAAACAAACTATTGCTAAGCTCAGACCACTATTTGCGAGATTTGGTCTTCCCCACCAAATAGTTTCTGATAACGGACCACCGTTTACTTCTTTTGAATTTAAAGATTTTTTGAAATCTAATGGAATCACACACACATTGACACCACCATTTCACCCAGCTACAAATGGTCTAGCCGAAAACTCTGTCAAAAATGTTGAGAAAAGAATTAAGCTAGCTATTATGAGTAACGACAGTGTAGATTTATCTTTGTGTAAGTTTTTGTTAGCTTATAGAAATTCTGTGCACTTAACCACCAACGAAACCCCTGCAAAATTGATGTTTAATAGACCATTAAGGTGTAGGTTAGATTTGAACAGGCCAAACCTACCACAGTTTGTACATGACCGACAGAGTAAACAGATTCAGAATTATGGCGGAAGTAAGACCCGAGTGTTGTTTAAGGGTCAGCCAGTAATTGTTCGTGACTATAGGGGTAGAAGTAAGTGGATAGAAGGTGTAGTAGTTAGAAAATTAAGTGCAGTGTCTTATTTGGTTAGGTTGAAAAATTATGTGATATGGAAGCGTCATATTGACCAAATAATAGGGGTAAACAGTATACCACCCACTTTTAGTATTGACAGAGAAGCGTCTGTACCATTGTTGCCACCAGGTCCGTCAGGTGAGCAACGGCCAGTAGTAGTAGTGGGGGCATCAGCTGTTCCAGGCACACCGCCACAACAATCGCGTAGTCCAAAACAAAATACACCACACCGCGCGAGCGCTACTAGGTGGAAGTCTGATGTCATAGCAGACATTCCTACTCCACATAGTATAGTAACAGCTGATAGTCCAAAACAAACAGTAGTAGATCGACGTTACCCTGTTCGGGAACGTAAACCAACCGAGAAACTTAACTTGTAAAATATATGTACTAAAACCAAATGTTCTGGATATTGTTTTGAGTTATGACGTATTCATGTATGCTGTGTTTATTCATTGTTTTAACAGATTCTATATTCTTTTATTTGTGTGTTACAATTGATTTTTATTATTATTATTATGGTATAATTTTTTGTTTGAGTTGAATTTCAGATATCATAACGGTTCAATAGTATTTTATTGATTTTATATTATGTGTGTAATTATTGTTGTGTTCTTGTACAATGCGTGATGAGTATTTTGCTGATAATTATCGTGTTATATTTATGTTCTAATTCAAAACAGTTTTATCAACTTTATATATGATTTGATAGTCATCAAAGTTAAGGGGGAGGAAATGTAGTGTATTTCATATAGTACACCTTGCTGTGTATAACTATTGTCAATGTATGTATCATGATGGCAGTGTTTGAGTGAATAAACCGTTGCAGTGGTCCGATCATCACGCCACCCTCAACCGACCAATCACAATACAGCCTGACCACGCTCCTATTTTCCCGTCTTTTCCTCACAGTCTTCTTCCAGCAGCTCCCGTTATGTAACCATCTCCGTGTTAGTCCCGCCCGTATCGGCCGCGGCAATTTATTACTGTAAAATGTGTATTTATTGCCTCCATCTACATTCTTAAACCACGGACATTCCACACTCTACTACATGAGGGGGGCTTTACAACGGTCTACCTACTTATTTTAAGAGAGATCAATGATATTGCAGTGATTAAGAAATCATTCTAAATATTGTTAGTGAAAAACAAATACTATTCAAGTATTTTATAACAAGAGTACCCAAATTACTATTTCTGAAAAGTTACTACTGTATTTAAATCTTTTTACTATATTTATACTTGTAGTCTACTAGTTATTTAGGAAATGACAATGTCATCTGTTTTACCAGCTTTGTTGGATTATGTCCAATGCATCTGTTCATCTGTTTTACCAGCATAATGTCCAATGTATTATGAACATAAAGGGATAGCCTATTATTATTATTATTACAGCGTTGACACAGAAAATGTTAAATTAATCATTAATACATCTTCTTACCTCGATTTGGCCGATTCTGGCCCCTTTCCCTCCATTGGCCCTGGAACCCTGCGAAATAAATCACATCATTGGCAAATGTGTAAAATATCTGATGTCTTATATTGAATTTATGTTTTGTTTGTATTACGACTAAAATCCTTCAGTGATCGCACCATCAAATATCATACAAATTTACCATCATTGACCATTAAAAAAAAGACAACTAATTACATTATATTCTACTGTATATTAAACAAATAACAGATAACTTAATTTTTTAGTAAAATAATGAATGATCCAATGTTTTGCCGACATGATAATTATCAGGTTTTACAATAGTTTAATTTGTTTAAAGTCACACCTTACCTTGGGATTGAGGTTTGTTTGAAGTTCCTCTATCCTGAGGGGGGTTGAACCCTACAAAATAAATTATAGTATAAAACACCTATGATTTGCAAGATTATAAAATCATTTAAAATACTCCTAGTGAAAAAGAAATACTATTCAAGTACCTAAAATAACAAGAGTATCTGAATTACCATTTCTGAAAAATGACTACTAGGTATTTAAATTTTGATTTTATTTATACTTGAAATCTAGTAAATTTATGAAAAGACAATGTCACCTGTTATACCAGCTTTGCTCGAAATGTGAAATGTATTATGAAAATAAAGTACAGTCTAACCTTGATATAACAAACCTCAATATAGCAAATTCCTTGATATAACGATTTTTTTTAAATCCCCTAGAATTCTCCATAAGACACAATGTATATTTTACCTCTACATAACGAACAAACCATATCAACGACCTTGATTTAACAAATTTTTCATGATCCCGGCTAAAATAAGACACCTCAATATGACGAATTTATCATTGTCAGAACCTTTACATAGCGAATTTAACCTCTACTTAACGAATTGTCTGCGTCTCTCCCTCGATACAACGAACCCCCCCCCCCTTATTATTTTTGAAAAATCAGTTTCTTCATCAAATGAAATGGAAAGGTGACGTCAACGCTTGCGCTAACATTCGTCAGCTCCGTTTTACACATCCCTGTCTGCTGTCGTCGCTGCATGCACGCTATGTTACAACTGAGAACTGATTTCATTCACTAAGGACTGATGTGTAGTAAGCTGTGATTGGGTGATAAGTAAATATGGTGAATTGTACAATTTTTGGATGAAGAGAAACTTAAGAAAGAAAAAGAATAGAACAAAGCAAAGATAAAGAATAGCAACATCGTTATTTTCACATTCCTTTTACGAGGGTTTTTATTATCTTTAAGTTGGCTATGATTATACACTTTTATAACGACTTATCTAATATATTTTTTTTTTCAATACAATTTGTTTAAACTAAGGCAACACCAATGCTATAGTTGATGATTATTACAGTATTCCTCTGTTGTGATTGCAGTAGGCCTACTGTAGCCTACCGGCCTATCACGAGCAGTAGCTTACAAAACTCTCTACTGTTTTGTTTTGTTATTTACGTGGTTTATTGCTTTGTAATACAGTGTTTGGCTAGGTTTTAGGTGGGTTAGAGTAAGCTGTGATTTTAAACATACAGTTTGTAACCTGTACCAAGGTGAATGACAAGAAATGTCATGATTGCACAATATTATAGATCCCTTCCTTTAGTACCCCGTATAATTGAGGTTCTACTTTACAATGTAAACACTGTACGCTGTAAAGTATTGTAGCATATGCTACTTTAATTGTGTTTTAACGAGGTCATTGAGGTCCAATCCCGACCTATATCGACTGATGCTGGTTCTGAACCTTGACTTAGCGAAATTCCTCCAAACCTAACCTCAATATAACGAACCTCATTTTAACGAAATCCTAGGCTAACGAATATTTAGTTCGGTCCCTTCAGATTCGTTATACCGAGGTTGGACTGTAGTATTATTATTATTATTATTACAGCAGAGTCTCGATTATCCGTCCTAAACCAGCCGCGGCAAGGTTGGATAGGCAAAAAGGTCGGATAACATGGAAAATTATGAAAACGATCTTCACACTGGCGCTGTGACCGCGGTATGAGTTGACAATCGCGCCTCTAACGTTGGACATGTTGACAATTGTGTCATGATCGCTTTTACAAAATCAGGTAGACGCCCTGATATTGCCCAGAAAAGTCAGATAACTCGGAAGAATGTAAATCAATCAATAAATACATTTTCTTACCTCGGTTTTGCCCATTCTGGCCCTTTTCCCTCCATTGGCCCTGGAACCCTGCAAAACAAATCACATCATTGGCAAATGTGTAAAATATCTGTTAATTTATATTGAATTAATGTTATGTGTATATAACAACTAAAATCCTTCATTGATCGTACCATGTTGACAATTGTGTCATGATCGCAGGAGATCTTCGTGCTGGTGTTGTGACCGCAGGATGTGTTGACGATCGCACCGAGAGCGTAAGACATTTTGACAATAGTGTCATGATCGCAGTAGATGTTCAAGATGGTGTCATGACCACGATATATGTTGAAAATGGCACTGTGACTACAAGACAAGGTATATAGACATTCTACTAAGGTATATAAAAATAGACATGGAGAAGGTCCGAGTTTTTGGCCGGGATAAAAAAAAGGTAATGAAAAGTCGGGAATTTCTTTTGAGAAATCAGGTTGACACCCTGATATTGCCCAGAAAAGTCGGATAACTCGGAAGAATGTAAATTAATCAATTAATACATCTTCTTACCTCGGTTTTGCCCATTCTGGCCCTTTTCCCTCCATTGGCCCTGGAACCCTGAAAAAAAAACACATCATTGGCAAATGTGTAAAATATCTGTTAATTTATATTGAATCAATTTTATGTGTGTATTATGACTAAAATCCTTCATTGATCGTAGCATCAAATATTATATTATATATCATATTAATAATATGATAATATTATAATCATGATATAATATTATATTATATAATATTAATATTTAATATATATATTTTAATATATATAATATTATAATAATATAATAACATTATATTATTTATTATATTATAATTTGCCATCATCATTGATAGAATATCCACAAACAGGAAAACTTTAAAAGAATCCAAACAAATAACAGATAACTTGAATTTGTTGCAAATAATTAATTATATAAAGTCTTGTTGACATGATAATTATCAGGTTTTAGAAAAGTTTAGATTTTTCAAAGTCACATCTTACCTTGGGGTTGATAGTTTTTCGAAGTACTCCTATCCTGAGGGGAGTTGTACCCTACAAAATAAATGATTATATATACAATATCTTTGATTTCAACATATTGTCTACAAACAAAAATTATTTGATTCTTTATATTAGACTATCGTATTTTGTAGCTACGATGGCGGTTTTAAAGTAAGGGCTGATTTGCGTATGAATCCATAGTTTCCTTGTGCGCCGTAACGAGGCTCCTTGTCAATTACTGGCATCATTTGTGAACAGAATGACACTACTGTCGGAGAGTTTGACTTGTATACAAAGAAGGAATATGACTTGCTATTGCATTTAAATGTAAAAAAAATATAGATTTAGCCTATAGGTCAGTTTAGATATCTTATACGGGTCAATGTCACAGAATGGGATAAGTTTTTATTAATACCATGAATTATTTTATTCAAGGTGGCTGGCTCGAGTCGCTTGCTCACCTATTGATTACCTATTTAATAATATCAATAAGGCTAAACATTTTGAAATCAAACATATTCAATAATTTTCCTTTATGTTTGTTTATATAGGCTATAAGGCCTAAATAGAGAACACGGGAGTAAATTATGTTGGAGGTGCTTGGTGAAATTTACTTAAACCACTGATAGACAAGGTCTATGTCTATTAAATCTTATCTTACCTCGGTTTGGGTTGTTCATGGCTCTGTCATTATACTGGCTTTGTGGATTGTACCCTGAAAAATAATTCACATATATAGCATTAAATATGTGAATAATGTCAGTAATATGTGGAATTCTTTCATTTTAAAATGCCTACAAGGATATAAGGAGTGGTTTTCTGCGGCACAGTAGCCCAACCTTTTATCCACTGACGCTTACCAAAATAACCAACCCATAAATAAGCAACCCAAATAACATATATTTTCCATATGGACGCACTAAAAATTTCATGCAATTTTGGGCATTTTTACAAGATTTTACAAAAAAATATATTGCTTCGTTATTTTACAAGATATGTTAACCAAATTAGTTTTATTTTAATGATAAAACCACCAAGTATAATGTAAAAAATAACATACACATGCAAGTAACACCTTTATTTTTATAAATTTACATTTATAACATACTTACTTTGAAAAAAATCTTAAATAATTCATTCAGCATATTCCGCATAGTCTTAAAATTTTTTTTTTATTTCACTTCTCATGTGTCATTTGAATTCCAACTACTATCTCTACTTATATTTGAAATTTCATCATTTTACGTAAAAAAATAACTGAATTATACGAAAAAATGTAACACTAATTTTTTACCCACATTTGTCGCATTTTGCAAAAAGTTCAGGTTTCTTCTTGATTAGGCCTATAGGCTATTGAAATATTTCAAGACATATTAGGCCTAGGCCTAAAGCATGCACTAAACAAATGTAAAGCAATAAAAAATTAAAAGTTCAAATTTTTATTAGTCTAAAAAATAAAATATGTATATAGCCTAAACAGGCCTAATATAGAAGTCAACAACGATGAAACGGGAAGCATTTTGTGTGTATTCCTTTTTTGCAATTCCTACAAATAAAAGTAGATTTTTTTTCTTTTTCCTCCACTATGAGTACTCTTGGCACTGCAAATGCAACAATTTTTTTTCTCTTTTATCAGGAATCTTCTCAAAAAATTGATCCGGAGAATCACCTGAAGGCCCACCTCGGGGCCAACTTGGAGGTGTTATGTTACTGATATCAATAACACTGGGCCTGCCACTTTGTTGGACCAGCCAATCCTTTGATATAGCATCAACAATCGAAATAATGAACTGATATCTAGTTATAGGCCTTTCAGTATTCAATTTATACAACAAGTAGCAATTCAGCAACATCCGAGAAAAGATGTTGAATGTTACTTTTTTCCAGAATCGAATTGTTCTCCTGTCATCTAAATACTCATAGAGCATCTGATCTCCACCATCCACTCCCCCCATAAAGTCATTATAATTCCTGATTATTTAAGGTTTAACTGACACATTTTCTGTAACACCTCTTCTCCTGCTTCGCCGTTCACTCTCTGCTTTTCTGTTCGTTGTAAGAAGCAGAACTTGGGTTTTTTGAGACTTTTTTGCCTGTAACCAACGATTGTCATCTGATCTTTCCTCAAATATTTGGTTTCTCCTACATTAAACTTAGTTTTCATGGCTTGGGGAACTCCTTTTCTGGATTTTCTTAGGGTACCAGTTATGAATGTAAGTTGAGAGTACAAATACTTGGCTAGTTTTAGTGAGGTGAAGAAATTGTCGACGAATACATGGTAACCTTTGTTAATTAAATTTGCCATTTCCAACAACTTTTGAACAACATAGAAGCCCAGTCCCTTTTTATTTATTTCCCTTTTATCAGAACCTTTAGAACCACGGTAGACAAAGAATGTCATGCAATAGTGGGTAGCAGCATCGCAAAGCGACCACAGCTTGACACCCCAGCGATGTCGCTTTTTTGGCATGTACTGTAGGAGTTGTGAGTGTGCTTTGGTGCTCACCATGCTCTCATCTATTGAAATATTCTGGTTTTGTGTGAAATGAAACTTCAAAACCCTATTAAAATGGTCAACTAAAGGACTGAATTGAGCACAAGGATCGTATTCAGGTTCGGACGGTTTTGCAATTTGTGCCGTGTCTGTCATATGAAAAAACTGTAAAATGGCCTGAAACCGATTTCGGTTAAACATCCTAGAAAACCATGGTGTAAATTGGCTATTAGCAGTATTGCAGTAGCTGAAAATAGTTGGTTTCTTATTTAGGCCCATATTGATAATCACAGCACGAAAAGCTTGCATCTCAAGAAGTGTCACTGGTTTCCATGAGTTAATTCTACTAAACCTTCTTATACGATCTCTATTTACTTCAACAAATTTCTGTGCATACTTATTAGTGTTTTCGACAAACATCTTAATCAAATTAACTGTAAAAAACAACTTGAAATATTCTACTGGAGGGGAATTTCTAGGAGGGCAATGTTTCACACCACAAACCTCATGAAAACCAAAATCATGCATGATACCTGGATCATTTTCTTCTGTTACTTCCGCCCACCCTGTACCATCTTCTTCATCCTCAGCATCATCGGTAACTGGGCCTACTTCATTACGAGGTCTTCCTCTAGGCCTAGGCTCTAAACCAGGAGCAGAAGCTTCGACTGTTTGAGTGACAGGACGTGAACAAACAAGAGGCCTATGAGGAGGTAAGGGGTCAGGATCATCCACATCCTCTTCAGAAGACTCACTATATAACCGTCGAGCATTTCTTAAAAAACTATAAGCATTCGAAGTGCTATGGCCATTGGGGTTATAATCGGGATCGCTGTCCGTGTCGTCTACAACACTACTGCTACTTGAGCTACAGTCAATTTCACTCTCGTCAACTTCCGTGATGAAATCATCTTCTAAATACTCTTCTTCAATTAATCTATCCACTGTTCCATCACTTATAGGAGACCTAGATCGATTTCTTTCCATTTTTAACTCACCACAGCAAAGACATAACCACGATTCGGTAAACAAACACACAGAATCAACACAACAACAAACAACAAACTCGTCCACCAGCTGACATTGCGTCAAAGTCCTGACATCACCATCTGACATAGAGCAACTTTGTTACACTGCCATCGCGATATTACTGTGAAAATATATACTATATTCGGTGTTATGCGAAAGAACATTACTTTCTGATAACAACAATTATAATGGTGAGGAAGTTTTTTGTAATTTTTAACCCATGTATGGGCTTTTTATTAGACATCCGTAAAAACGGACGTTGGCATTTTTCGACCGAAACTAGCAACGTCCGTTTAAGCGGACGTTGGCACTGTTGCATTGTATTTCAAGACGTCCGTAAAACCGGACGTTGGCACTAAAAGGGTTAAATAAATAAATAAGGTATTTATTCATGAGCAAATTTCAGTTACAAAAATGTTTTTAAAATTGACCCAAAAATTTGTAAAACAGTTTTTATTGTAAAAAATGTTTTGAAATGAATTGAAAAAAAACTTACTGTTTCTGGTCATCACTGGCTGTTTAAGCGTCATGTTCGGCACATCTTCAATGGTAATGATTTTTACCAATCCTTCCACTGTTTGTTCGGATATCTACAAAACAATACAAAATATATCAACTACTACACTCAATCAGCTGTTTGTAAAGAAATGTTTAGATTAATACAACTACACATTTTTTTATTGATATGAACAAACATCAATAGCTACATGGCAAAACAGCACAACATTCTTGATTTGGCACCTACCTGTGCTATGATATAAATTATTAGGCCTACATTTAGCATATGGTTTTATTAATCAAATACATAGTCACTAATGTTTAACCCACATGGTATATGTATTTTTTTCCAAAAATAAAAATAAAACTTGGAAAGTCCATTCTGTGAGAGCTTGGGAAAGGCGTCCCGAATATAAACATTACTCATGTTGCAATAAAATAAAACAACAAATTAATATCAACAATTGGGCATACCCCAAGCAAATCAACTTTGGCTCGGCTCAACTATATTTTGACTTCTCAGTTACCACAGCTAAGTTAAAAATTTTCAAGGCCAACATTGTTATTAAAATTTGTCATTTAACATTTGAGTCTTAAGCTGAGCCTAGTCGGTATTATTAAGTAAAATTTTCTTACATCAAGAAGTCAAAATTGAAAATATTTACAAGAACAGCAAGTTGAATACCATCAAGTAAAATAAAAGACAATAAAAAATAAATTTGCATACCTTGCCGGTAGCCTTGAGGCGGAAATTATTTATGGACGTGTTGACAATTGCACTCCATTTCACTCTTAAATCTGTCAATTTCTGGGCCAACTCCTTGTCTACAGTAAACTTCACGAACTGGTCGATGTTCATCTGCACCAGATCACGGAGATCACCATTATCCTCACTGGATTCTTCTTCTTTCACAAAAAAATCCCAAGTCAAATCAAGTTTTGAAACATACAGTATCAACGCCCAAACTAAAAGGTGGATTTTATTGAAATTCGTACTTGTTTGCCACCTTTATGTTTGCACGTGTTAATAGTTTAGAATTAAATTTGTTTGAAGTACCTTCCAAAACTAAATTTGTTTCTTTCTGTCACCTTAGTGTGATTTATATGAAAAAATCACACACACAAAAAGAAAAAATCAGTACCGGTACTAATAGGAAAAATCAGTACTAAATTTCTAAATGTTAAGGTACCAAAACTTAAACCCGTTCAAACTTTGACCTTTTGTTTTGACCCTTTCTTCCTTCATCCCCACCAATAGAAACTGTTTTCTTATAGCATAACAGGAATCAGTAAAACAAAAGGCAACATCAGTATTTGGCATTTCAAAACTTGTGCATCGTCACTTGCAATAGGTATGGGCAAAAGAATTGCATACATAGCACATTGATATGTACTTACTTACGCCTCTTAGTCTTGCAAGCGTTGATATGTGAAGGGAGGAAGACAGGTATTGGAATGTTGTTTAACTGGTTTCTGTTTCAAATCAAACCCCTTAAATTCTGATGCTTCAGACTTAGCTTGGTTCAGTTGGAGCGACAGTCTATATTGCATTGAAAGTAAAAGACAGACCTAGTCTTACTTTCACTCTTGGAGGTTAGGTATCACAATGGATTCAATAGAATACTCACGTGGCACCGGCGGAGGGATGTTTGCAGGCCCAGCAAACATCCACAGAGTTAATGGAGACACAGCAGTGCAGGCACAGAGGCTTGTGAATGTACCTGTTTGGCGAGACTCGTCGTACACCAACCAATCAGTTGGTAAACTTTTCATCATATGTTTGTCTCTTGTTGAGTTGTCAACACTGTCACTGCATTTGAGCACGGAGCTCAAATGGATTAAGACCTTTAGCTCATTTCTGTTAAACAAAAACCCAAACAAAAATAAACCTGTATGAATTTTAAATTTAAAAGGAGTGCTAACCGAAATTACACCAGGCATTGATTTACTGCACAACAGCAAGAAATTGTTTATATTGGTATATTACGTATCTCTAAGGAACATATTCAAGATCATTCTAACATATATGAAATAAATCTATATAGAAAATGTATTACTACTGCATAGAATACAATAATTTTAGTTAGTTATATAATAATGTTATTTAAACCAAGCCAAACTGAAAGGGAAACTTTCTTTAATATATAGTAGCTTTAAAGTCACATCAATAATCAAAGTATAAAAAACTGAGCTAGAAAATCAAATTTAGACACCAGCACACTCAGGGAGCAGCTATAATCAATGAAAAATTGGTTGCAGCTGGTCCATGTACATGGGATGTCTCGAAACTGTTATGGAATCAGCGAAACTGTATCAGCAATATAACACAAAACAACCCTTATCATTGGTAAGCAGTGGCGGTTCTAAAGGGTAGGGGCTATAGGGGCTAAAGTCGGAGGTTTTTGGTTACAATTATAGACGTTGAAAATGGCTTTAAAAAATCAACAAAAGGCTTTAAAAATGCAAATTTACTGGGGATTAATACCCCCCTCCTTGTTTGCAACACCCCCGTCAGCCCTCCCTTGACAAGCAGACAAGCCCTCCCACTGTTGATAAGCGGTGGGAATAATTACGATATTTTATGGGGAAAATCACAAATGTTGCAATAACTTTTTAACAGTAATTTTTACAACAATAAGAGTTGTCCTTTTCTGTTTAGAATTAAAAGGCTATACCGGTAAGCTATGTATAGGGGAAGAAATGAAAAAAATTTTAGAGTGTAAAAAGCTTAGTAGACTAGGCCAACAATATTTTCAATTAAGATTTCTATTTTAAACTAAAACCAGATACAGAACCTTTCTAGCAGATGTTTAATAAGATTTGGATTAACTTACCGTGTCCGCAAGCACTTCTTGTTTTGCTCAACCTTGGCTACATTAGGATAGGTCCCGGCAGTTAAGGCCGCTTTTACCACAGCCCAATTCCCTGAGTTTTGGTTATAATTCTGATCCTGTAGTTTGAGCTGTCCAAGAATTTGTCTCTTGCTGCCTCGAATCATTTCCATAGTCGACACACTCACAAAATTATCACGGCACCACTTAAATTCTTTTCTAATTGAAGCAGCTTCCTCCCATTCCTAAAACCAAGTTTTACATAAAAGAAATGAAATAGAAGTGAAATAATATTACTAATTCGATTTCTGACGTTAACCCAACCCACTTGGACAGTTGCTAAACACTTCAACGTGAGGGAACCTAACTAATAATACCTGGACAAGCTATGACCATATGCTTGTCATTGCAGGGTGTTCATTGTTTTGTAGCACTTATTACACAAACTATTTCCAAACATTTCAAATCATTTCCAATTACTATTATTATACAGTACAGTCTCTCAAATTTTGCTTCATAAACTGGTAGGTCTGATTTTAGTGAAAATAAAACATTTACAACAGCTGGTCTGTGATGTTAGTTGTGAAAATAAGATCATGTGTGTGCAAAGGCAAGTGTGCACTGGGGTTTGTTGTACATGAAATCTTGTACAACAGCAGCACTGGAAACAATCCTAGACATGCTTCCATTGGGGCAAGAAATCAGGATACGTGCTGCCAGTTAAAAGAACGATGGGAAGCAGAGGCAAGTAAAAGTCTCAGCGAGGGACTAGACACCTGTCCATACTAAGGGATTTCCTGATTATGGATATGGAACTAACAACGCCAAACCTTATGACCAAGGAGTAAGACTTGAAGATCCCCTACAAAGTTGCCATAGCGGACAGACAAAGGGATCTCAAGATGGACAGGTCTTGTGTAGTACACAGAAGGAAGTCGAAAGGATGGGAGATCGGGCTGGGGTTTTACGGTAACAAAACCAACATTTCTTCATCCCTGGGTAGCACAGCAACAGTCTTTCAGCTGAAGGTCTTGGCAATTGAATTGAGTGCTGTGCAAATCCCCTCTGGCCAAGAATCTGAAGAAAGAGAAAATACTTATCCTTTTTGACCGCCAAGCCACTATTAAGGTGCTGGAGTTATGTATGACAGAGTCACATACAGTTAAAGGATGAAAAACACTAGAGAAGTGCAAGTCTGAGGTTTGCAGAGCCAAGCTTTTGGGAAAAAGCTAAAGCCTTAAGTTTTTTTTTAGCCAAGCTTTTTTACATCATGAACTTTCCACGATGCCATATAATAAGTTGATCTCTCAAACACCTTTTTCAAAATAAAATTTGATGTTAGGGTAAAGAGTGAAATATAATTTGTAAGTAGGTACATAAAAAGATTTGTAAATAAAAAAAGCAATATTTTTCTGAAAATTAGTGCTAATAAATAACTATTCCAACAATAACGTTTTTGGTAATGATGGATTTAGGCAAGGGTTTTTAAGCATTTGATAAAGGAAAGGTTTAACATCAGGTTTACCTTACTTACAACAATAAATGAAATGCACAAACCTAAGTACTCGTTAAACTAATGTTATTAAAATAGGGAATGAATATGACATAGTTAAGGAGATATTTGAGTGAAAATCCAAATACTCAAATGGAAATTTGCTTAAACTGCAGGTTTGCTGTGGCAGGGGTATTTACTTTTCGCAATGGAAAGAAAGCTCGGTTGGAGTGCTCTAAGGGTCTATACTGGAACCTTTTTTATTTTTTATTTATGTCAATCTTCCTTCAAACTCAAATCCAAAACTTATTCTTTATGCTGACGATTACTGCTTCATGCTTTGAACTTATTCTCAAAGCTAATAGTTGCAATGATCTACAAAATTCAATAAATCTTGCTTTTGAAGAGTTTATTTCATGTTTTAAAGCAAACGCCTTAAAACCAAATTGCTCCAAAACCGAACTTCTAAGATTGAAAACCAGTTATGATAGACAACAAATATCAACTCAAGACACTGACGTTATTAATGATACACACACGACCAAATTTTTAGGTATTCAAGTTCAAAATACTTTGAAGTGGGATGAATATACTCAGGGTGTCTATTTTATTTCCATTATAAAATTCAAGACTAATTCCAGACTTTTCAAGACTAATTCCAGATTTTTCAAGACTAGTTTTTTCAACAATTAGTGGTTGTTGATACCAAAATGTAACGATTCTCGATTCTTGATACCGATACCAATTTTTATGGCTTAACCAAATTTTCTGAATAATACTACACCAACCACTGTCTCTGTCATAAAGTAGTATTATGATAATGTGGTGTTTTCAAGTATAGAAATAATGCAGCAATAAAAAATTTTAACTAGCAAATTTTTTTTTTTTTTATCATGAAATCTTCCGCTTACCGTACGTTTAGACATGCGATTACAGAAACGTGATGGTCGTCGTCCGCGATCACGGCAAAATCATGAACATTTCCCGCGGCCATGTAGCCATCAATGACATCATTGTCGTCTCCCGCAGTCTCAGAAACGTCATCGTCATCGTCCGCGATCGCGGCAAAATCATGAACAATTCCCGCGGTTGTTTAGACATCACCATCATCTCCCGCGGTCACGGAAACGTTATCGTTGACGTCCGCAATCACGGCAAAATCATGAACATTTCCCGCGGCCGTGTAGACATCATCGTCGTCTCCAGCGGTCACGGAAACGTCATCGTCATCTCCCGCGGTCACGGAAACGTCATCGTCGTCGTCCACGATCGCGACAAAATCATGAACATTTCCCGCGGCCGAGCAGATATCATCGTCGTCTCCCGCGGTCACGGAAACGTCATCGTCGTCTCCCGCGGTCACGGAAACGTCATCGTCGTCTCCCGCGGTCACGGAAACGTCATCGTCGTCTCCCGCGGTCACGGAAACGTCATCGTCTTCTCCCGCGGTCACGGAAACGTCATCGTCATCTCCCGCGATCGCGACAAAATCATAAACATTTCCCGCGGCCGAGCAGAAATCATCGTCGTCTCCCGCGGTCACGTAAACGTCATCGTCATCTCCCGCGGTCACGGAAACGTTATCGTCGTCGTCCGCGATCACGGCAAAATCATGAACATTTCCCGCGGCCGTGTAGACATCATCGTCGTCTCCCGCAGTCACGGAAACGTCATCGTCATCTCCCGCGGTCACGGAAACGTCATCGTCATCTCCCGCGGTCACGGAAACGTCATCGTCGTCGTCCACTATTGCGGCAAAATCGTGAACATTTCCCGAGGCCGTGTAGACATCATCATCATTGGCTTTCGCGGTTACGTAAACGCAAGACGACGATCGCGGCAAAATCATGAAAATTCCCGACTTTGAAATCAAATTTAAGACTAAATCCCGACTTTTAAGACCATTTTGAAATTCAATACTAATTCCCGACTTTCCCGATTTTCCCGACTACTAGACACCCTGTATACTGTAATTGTATGCAAGAAATTAAATAAAGCCTCCAAACGTTTGTCTGCCTTACAAAACTAAAATTTCACTATCCGCACACCTCTAATTCTGCCAATACATTTCTGACAACCTTGAGAACTTACTCTGTAAGCGTTAAGGTAGACCAAGTGATCACTGAATGAACCTTCAGCCAGCTCAAGTCTCTTCTGGTTGATTCTGGCTTTAATGTCTGGATCAACTGGTAGTTTAAACATCTCCCTGAAAGAAGAACAGAGTTGTTTGTCCATAGCCTAATTGACATTTAATCAATTTAAAATAAAAATTGTTTCATAATATTGTGAGTACAGTTGATTTCAAAACCTGTGTGCAGAGTTAGAATAGTCTCTTTTGTCTATAGTAAACTGGAATATCTAGAGTATAAAAAAAAAACACCTGGGGTTGAGATCATCAACTGTACATTTTTCTCTGTAGTAAAGTAAACTTTGTTTGCCGATATTTCCAATTAAAATAGTTCCTATTAACACATATTTATTATTGTCATATGGTTTGGTTATCACAATTTCTTAGTGTTTTATCATCGTACATATCAATATAATCACACTCAACAATATACTCCTTAATTAATATTTAAACTAATTGAAATTTTAAACAATTTTGGTCATTTGGATTTGGACTCATTATTGCGTAGGTGGCGTAATACATCTTGCATTTAACTTTCACCAAACAGTAACAGCTGTTTGTTTAAGGTAGCAAAAAACCCATTTTGGGAGCTAACTTTTAAACTTAAACATCAAACAAAATTAATGCACATTATACCCAACAGTTCAGTGGCTACAAATATGAATTTTAATTATAAACAAACAGTTTCTTTTATTATTAGTTATCTAAAAAAATTATGCATACAGTGGTCCTACAGTATGATATAAAATAAAAAATATAGTAGACCACACGGGCCAAAAGTGTCTTTTTGACCCTTCCTCATCTTCCTTGAGGTAAACTTGAGCTTGGGTGGAAGAAAATCACTTTAGACCCTAATAATAGAATGCAATATTGACAAAGGTGGAGTTTTTTTTGTATTAAAATAAAATGGAAAAGGCCAAAAAGGAAAAGGAAATTTGCCTGCTCAAATGGGCCTCGAGAAGGTGAAAAGGACTATGAAATCAGTGTAAAAATTAAGAGTACTGGTAATTATTAGTAGTGGCACTAAAAAAACTATCCCACAATATCACTGCCATGATTTTGCAGTCCATTTTAAATTTAATTTCTACTTAATACCATTATTGATTATACCAGTGTAGTGACTAAGTTTAGTACATAGAGTGAACCATCAAACTAAACAGATTAACAAATCTAATTTTATGAGAATAGTGTCCTATTTGAATTGTTTTTAGTCTACAACAAGTCAAGAAAAGGTTTCTGCTATTATGATTTCAAATATGTTTACCTCCACATGAAATACTACAGCCACATATTTCTAATTTTTTTTCAGAAGGCAAATATATTGTATAGACTAATTCAAGTTTTGATATTCATGACAATATACAGTAACTAATAGTAACTGTCACAATTTTCTCAAAAAAATTTTAACTTTTGCAAGAAAATATATAGAACAATAATTGAACTTTGTTTTTCAGTCATCAGTACGTAAAAGTTTGTCAAGCAACATTTAGCAAGCAAATCAACTAGCCCTCTGGGGAAAAATCATAATACAATGATTTAGTATAGACACTGTACTTACCCACTAGATAAACAGCATACAATGGTCAAAACAGGGTCCAAACATTTTAGTATCATAGCATTGACAATCATCTTTCCATAACGTGGGTCAATGCTCAAGTCGAGAAGATAGCGTCCTAATTCAGTTAGCTCTTCATCATTATTCAGCGCATCCATTTGCTGCAAACGATGTTGAAAAATTAAACAACATTAGGAAAGACGACTCAGAGCTAAAAATGTTTTTATTTGTATCGATATATGCGATATATGATTTGTATCGTTATTAAAATTCAATTTAGTTACAAGTGCATGAAATGGAGAACCTCTCTCTTATCTCTCAGATTGAAAGACCAAAACTATTTGAAATATTACTTTAGGCTACGTTTATTAAGGCACTTGCATAATCAAAAAGCAAAAAGCATTCAGTGATGAACAAAATTAAAATTTAAGCTTGCAGAATCAAAGTAGTGCACTCCAAGCACTAGACTAGAACGCTCCCAAGTTGTTATATTTTCAAATTTAGAACAGAAAATTTTGTAACAAATTTTAGCAAATACTTTATCTGGACAATAGGGGTGTGTGAAAAGTTTTGGATTCAAAATGAATTATTCATATTATTTTTGGATAGCAAATATTTTTTAATGAATATTATTTTTAAATAATTAAATTATACAGGCTCCAATCAATTAGTATTTCGACTGGTTCACTGTAGCCTTAAAAGAGCAGTGTAGGGGGGTGGACTGGTTGGGTTTGATAGACCATCCAGGAGTACTTTGGTTCAGTCGCCTATGGCCATTCGTTAAGACAGTAGGTCAATATTTGCATTGAGTGTTTTTTTCATTGTGTCGTCTTAACTATAACTTGTACGCTTTAATCCGAGTCGGAGACCCTTGCTCTCATAATCAGGCTTATGGGGATGATGCTTTGAGCCGCACAAGGGTTTGTGAGTGGCGCCAAATGTTGGAAGGCTGGAAACTCGTCAAAGACGAGTACGTGTATTACCCAACGGTAAAACAAATGTTATGTTTAACCAGTAAAATTTTCAGAATAAAATATTGAATATGGAAAAAGTTCTTTTAACAATTGACTAAAACAAAGTACAATATAGGAAACAAACCTTGAGAAGATTGATGGTTTGGGTCACAATATCGGGTCTAGGGGGGTCAAGTGCTTTGCCTAAAAACTCTGAGATGGATGTACCTGTAGGTGCCAGTTGCTTGGCTTGCAGGCACAACTCCTGTAAACATTGTAGGATTGTAAGATAAATTGTCATTACAGTAGACCCCTCTTAACCGACCCTAATGGGGCCAGACCTAGGTTGGATAACTCAAAAGGTTGGTTAAAACGGGCAATTCCTAAAAACATAATATAATTATTTGCTGTTCATTTGGAATTGTATATTCAATATTTTGAAGTTGTACTTGCACTATTTATAAAATAAACTACATTTATCTCATTTTTTGTATTGATAGAAAAGTCACAAAAAAACACAAAACACAGTTATGTCAAATACTTTCAGTGGAATAAATTATAGTTGTAGGCAAGGGTCAATAAAACTTCTTATTTTGATAACTTTAGTACTGTAATATTAATTTATGCTTGTCAAATCTATTGTAATACAATACAGAACATTTTTTCGAAATTAAAAATACTAGCAACCATTTTGTTACGAGACAGGCTGTTTATTTATAGCCTCTCACTGGAGGCTCGAGTCACAAAAACTATCTTGACCTTGAAGTCTTTGAGGTTTGTTTACTCTAGCAAAAAGATAATCAGTTATAAAATTCGTAACACACTTTACGATTTTATAAATTTACCGCACAGATAACAAATCAGATGTGCTCACGCTACAAACAATGATGACAAACGGGCAATATGGAATATTTTTTGGGATAGGCCTAAATACAAAAAATGTTTTATCTTGGTCACATCCTGTGGAGATAAGCGTATGGTTCCCATCACCGAGTGTGGGAGCGGAAATGCCGAGATTCATAGAAAGTGGCGGTTAAACCGAACTGCTCTCAAAGCAAGGTTGGTTAAAACAAACTGTAATATTTTACGATCAAGGGCGGATAATCCGATTATCGGTTGATGCGAGGTCGGTTAAGAGGGGGTCTACTGTATTATTGTACAGTATAAATTTATATGGAAAGGTCTAAACAAGTGTAGAACCCTGGTTAACCGAAATAAAGGGGGGAGAGTCGTTTCAGATAACCAATTTTTTTGTTAACCATCATATGCTATTTTAAATAGCCAATATATCACCACAGTGAGTAGGAAAAATGAATTTAAGAGAATGACTATATGATTCAGTGTTTTATTTCAGCTACACAAATGTTACAATGAGATAGAAAATATTAAAACCAGACAACTGAAGTTATTAAAGCATTTTACAGTCCTATATTATTTTATAGCACCATTTCGGTTAACCCGGGTTTCGGTTAACCCGAATCTGGTTAACAGGGGTTCTACTGTAAAACAAAAATCAATTTCTCTTTGATCTACACTATAATTTTGCCAAATAAATGATTGTCAATTATTATATACTAGAGGTGTGCAAATATTAACATTTGAGTTCGGATCGGATTCGGGTTGGATAGTTAAGGCTCGATTCGGATCTTAAGGTATATTGGAAGGTTCAGATTCGGATAGTTTATCGTTAGTTAATAAACGTTAATAACATGATTTGAATTTTTTTGCTTCAACAAAATAGAACAAACTCATAATATTTTAGGTTATTGGCCCCTATTACGCTCCCAGTAGTGTTTCAGAAGAGAAGCACGTCAATAATTATAAATTGATGTTCCCGTAGTTCAAAACCATTAATTTGTAAAACAATAAAACACTACATAACTCATAAAGAAATATAAAATCATGTATAAAGAAATTTAAGATGTATAAAATCATACATACAGATAATAACAGCACTTGTAAAAATGGTATAAAAATAACAACTTTGTTCTTTTATTCTTTCTGGAGTTTTCCTTCATCCACACATTCAACAAATTACCATGGTTACTAATCACACAGTAACACAACAGTAATCACACAGTTTCCATCACCCAATTGGTTACTAATCATTCAATTAGAGACTAAGCTATATGTCGTTATTAGCCGAGCTTTTGTGACATAGCACACAGCAGGAGCAGACACGACCTTGGGATGTTGATCAATATCTCTCTTTTATGTTTCCATTTTAATTTTGTCAAATGAACTATGAGGTTTTAAAATTAGGTACATTTTTTTAAGCAGACTTTCTTAAAACAGTCATATTTATTCCCTGTATACGAACAATTCTCATCCTTGCATGTTTAAAGCAAAGACTATCAGTGCGTTAAGAAAAAACAATCAAGGTTAAACTTACTGTTAGAGGCTCTCTCAGAATTTCTGGAATTTTGTTGACGTTCATGGACTGATATCTCTTTTTGGTGTACAGTCTGAAGCATATCCCTTCAGAGGTTCTACCAGCTCTACCTTTCCGCTGTTCAGCGCAAGTCTGGCTGATCCAATCACAATCCAGGGTATAAGCTCCACTGACTGTGTCTACACCTCGCTGAAACATACAAAACACAGTCAATGGAGGGTAGCCTTAAATAAACTAAAAATGTTTAATTCTCTAACTAATTTCCAGAAGGTGTAACATTTTGCTCATGGAATCTTTGAGAATATTTGCTATTTCTGTACGAAACATTTGTTTACTAAAATATTGAAATGCTTAGTTTGAATAATAGTACTTGGGGACTGAGCTTTGCTCCGTCAAAATCGGTAGGATACTCTGCAAGGAATAACTAGGCTCAAACGATGGTGTTTAAGTATTTAACCTCTCATTGAAGTTTTGATCCAGCATCATTTTATCAAATAAATAGGGATGGGTTGGATGTAAATGTCAGTTGTTGGTTTTAGTAGTTTATATAAAAAAACCGAGAATTTACATGAACAGTTGGTACCTATCAGTTTATTTATAAAACTGATGTCTTGCACACAAACATTTTGTACAATTTTTTTTTTTTTTTGTTAGGAGCACATAAAATATTTGTCAGGAGTTAGTTTACGACTATAATAATTTATTACTATGGCAATAATCCCAATTATAATCCCATTGATATTTTATCATGACAATAGTAGTTTTGGACAAGCTTTTAAAAAAACCAACTTATTCCAGCAAAAAAATAGTAATTTGTATACAAAAATTAGTTACTAAATATGTCAAATTCAAGATTGAAAACTAGATGTCCGAAATTAGATTTCGAAATACCCCTGCCACAGCAAAACCTTGAGAGGGCAGACTTAGCGAATTTCTATTTGCCTAATAAAATTCTTAGTCATGTCACATTTATTCCCTATTTAAATACCATTAGGTTTAACAATTACTTTGATTTTCCCCAACAGAATTTGATTAAAATATAACCATAACAAAAAAATTACAACAGCTTCCTTAATCTCCATAAGTATACTATAGGAATTTTAAATATACAATTTTTTGTAATTTGCCCAGTAACCATTAAAATTTTGCTTCAGTTTACTAATTTTGTTTTTATTGTTAGGAAAGAAATCGTGGTATTAATTTATGTTGGAGGGTCAAAATGGGAAAACCCAATTTTTACCCCATAAAATCCCAACAAAGCTTTCTTACCTCTTTGATTTTTCCGCAGTCAATCACAAATACAACATCGTTTATTGTGACACTGGTCTCTGCAATATTAGTAGACAGGATGACTTTCCTATGACCAGGAGGTGGGGGGCCAAACACACTCTTCTGATTCACGGACTGCAAAATAAATTTACCTTAATAGTATATTACTTTACTAGCCCGGTAAGTGGTGTTTTATCTTGCGAGCACGACAGTTGCAGACAGATGCACAAAATTTTACATTATGTGGCAGCAAGTTAAAGATTTTCTCACCTAATTCAAAAGTTGATTTAATGGTAGTCTGGCATTGGTGAATTCTGAAAAAATTCCCTGCCTGGTAAAATATGAATGCACTGAATTGTTATCAGGGATATTATTAAGATTGTCTTTAATAGGGGTGTGCGATGCAGCATATTTTTTTCGATTCGATGCATCGATGCGATTCAAAGAATTTCGATTTGAATCGATGCGATTCAATTCGATGCAGCAGGCATGATTTTCTTTAAAAATTAAATACAACTTGTGTTTCTGTAATGGATCCTTTACCTTAAAAAAGTTAAAGTAAAAAATGTACTAAATAAAATTATGAACAAGAGGATAGTTGCTGACCTAACCTCATTAATGGACACTGCTAATTTTATGGTTGGCCTAAGGAAATTCACCCTTCACTAACAATTAGAATAAGCCTATATATCGTTAAAGCTATCATTAAGTTTATTATTATTGACCTGTATTAAATAAAATAGTGTTTATTTTATGATGTAGTAGGCCTATTGTTACTTAATTTTCACATTTATATTGATTGTCTTTCAATACTTCTGGTACATTCTTAAATCAGCACGGACCAAAAAAGTTGATAATCAGTGTTTACTGTCTATTTGATACATTATTGCATGTTATGAATAAATAGATCTGAAATTAAAGATTGAAATTAATAAAAAGTGTGTGTAAACTAAAAAGTTCAAAGAGATCAGTGAGGCCTACCAAAAAGATAATAGTTATTAATTAGAACTTAAATAATATATAATGTCATTTTCTCACTATTTATATCTTCAACATTTGTTAAACTATGAAAATAAGTCACTAAGTCTAGCTGAAAACTTATTAATAAATTACAATATCTTTTCAATACAGAATAATAAAACAAACCATATTTTACAAACATTTTATTTCTTAACTTTTTCCCTTGAACAGGGTGAGGAGGCCAAAATTTTTTTAATGACTATCAACAAAAATGAGGTATCAATTGTAATTTTACGTAAGCCGCTGATGAGTGAGCTGTGAAGAGCAGACGACAGAATTACGTCACTACCACAACAACTCAACTCTACTGGGATGGCGAACTGCGGGTGTTTAGTGTGAAGTGAAGCACCCCCTCCCCTGTCTAACATTAACATGACAAGGGGTATGAAAAGAGAAAGTTTGTCAGAATGGCAGACTTGCCCTTTGTAAAGTCTGGTTCACATGCCCTCCCTCACCCTCAGTCGCTTGCATAATTCTACTAAACAAAAGTTTCTGAGTGTTAATTTTAAAATAAATGTTTAAATTCAATGACTAAAGTATAGATCTGATAAACTTTACTCTAATTTATAAATGGGCTTATCAGAATTTTATCAGCCATTTGTCAGTTGTTTTTTATTTCTTTACTTTTATATGTAAAGATATCTTTTAATTTAGCCTTCAAGAAAAGAAAGATTATGTTTTGTTTGGGACTTAAATCTCCTTGATAAAAGAGAAAAGACTGCACGTTTGATACAATTAATTTCAATAAGTTAATGTGCAACTATGCGACATTTTTTTCTAAAAAAATAACAGCCTACAGTGTAAAAGAATCGTGTGCACTGTACAGCAAAATGTGTTTCTTTGGGTGCTTTTAACAAACATTCCATAGTTTTAATTAGTAACAAATGTGTTTATGTTCCTGATGATACCAAGAACAAGGCTGGGCAGAGTGGATTCACAGTGAACCAGCCAGGTACAACACGTAACTACAACCATAGATAAAACATAGCCTACTCCCTTGTGTTGGTTAGTCTATGCTACAACGATCGATTGGAACAATTGATGTTTTGAGCCAAAATATTCATATTGATATATAATCGGAAAAATTGATGTTTTATTAAAATATATAAAGCCATATGTCAAGATTTAGTTAACAGACATAATTGAACGTCAAATCTAGGTCTTTGTAAGACAAAAGAAAATCACACAGTTTTAAACTTTAACCTAATTTTATACTCTTTATAAACAAACACGTCCTACATAACGGTTCTTGATATTTATCAATGTATCTTATCTAAACCCTTCCCACAATAATATACTCACACACAAATAACAACATCAAAGCAATCGTCACTTGCTCCATTGAAACACGAACGTCGATTGGCTGACATGACAGTGCAGCGTGGCCTCTCGACCAATGAGAACTCTTGTTACATACTTTGATTTATCTTAGATAGTCAACATTTGCCATTCATTATAATATTACAAAATCGACATGGACTATGCGTATGGTGTTTTTCAATCAATACTTATGTTATAGTAGCACTTAAAACTTCACTTAAACTCTTAAACTAGGTAGATAGTACAGATATAATATGGATCTACTTTTTGGTGCAATAGGCAAGTGCAAGCCTAACCCTCTGACTTCGACGATGTTGTAATTGAATCAAATTTTTCTAATGATGCGTAATGCAGGGATCAAACTGAACATTTAGACAAGTTTAGCTTATTTATTTTGTTCTAAAAATAAAAATAATACATTTAAAGGTCTGACTTATTGATACAGACATTTTTAAGTATAATTTCGTGTTGAGGACAATCGCGCGCCGGTTGTCTGAGACTGAATTCTGACTGTCTGACATCTTGAAATGTAGATTGTATTGTGTTGTGCAATATCATCTGCCTGCAGAGAGAACAGCTGAAGCTAAACTTTAGCTGTTTTGAACTAAATAGTGTGCTAAGTTGGTTACTAAAGTTGTTAGCGTGATTACAAAACTAATAGATATCAAATAAATAAATGTTAAAATAAAATATCTATCCATCCCTGTCGGGTATCGGTATCGGCGGAATCAGGCGAAATCGACGTTTGGCAATCGATTCTTGATACCGATATTCCTAGTATCGGCAATGTCCGAGTATCGGTGGTAGCGATAATTGACACTTCCCTATCTAAAACTCATTTTGGAGTCCTAAATTAGTTTTAAATATGCATCGGGACGTAATCGTTGCATCGGGAGTTACCTAATCGGTCTTTTCTTTTTCGATGCATCGAGGCCAAATCGATGCATCGTGATTTCGATGCATGCTGAATCAAATCGCGATTCGATGCATCGAATCAAATCAAATAGAAATTTCTATGCATTTTCGATGCATCGCACACCCCTAGTCTTTAATGTTTATCACAGAATCCAGTAAAACCACAGAAAACATACTACTATAACCCAGAATGCTAACTGCATGGTAAAAAGCGTAAAGTACTTTGAGAGAGCTTTGCCTGTCAATTCGTAGGCAGCGCCCCCAGCGTTGCTATGCTCAAATTACTTAACGCTTTTTACCATTCTGGGTTATAGTAGTATGTTTTCTGTGGTAAAACCCAGATTATGATCCAGATAATGATTGTACAGTTAGCACACCAAGTTTTCAAAACAGAGGTAAACACTATACAGTGAGTTTTTCTTTTTACTTTTCATATGACTCTTAAAACTCTCTTCTGCAAATCAGTAACTTGTTAACACTGCTGTCACATCCCACAACAATTTCATACGATTGGTGACTCTGAATGTAAGCAAAGTATATTAACATCAAAACATTAAAATCAGTAATGAACCTAAGACATCTAATCATAAAAATACCTTTAGACACTCTTTTGAATTCATTGAAAACATAATTTTTCCATTTAATGTAAGGTTTTAGAACTATACCTAGAAACCTAACCTCTGCAGGTGTGTTGTGGGTACATGAACTTAAGTTAAATTTGAGGATTTTAGTTTTCTTCTTCTTGAGACACAGCAAATTTACAGACATTATTAAGGAAATTGACAGGAAAGCAGGCTTACCTTTAAACAAGTCCATAGAGACACATAAAATATACAACACAAAAGTAGGAAGTTTTGTCATTTCTCCAGTGACTTTAGTCAAAACTTTCTACTTTTGTGTTGTATATTTTATGTGTCTCTATGGACTTGCTTAAAGGTAAGCCTGCTTTCCTGTCAATTTCCTCACTAATTCCTGGCAAATGCCATATCTTTTTATTTATCAAATCTACAGATAATGCTTTTGCTAATGAATAGTAACAGAAAAAAGGCAGTAAAAATAAACTTCAACTAGGCCTACTATTCAATTAGGCAAAGGTGGTTTCCCTTCAAAACTATTAAATCTTTTGCCTTTTTCTAATGAATTCCGTGGAGGGGAACACACGATGAGTCTATAAGCAAATTTTTAATTAGCGCCCGATCCTTATGGGATTTGGCCACTTAAAAAAAAAACTGGCCCTCTTTAAATAAACGGTATCAGCATTCTGACACATACTTTCTCCCATAAGTTTGTCAACAACCTTTATCATGTGTAAGTGGTGAGAGTAAATATACGCAAATGGGATTTGTACAATTTTGTTCAGAATTTATAGGACTATTACATGCTAAATTTTTATCAAAATCGTTCGAGTCATTTTTGGGAAAATCCGATTTTTCTGTTATTTTATGGGGGTTTTATGGGAAAATGACATAGGTAATTACAATAACTTTTGAACCGTAATTTTTAAAGAAATGGGATTTGTACCATTTTGTTCAGAATATAAAGGACTATAACATACTAAATGTTTATCAAAATCGTTCGAGCCATTTTTGGAAAAATCATATTTTTCCGTTATTTTATGGGGTTTTATGGGAAAATTCCCATTAAAAATAAAAATTTCTAAAAAATTAAAAAAAAATATCAAAAATGCAAGGACTATAATATACTATGTTAAATCAAAACAGGATTTTTCTAAAATCCAATTTTTCGTTATTTTATGGAGTTTTTATGGGAAAATAACATATTTGACCATAACTTTTGAACCGTAATTTTTACAGATATGGAATTTGTACCATTTTATTCATAATTTAAAGGGCTACAACATACTAAATTTTTTTCAAAATCGTTCGGGCCATTTTTGAGAAAATCCGATTTTTCCGGTTTTTTATGGGTTTTTATGGGAAAATCCCCATTAAAAATAAAAATTTCAAAAAAATGAAAAAAACGCCTGGAGATACCATGGATTAGAACCTACATACCAAATTTCATCGAAATCGGACCACAGGTGTGGTCTCTAGCTCTGTACACATCCAGACACACAGACACACACACACACACACACACAGACATCACTTCGAAAACCACTTTTTTGGGTCCAGGGGGACCCAAAACGAATATATCCACTCAAAACTCAAACTCGAAAATTTTGACGAAAACAATACTTTCTCCATATACTATGGTATAGGGGGAGAAAGTAAAAAAAAAAAAACTCCTTAAAATAAAACTGTTAACATAACCATTAACTCTATAACGATCAATGTAGAAATAGACTACCTACATAGAAATAAGAGCTCAAATGGTTTGCAATTTTAATTTTAAATAACATGTGTAAGACTTTTTTATTGATCTTTTTACTTCACTGATAGTAATGCTAATAATAATTTAAGAGATACTTTAATTTGGTTTACTAACTGGCCACCACGATAATCTGTTAAAGCAAGAGCATCAACAGCACTGGATTCATGGAAATAACATCAACTTCTCTTAGTATTAATAGTAACTTCTTATTTCCCTTTTTAAATAAAATATTTTTATATTGATATTCCATAAGAACAATAACTTCCCTTCTATATGACAGCAACTTAGCGGACACAGGTAGCACTGCCCATGTCTGCTAGTTCCTATTTTTATTTGTTATAATTTGGCGCTATTTAAAACAAAAAATGCATTTTTAGGGTAGAAAAATGTAAACTCTATCTTCCTCTGTTGAAGTTAGCTAAATTCTGTAACCAATGTTTTTTGGAATAAATTACAATATATTCATTCATTCATTGAATAACTCTTTAAGGCTTGGTTGACATCAATGATTAGAGAATGAATAAATAATTTGACTACCATCTATTGGTTTATATGACTCATGATATAAAAATTCAAAATGATTTAAGATAGTAACCGCTATCAAACATGATGGTATGTATGGTCAGCTGTTAAGTGGCATTAAGCCTTGATTTCTACCACAAAATAGGTTATACTAATAATGATAATTTTGTACCGTCATTCTCGAATGCAGAAGATGGAGTATCAAAGGCTTTGATTCAAACATGGAGGTGTTTTCCATGATTTTGTCTCTGACCCGCATGATCTGATCAAACCCTGGCAAAAACACGAGGACTGCACCTGAAAACAATTTATTATAATGGTACCAAATAAATGAAATTTGCATGTGTTCAGGATAAAGAATACTTATATCATTTCTAAAACTTATCAATAGTATTATATTAGCCTACATAGCAACCATACAAAAAATTATACTTGAAAATACACAACTCTTCCCAAGCATTCATCACATTTCCTTTGTTACAATTCTTTACAAGACATATATTGTCCTCCTTTTTTCCTAATGTGTGGCAATTTTTTAACAAGTGTTTATCACTTATTTACCAGTATTTACCGTCTTGTAAGTTAACAAGAGTAAAATATATATACATTTCAAGAGTGCTATTAGACATATTTTTATTTACTTTCTGTAATTTGTGAACAGAACCTTACTAATAGAATAACTCATACTAGTTTTGGGATTTAACTAACAGACAGAAGATTTCAACTAACCTCTTTCAACTCAACTATTATTTTGTGTCGAATTTCACAATTTTATCCATCATAAAGCATCTTCTGTGATAAATTAATTGTTAAATGATTACAATACTCTAGCCCACACAATGGCAGTTGTCAATGGAAGTGGTCAAGTGGTTCCAACTAACAAGATACAGTATTTGCATTGTTAAAGTGAGTCTATTATGTGGTAGGGGAGGTAGCTTCAGCGTATATTGCAGAACTGACTGGTAAATTTACCATACTCCAGCTACTTTTAACTGTCCTTTTCTGCAACTTTCTGACTTTTTGGTCCAAAAAGATAACAGAAACCAGCTGACTACCGTAGTGTGACAAAAAGATTTTATATAATGAAACAGTAGAATAAAGCTTAGTTAGCATGAAACTTGTGGAACGGATCTGTAGGTCCCCAAAAATTTTGGGCTGGACCAGAACAACAGTTGGCTTGAGAAATTAATTTAGGCCAGAAATAATTTTAAAACAAAGCATTTATATCATAAAAGTGCGCTTCTCAATATTCGATCACAGACAGTGTCTGAAAATTGGGCAGTCACAAATTCCTGATTTTGCCACGATCGCAAGAGATGTTCATGATTTTAGCTTGCTCTTTCTATCCAAAACAAATTCAAACCAATTTATTTAATTGTTTGTCGTATTAAATAAAAAAAGTTTGATCTGGTAACAGGTAAAATGTTTCAGGTTGACCAAACGATACTAAAGAAATTAAAAATAAACAATTAAAGATGATAAGTGATGATTCCTAGGCATAAATATCTAGCAATAAAGAGTAGGCCTAAGGGAGCCAATTTCACGGAATCCTTTCAATAATGATCCTGAAGTAAAATAAAACTGTATAAAATGAATTACCATCTCGTCCATCAGCATGGATTGATCTAAGGACCGCAAGGATTAAATTTTCATCCACAGGCTTTTTCAAATGGCACTTTTCGTACAAGTCAACCATTTGTTGAATGTGCGATGGTACATCAGAAGTAACAGTGGCAGCTGTTGTCTCTTTTTTTCTATTTTCATATTGTCTGAAACCAAATATCAACGTTAAGTAAACCATGAAAGCTGATGTAAAGTTTAATTAAGTGCCCAGGTATTAATGAGGGTAGCAAACTAGGAACATCTTCTCAGTGGACTTTAGGATTAGATTGATTGAGAGCAATTATATGATGGCCGTGGAATGCATGACCACAACTATCTGATGACTTGTTTTATTTTTTACTAGGTAATATTTTGTGATTTTCTTAAACTTTTCGATTGCATTAAGCAATTATGCACTGGGTAGTATAAATTCATGTTTAGTTTTAGTCTTGTTGCCATTCATGTAAAAATAATGTATATTGAATAAAGTGAATTTGAATCTTGAATCTATTTACATTGCTTGAGTTACAAACCATTAAAAAACAGCAAAGTCACTATTATATTTCTGGTTCATAAGACTTTGCATAAAGTATCCACAATAAATATACAGGGTTAGTAAAAAGTGTGGAGACCCCCTGTTATTTTTTTAACGGCCCATACTAGAAAAACTAAACTCGGCACACCATTATGGCATGTTATGAAGTACTTTTTGGGCATAACCACCACTTGGTGTTAATCCCCAAAATGGGGGATTTTGGGGGACACTAAAAAATTTCAAATACAAAGACCCATCGAGTGACCTCTCATTTTGAAGGTCCTGGTAAAGGAAAACCAACAACGCAAACTAGAGGTCTCTATCTCAGTTCAGTACAAAATGGGAGCCAATTGAAATTCTCATAAGTTCCCAAACCCAAAATGGGGGATTTAGGGGGAAACTCAAAAATTTTAAATGATAAGCCCCATCGAGTGACCCCTCATTTTGAAGGTCATAATAAAATAAAACTAACAACGCAAACTATAGGTCTCTATCTTAACACAGTAAAATATGGCAGCCAATTGAATATAAAATTGCAAGTTATTTCCGATTTCTAAAGATTTCAATCAGCTTCCATTTTTTACTGGATTGAGATAGAAACCTCTAGTTTGCGTTGTTAGTTTTCTTTTACCAGGACCTTAAAAATGAGGGGTCACTTGATGGAGCTTATCATTTAAAACTTTTGAGTTTCCCCCAAAATCCCCCATTTTGGGTTTAGTAAGCAAGTGGGTATTAGGCTTAAAAAGTACTTCATAACATGCCAAAAAGGTGTGTAGAGTTTAGTTTTCCTAGTGTGATCCGCTACAAAATTTACAAGGGGGTTTCCAGACTTGGAAAGCTGCAAGTTAAATTCAACTTCTGAGAATTTCAATTGGCTGCCATTTTTTACTAGATTGAGATAAAGACCTCTAGTTTGCGTTTTTGGTTTTATTTTACCAGGAACTTCAAAATGAGGGGTTACTCGATAGGTCTTTGTATTTGAAATTTTTTAGTTTTCCCCAAAATCCCCCATTTTGGAGATGTACACCAAGTGACGGTTATGCCCAAAAAGTACTTCATAACATGCCATAAAGGTGTGCCGAGTTTATTTTTTCTAGTATGGGCCGTTAAAAAAATAACAGGGGGTCTCCACACTTTTTACTAACCCTGTATATATGAAACAAAAAAAACGTATTTAAACCTAAGCATGTAAATAAAGGTACAAAAATACAATGAAATTATTTGGGACCAAGTACATAACAATCATAACAAATATGCAAACAATAATGCTTGTAGATGTGTCAATTGAAAGTCAATTAAAATACACATATTTTAAGTAATGAATACACTGAAGATTAGTAACTGGTTTAACATTAAACTAAACTGTTACTGTAATAGAATTACATAAATAGGCGGTAAATTCTTCCCACTTATGAAATGAATCAAGTCGCTAAATAAACATAAATTTAATAGCTACCATAAAATTATTAGGCCTATTGCCATGATAAAGTATTAATACGATTTTAATTGCATCATTACCCTAGTAATAAATTATGAAAGTTGTGAACAAACATTTGATCAATCTTTTAAGTAGAGGGTAATTAAAGCAAACTGGAACAAAATACTCACAAGTACAAGTCTAACAAGCCCAGGATGGAATAATCACCGACCTCCTCAGCGTAGGTTTGGGCAGTCTTGCCCTCAGCACTTACGATGGTTAAATCAGGTTTATGTTGGATCAGGTAGTTAACAGTGTCAACATCACTATGAATGGCAGCCGCCATCAAAGCTGTTCGACCACATTGTGGGTGCTGTAAATAAAATGTACAATGGCTTTACATCTGATTTTGTTAGCTGAAAGTTATAAAAATCTACTTTTTCTACCACTGCATGGAAATAAAATGAAATGAAATGAAAATGTGCTTTATTGTACAATTTAGAACATAAATACATTTTTACACAGACACATAAAAACAATGGTTAATAACCGTCTGTTTTGTTGGCACTAGAGTTGTTCCATTACTTAAGATTAGAATAGTAGGCCTATTGAGCATTAAAAAGATTTATTAATATTTCTGAAATAAAGACATAAGAGAAAAGATATAAGAGAGAACGAAATATTATTACATAAGTGATAAAAAACAAAAACATACTGATCCTAACTTATCTGTAGACGAGTTTCATATACAATTATTTAGGTTCAAAAGTTAAATTCTGTCACTATCTCCCATCTATACTTCCAAGCGTTTTCTAGATAACTAGCTAAAGCTCGCCAATTCCTCCCATTTATAAATTGATGATATTCTATTTCGTTTAAAAAAAGTTTTCCCAGCCACAAATGTCTTATGTGTTTTAAAATCGGACAAAGTGCAATAAAATGATAGACTGTTTCATTTTCATTTAGGTTACATAAAGAACATCTATAATTTTGATCGAGCCAAGGCTTCAGGTTGATAAGCTCTAATCTTGCTTTAAGAATCCACGAAATGGTACGAGTATTGTTGAGTTTGAGGGGACTCTTATCTCCAAGTTCAAGGTCGAGCGTGAGTAACTGGCTGTGGTGGACGGAGGTGCGCGCTCGACCAACACACTCCCCCCTCCACCTACAACGTAGCCCCTCCGCTACCGACCTCAACTGTTCGCTAAGCTCCGCTAAATCATCATTTTGAAAATTAATATTTATATTAAATTGTTGTCCCAGAAGCTTCCATTCTTTACTCCAAAATACATTCCTTGAAATAATTTGTTTAGCTAAAATTTTGGGCAATCTCCCCGCTGGTAACGTTAAATATTTCAATAAATAATTTAGGTTTACATTCAAAGTATAAAAGTATAACTTTTCACAGCATGTTTCCAAATATAATGCATAATTTGGTGTGTTAAAAGGTAAAGAGAATAATTTTTTGAGAAATATTTTTTGAACAGATTCTATTTGATCGCTTTCTATACATCCCCACACCTGAGCTCCGTAGCAGATTGTAGCTCGCACTACCGCTTCGAAACAACACATTTTAGAACATAACGGTACTTTTGGGTTTTTAAATAAAGCACTCCAGACTGAATTAACAGCAAATTGACCTATTCTGGCTTTTTCTTTGAAATGATTACTCCATGAAAGGGAACTTGTGAACGTGATTCCTAAATATTTGTACTCATTTACCACCTCAATAAGTTTACTCATATACCACCATTTGTCGCTCGTCTTCAATTTCCCACCATTGCTAAAAACAATAATCTTTGATTTTTTTAAATTTACAGTTAAATTCCATGTCCCACAGTAGGTTTCTAAATTTTTTATCATGTGCTGCAGCCCGGTACTAGTTGGAGACAGAAGAATAATGTCATCAGCGTAAAGCAACATATTTATTTTCGATCCACCAAAATGGCATCCACCTCCTACCGCCTCCGGCAGGTCATTGATAAATAAACTGAATAAAGTCGGTGAGAGAATGCAGCCTTGCCTCAGACCTGTGTTAGTTTCGAAACTGTCAGTTACACCTCCTTCACACCACACACTCGAACTGGTGTTGTTGTAGTAGTTTTTTAATACATTCAGCATGCGCGTCGATAATCCCAAACTTGACAGTTTAAAAAACATTGATTTTCAATCGATTGTATCAAAATAATAATAATAATAATAATATCTTTATTGCCGTGAAACAAATATAAAATTGCATGGCATCCGTCAACATTTAATACAGGTATAACAAGCGACAGCAAAACAAATAAATACAACAGCATAAAACAGTTAATAATACGAATGATTAAAAAATTACACAGAACTTGTCATTTGATTGATTTAAAAAAAAAGCCGCACTAAAGTCAACAAAAAACGCATAAAGTTTCCCAAACAGTACGCAAAATAGCTCATTTACGCTCTAGAGCGGGAATAGATCATTCCAAAAGGCGGAAAAATTTTCTTAGTAAAAAAACCATTAAGCCTACCTGGTAATCTACTGGTATGTTATGGTCATTGATATAGTTGACCAAACATTTGAACACATCTTTAGTTCCGCTGCTCAGTGCTTCTTCTAGAAGGCTGTCAAACTCTTCTCTTGCATCGAGATCCATCTGGAAGATGCACATTGAATTAACCCAAAGAGTGCAATGCTATGTTATTGTTGCAAGAAATATGTTTGTATTGGATTTACAAAGTATTGCAACTGTTCCTATCTAGTGTTTATCAGTGTTTCTAAGTTTTCAACGATGGGTCTTTTAGAAAGATGACTACCACTTGTTTTTATTGTTTCTGTTTCAATGATTTGTACTTAAAATACGTCCGGTGAATAATGAAACATGTAAGGTACCTAAAAGAAAAACATCAATAACATTATTCAAGTTCCAGGTTTTGTGTTTTAATCTAATTTTATGGACTTTACCTGTCAAGGGCCATCTATACTGGATACTTGTATCTTTGTAGTATTTAGGGTGTCCAGCGTCCCATCAACATAAAATTTAAGTAGAATTCCACATTTTCAGGTTTAAAATTAAAAATTTCAACAAAACTTGCAGCTCAAATAAGCCTATCTTACTTCTTTACACAGCTTATTACCAGCTTAAAGACTAATAGAGCTCCAGGTATTGACGAGATCAGAGTCGAACAACTAAAGAACCTAGGTAAAAATGCCATGCAATGGTTGTTGAGCCTCATGAACATGTGCGTAAGCCAAATACATATACCAAAGGCATGGAGAAAAGCTTGCGTGGCTGCACTGCTCAAACCTGGGAAATATCCAAACAATCCTAAGAACTTTCGACCTGTTTCTCTCTTATGCCACACATATAAAATCTTAGAACGTCTGATACTCAATCGAATCGGCGATTTTCTAGAAGAAAAGATCATTCCACAACAGGCAGGCTTTCGATCAGGCAAGTCTTGTTCTGGCCAAGTTTTAAACCTGACCCAGCACATTGAGGATGGGTTTGAGAGAAAACAGATCACGGGTGTCGCTTTTGTAGATTTAACAGCTGCCTACGATACCGTAAACCATCGAAGACTCTTGGGAAAAGTGTACAGCATTACCAAAGACTATCAGCTGACTTCAATGATAACCACTTTTCTTCATAACAGGCGGTTTTTCGTGTCCCTTCAAGGCAAGAAAAGTAGATGGAGGAATGAAATGGATTGCCTCAGGATAGCGTCTTAGCCCCAGCTCTTTAACATATACACTAATGACCAACCCAGTACTATGACGCAAATCACCTCAAACCGAACCTTGTTAAGACCAAAGTTTGTACCTTTCACCTAAACAATAGAGAAGCAGGCCGTGAGGTGGCGGGGAGACCGTCTTCAGCATTGTCCTACACCCAAATATCTTGGTGTCATACTGGACTTCACACTGACATTTAAGGCGCATTGTATTGCGACAAGGGGTAAAGTCTCAGCGAGGAATAATATCATCAGGAAGCTCACCAGCAGATGCTGGGGTGCTAACCCTAATGTCCTCAGAACCTCAGCTTTAGCGCTCAGTGTGTCGGCTGCGGAGTACGCTGCACCAGTATGGAATGCATCGTCACATGCAAAAAAGGTTGACACTACAGTCAATGACATGGCTCGGATTGTAACTGGGTGTTTGAAACCAATCCCAGTACACAAACTCTATTCTATCATAGGGATTGCCCCTCCATCAATCTGACGTGATGTCACTGCCGACGCAGAAAGGACTAAGCAAGAGACAGACCCTCGTCACCCATTACACGGCCACCAACCTGCAGAGCGACGGCTTCGGTCTAGAAAGAGCGTTTTATCACGGACTAAAGTCTTGGATGGATCACTCTCAAGCAATCGGGTGGCAAGGTGGGAGGCCACGTTGACTAACCCTCCCATACCAGCTAGAGAGGAACTGGCTCCTGATGGAGGCCTGCATTACACGGTGTGGAAGACCCTAAATCGAATCAGGGTCGAGGTACCAAAATGCAAGACAAACATGCAAAAATGGGGTCTCTTACCAGACGAAGAAAACATCTTGTGTGCGTGTGGTGCTGTTCAGGATCCTGGCCATCTGCTTATCTGTCCACGCCTAGACCAGTCTTGCACACTAGATGATCTTTTACAAGCGAATGACAAAGCCATATCGGTAGCTAATTTTTGGAAAAACGAAGTCTGATTTCCGGATACGGAAAGTAAGTAAGTACTTCTTTACACGTGCTAGTACATTAAAATCCCTTCAGCGAATTCAGTGATAATTTCTCAAGGTCGCAGCAACAACTGTGATCAATCGCCTTGATCACGGCAACACCCGTGATAGTTTCTCACGGTGTCGGATATCCGTGATAATATATATTGGAATTGACGCAAAATATGTGATTTCCTGTTATCGCAGCAACAGCTGTGATAATTTCTTGTGATCACGGCCACGTATGTCAAGTCAAGTCTGTTATAAATGGTGTTTTGATTATGTTGCTATTTCTATTTGCTTGTAATACCAGCTATAGAGAAAGCCCTAACCTAGTCCCACCTGACATAACCCAACTCAATACAACTCTGCAGAGCACTAAAAGCTTACAGCCGCTGTTCAGTTGGGTACGTTTAGGTTGGAAGACCTCTTTAACACGTTCACTGCTGACTGCTAGATCCTGGGACGGCGCCAGGAACTGAACTAACGCTCGCCGCTGCGTAACATTGCCGCCGATACACTGAATTACAGTAAAAACAACAGTAGTTATACTGGATGGCAATGTTCTGCAATAAAACTGGCTTTGGACGTAGTACTAAGTGATTCCGATAGATAGCAGCACTACCCAGGATGCAGTCGGTAAAGTAGTGTCGCTATCTATCTAGCAGGAAAGAGGTGGAACAAAGCCCTTTTCTATCAACCCTGATGGTGATTTTGGGAAACTATATTTTTTATTGTCAGAAAGGTACGTCCCCACGAGCTGCAAAGAAATATAGGACAATCGTGACGAGCTGGCTGATCCATGGAATCGTTAAACAACAACGAACGGTGACGTTCCGGAACGTTCCTAGCTCCTGGCGCCTTGGCACGGCTGACGTTCCGGAACGTCCGTAGCAGCGAACGTGTACAGTATACTTCTTTAATTTAGAGAATGTACTAACCTTTACTTATAATGTTTATATTATTAACCTAGTTTTAAGTTTTTCAACCTTACCTTGGATATTTTCTCTGCAAGAGGTTCAATGCCAGTATTATCTAAAGGCCAATGTATTGGATTTTTCAATTCCTCCATGGCCATTTCTGGAGACATGTAGTTCACACTGAAAAATTTAATAACATTGTTAGCAATGTCTGAAAATGACACAGATGTAACTGTGGAGTAACTGTCACAACTGTGTATGATTGAAGGCCTGCTTTGTAACTAATATACCTGTAGACATTTACAACTAGCATTTAAGAAAATTTAAACTTTCTACTTACGCTTGCAAAATGTGCTCCAGGTGAATTACAGTCACTTTGTAAGTCCTTCCAGGCACTGTAAAAAGTAACACAAAAATTAGTATTACCTCAAAAGATAAAAATAACCACAGCCATAAGGTATTTAACAACGTTTTTATTTGTTTACCTTAGTTCAAAATAATGAAATAGTTGAGATTTCCATAGCCCAACACCTTTGTGTCAAATAAACTTAGCCTAAAGATTCTAAAAAAGCTAAAATCACTGACTTTTGTTTTGTAAGTCTTTGGTCAGCTTCCCTCTTATCAGTTCAATTAAGAACGGAGACAATTTTAATTTGACTAAAAAATCAAAACTACTCACTCATCAGTGTGTCAAATCATTCTTCCGTAAAATTCCCTTTTAGATATCAAATGACTAACCTTCAACGATGTTACATCCATTTCCAAGTCCTTTACAGTCTTTGAAGTAGTCTTTGTACTTTTGTGTGTTGATTGTAGCCGACATTATGATCAGCTTGAGGTGGCTGAATCTGACTAGGGCGTCTCTCAATACGATTAATGTAAAATCCGTCAGCTTGTCTCTCTCGTGGATTTCATCAATAATGATGTGTGACATGTTGTTTAGCCACTGGTCTCCGCTCAGTAGACTGCGTAGGAGGACACCATTTGTACAATATGTGAGAATTGTTTCGGAAGACGTTCTGAAACACACAAAATTATTATATGGCTTTTTGAGAAAACCCATGATATAGGGAGAATTCAATGCTTTAGAAACCCATCATTTTTACATGGTCAGAATCTAAATCCACCCACCGCAACTTATACCATATACTTATAACAAATACCGGTCAACATTATAACACATGTACATAAAATAGTTGGATTGTAAAATTTTGTAACTGTGTCATACTTGAGAATAGTAGTTTTCAAATCAATGCATCATTTTGTGTTTGTATACGTTATCCAAATTGCCATTGGTCAATGGCGGCATTTGAACCCAAGCTTCTAGGACAGAAGTCTCACACTCTAACCACAAGACCAGCGAACAAAGCTTCACGGATTAAATCCTTTTATTCTACACTCATACTCAATTCTAATCTTGCTGAAATATGCAACCGGTTGCAGGATGCCAATTTAAAGGAGTAAACATAGACATTTAACTGTCTAGAGAACACAGAGGTGAGACAGTAACCGGTAAGAGTGACTAGGGATAATAGATGACTGCTAACGTTGGTAGACCAGTTTGAAATTACAATTTTCTTTCAATTATCCCTATTCAATTAATTCCCTGGAGTGGTGGGGCGGTGGTAATGAGTCTGAACTTGTTGTTTTGTAAACCACAGCCTAGGCAATAATTGGTTGAAAGTAAAAGTTATCTGAATTTCAGCACTATTTAGTAATGGTACTTAAACCTGACACATCAATTTCTGATTTGAGTTCAGTGTGCAGAGTATGTCACAGAGTGTTGATTACCTTGATTCGAGACGGATATGGTAGCCGACAGTGTCGCCAATACGTTCACCTCTCTCAAATGCCACTCTCTCACTGATGGTTACAGCCGCTACTCTCCGTGGCATGCTGCATAATATCTGGCAGGTCTTTTTTTGAAACTCAGCAAATTCCATGATCAATTGTGGTATCTGGTAACCATGAAAACAACATAAAACCTTGACCAATGCAGTCACAACAGTATAACAATACTAAGCTATTTTAGGACTTTTAACTTAAATAGGAATTGAATAACTAACTACAATTGTAATGTTATGTTGCTACAGAGTTTTACAGTACAGTTCATAAAATCTTTAGGTGCAAAATCTGACGATTCTACTGTTTTGAACATACTTTTGACCATTTTTGACCAATATGGCCAATGGCAGGGCCGGATTTAGCATTTTGTCACCTCTACCAGGCCAATTGTGAAATCCAGCCCTGCTGGCTGGTGGTTATTGTAAAACAATTAAAAAGACGCACTACAAAAAATATATTGTGCCCCCGATGCCGCGCCTTTCAAAATCTAGCCCATTGCCTCTAAAACATTTAAAAAGACGCTCTAAGAAAATATGTTGTGCCGCCAATGCCGCGCCCTTCAAAATTTGGCGCTCTAGGCCAGTGCCTAGTCGGTCTAGTGGTAATTCCGGCCCTGGCCAATGGACAGATTTTTCTCTGCCTGCAGAAAGCTGGCACAGGCTACTACAAAAAATATAATTTTTTGTTTTATAGTACACACTAATTATTGTCTCCTGGGATCCTGACAACACTCATGAGCATCCCTAGCGGTTTCTGCGAAATCATCATCGGCTCCCGCATTTATAGCAACACACTTGAGCATCTCTTGCGGTTTCTGCGATACCATGATTGGCACTCCCATGATCACAAGAACATTCGTGAGCATCCCTTGTGGTCTCAGCGACACTATAATCGGCTTTGGTGATCACAATTACCTTACAAAGTTAAAAGAGAACCAATGAAACACTGTAAATGAATCAAGGCTTGGCCATGGCTCTTGGCGATTATTACCAAATTCCCGATCCGTATAAAATTCAAGTTGATTCGCAGACTTTTTGCACCTACAATCCTCAATTTTTCAGAGCGGCTGAACATCCTATTTGAATGACTAAAGTAAAAAGGAATAGCTTAATAAAATGAGATTTGAACAAAGTTATTATAATTTTTGTGTAGACTTATTTTTCAGTGAATTTCCCTATAGGGAAGACACAATTACTGTAGGTGGCATGGTAAGACCTAGAGCCGGGACTATTTAATTTTATTAACATTTGACTAAAAACCAGGATACAAGTTTTTCCCTATAACCACTAAACCAGCTATATTCCAAGATTCAAGATTCAAGATTCTTTATTTTCCAATAAAGTACAATAAATAAAAGTGACATATTTTATAAAAGGAAAAAAATATTCCTCACAAGACTACACGTCTGTGCGTGAGGAAGAGTCCATGGCACTCGCTGGTCACTCTTAAAAAATATATACAATTACATAAAACAACTTTTCTAGTTAACAATAATATAACTTATTCATTAAAATTAAAAATAAAATAAAATATCTTAGTCCTGGCCAACATAGAACCATCAGAATATAAGTTCTAAACACTTGTTAAGTTAAAGCTAATTAAACATTAAAAATACCCCTCAAAATAAAATAAAATAATAATTACAATTCAAAAACAAAAATCAAGCTGGTCTAAAAGTTTTGACATAGGCATGGGTTGGCTGATAAGTTGGAGATTTGATAGATTTTTTATTATTTTTTTTTTTTATTCAAACGTATGGTGAATGGATTAAATTTTCAGCAGCCGTGGGGCCGACGTGTAACAGCCACTCTCCAACTATTCTCCCGAAAACGGCTGCACTGCTACTCTCTGCCTGAATGATATTATTTGGAAGATTTCGGTATAATTGATGTGCAATATAAAATGGATTAGAAAGCTCTATTCTGTAACCTAATCTGGGTATTGTGTATCCAAAGTTTAATCGGTTTCTTGTTATATATGTGTGAGTTGGCTGTGTGAAAATTTTGTGTTTGTTGTCTTTAATGTAGATTAGAAGGGTTTTAATAAATAATTGTCTAATATTGAGTACAGGAAAATCGTAGAATAGCAGATCAGTAGAATATCTTTGTCCTTTTTTTAGAATGGTTTTTATTATCGAGCGCTGTGTCACCCCCAGTGGCTCCAGCACGGCGGAGGAGGCACCACCCCACGCCAGAACCCCGTATTGCATTATAGATTGCACATAGGCGAGGTACACACTCCTGCAGTGATCCGGAGTGAGCACATGGCTCAACTGCCCAAAAGCATATATCATTTTTCTTAATTTTTGTTTTAAGTACTGTATGTGTGGTACCCATGATAATTTTTGATCTATTACTACGCCTAGATATTTATAAGTTAAAACCTTTTCAATTATTTCACATCCACAGTTGACGGACTCCGGATCGCCACAAGAGTGCATTTTTAGGATCCTCTGTCCTGGACCATAATTATCTCTAAGGATAATTGGTAAACTTTTAGTTTTTTGTACGTTAACAGAAAGTAGATTGTGATCAAACCAGTTTTTTATTTTGATGAGGTCAGAGGATGCCTTATTGTAAACCTCATCCCAGGTGCTTCCGTATGATACCAAAGCCGTGTCGTCAGCAAACAGAAATATGCTTCCATTTATATTTAATTTGGATATGTTGTTAATGTATACCAGAAAAAGCAGAGGTCCAAGTGTACTTCCTTGAACCACGCCATAGTCAACAATCGTTGGGTCACAATTTATTCCCTTAATACAAACATATTGTTTACGATTTTTGAAATAGGAAGAAAACCAATTTAATGTGTTATTTTTTGCCCCTATTAATTCAAGTTTTTGTAATAATTTGGATCTATTTACAGAATCAAATGCTTTTGCTAAGTCTAGGAAAGTTAAAATAATTTTATTTTTTCCATTGATTTTCTCATTTACTAATTTGGTTAAGTCAAATAAAACATCGGAAGTAGGCTATTTTTCCCTTTCCTAAATCCATATTGTGATTCAGATAAAATTTTATTTGTTTCAAGATAATTAGTTAATTGGATCTTTACACATTTTTCTAGAATTTTATCTATGGTGGTAAGTAAAGATATTGGTCTAAAATTACTCATTTCAGCTTTGACACCAGATTTGTAGATAGGGATGACTTTTGCAATTTTGAATAGGTCAGGAAACTCTCCTGAACGGATACTTAGGTTTATCAGATGTAATAGGGGTTGAACAAGATAATTTGAGTAGGTCTTAACAAGTTTTGCAGGGATGTTATCCCATCCTGGAGCAGAGCATCCTTTTATACTATTAATTATATTTATTAGTTGTTCTTGATTGATCGGCTTCAGCTCAAATACAGAATGATTCCATCCTCTTTCACCAATTCACATTTATACTATAAAGACCAAACTGAAGTGTTTAAAGTAGGCCTAACATCACTTCACTTTTACGGGCTACAGAGGAGTAAGCTGATCCATTAAATAATCATAGAATACTTCGTAGAATAAGAAATTCATGAGCTCCAAAAGAAAAGGAATATTTAAACAGAAATTACATCTGTGAGTGCATAAGGAAACTAAGAATGGGTACCATACTTTCAGTAATAAAATTTTCTTACCTGAGTTGTCTTTCCGCATCCAGTTTCCCCAACAATGAGTGTAATACGTCCACTTTCAATCGTGTCAATGATTTCCGCCGTATAGTTGTATATAGGCAGCACTTGTCTGAATGATAATGTACGCTTGATGTCTGTTTTGGGGATGAGAGGTTTGGCTTGACCCGGCTGGTTTCTTCCAGACAATACTAATTGAACATTATAAAAATATAAAGTAAAAAGAATACTTTTTCCCAAGCAATTTTTTTCAATCATAGTATTGGTGTTATAACTATAAGGAAACATACTAAATACTAGGGGTCTGCGGTACAGAAGTTTAAGGTCGGTACGGTTCGGTACGGTACAATCAAAATCGGTATGGTACGCGGTACGCGGCTACCCGTATTTTTGCGGTTTTCTTCTCAGAACTGTATTCAAACCATTATTTTTAACTTTAATACATTGACATTACTATGAAAATGGATAGTATCCTACAATGATGGTTTTCTTACAACAATTACTGTACCACACATTATTAAAACAAAACCTTTTACTGCTACGAGGATTGTGTCAAGGGAAATCACAGTTAAGATAAAGGCTTCACCTATGGTAAATTATTTCTAACCAACACAATGTCTAGTTGTTTTTTAAATGTTTAAAAAACGTATAAAAGCATTCAGTATGAAGACAGTGTAGTTGCCAGCTGTTCACAGCAGACGACAATGAAAAACTGGAGGTTATGATGAAGTAATGGCAAAGAGCATCTTTTTTTTATCAGCTTCAAAACTAATTATAAGATGGATGCAACTCTTGCAAAGTTTTTTTCTGAAACTAAAATTTTAAAATTATCACAGAGTAAGATTATTTTCTTTTCATTTACAAAGTTAACATCCACACATATCAATCATTAGTTTATCTCAGACTCAATCCAATTTTCTTAGTATATTTTAAAGCTATTCCAAAGAATCAAAAGACCCAGGCCTAGGCCTAATTATTTAGGAGGGCCTATATATAAATTGATTAGGTTACAATGAGGGTAGCAAAATCACTATCTAGTTCATAAGATTTAGATCGCATATAGTATTTTCAACACAATAAAAAATATAGGAAACTACAAAACAGGCCTTAAACAGCCACATCTAACAATATAAGACAAGATACAGTACAGAACATTCAATGACATAATTTGAGACCGAGTAGGCTTAAATAACGAAAACAAAAATATGCAAACAACAACAACTATGCTTGTGGTTTCGTCAATAGAAAGATAAAATATCTATAACAAATATTTTAACTTATAAAATAAGATTGTAGATGAGTTACAAGTTTAATATGTAGCCATAAACAGTTTTATGGCAGTAGGCAATGGCCAGCGGCAAATTGAATATTCACGAAAATACTGACTGAGTTAGAGATAACATTTAACAGTCATCATAAAACTATTATTTTTATGATAAAATAGAATTGGGGAAAGTCGTAAAGAAATAAAAGTGATAAAACTCAACAGTTCTTGGAAGTACTTGAATAACAGGATGTTATGATGAAGTAATGGCAAATAGCATCTTTTTTATCAGCTTGAAAACTAATTATAAGATGGATACATCTTTTGCAAAGTTTTTTTTCTTACACTAAAATTTGGATTACCACAGAGTAATATTATTGTCTTTTCATTTACAAAGTTAACATCCACACATAACAATCATTAGTTCATTAACTCAGACTCAATCCAATTTTCTTAGTATATTTTAAGGATCTTCCAAAGAGTCAAAAGACCCAGGCCTAGACCTAATTATTTAGGATGGCCTATATAAATTGAGTAGGTTACAATGAGGGTAGCAAAATCACTATCATAATTCTATTTCATAAGATTTAGATTGCATAAAGTACCTTCAACACAATAAAAAAATCTAAGAAACAAAAAACATTTCAACCTATAACAGCCACATCCAAAAATATAAGACAAGATACAGAACATGCAATGACATTAATTTAAGACCGAGTAGGCTTGCATAACGGAAAAAAATATGCAAACAACAACTACTACGCTTCTGGTTTCATCAATAGAAAGATAAATTATCCAAAACAAATATCTTAACTTATAAAATAAGATTGTAGATTAGTAACGCTTCTGGTTTCATCAATAGAAAGATAAATTATCCATAACAAATATCTTAACTTATAAAATAAGATTGTAGATTAGTAACGCTTCTGGTTTCATCAATAGAAAGATAAATTATCCATAACAAATATCTAAACTTATAAAATAAGATTGTAGATTAGTAACGACTTTAATATGAAGCCATAAACAGTTTTATGGCAGTAGGCAATGGCCAGCGGCAAATTGAATATTCACGAAAATACTGACTGAGTTAGAGATAACATTTACAGTCATCATAAAACTATTATTTTTATGATAAAATAGAATTGGGGAAAGTCGTAAAGGAATAAAAGTGATAAAACTCAACAGTTCTTGAGTACTTGAATACAACAATTATTGTTGTGATAAAATGTTAATGGATTTGGGACTGCTAATGGGTTTTTTATTGCATCATCACCCTAGTAATAAATTATGAAGATCGTAAACAAACATCTGATAGGTAAGACTTTTATGTGCTCAGAACCAACCACCCTTGACTATGATAAGTAATTTATTATTATAATAGGCTGTACCGAACCGAATTTGTACCGCGTAAAATGCTGTACCGAACCGATGACGGTAATTAAGCTTGTACCGTACCGGACCGACTTTTTCGGTGCACCGCAGACCCCTACTATCAAGCCACAAGATCATTCGTAAGGTCGCCATTTTATAAGAAAGAAAAGCAAGTAAAGTAAAGCAATGATAAAATACTGACCTGAAGAGTTAGTGATAGTCTTGGGCACAGCCATCTCTCTGTCATGTGTTGTCACTGGGTTTGAGGACAATATCTGCTCTAGTGTTTCAAGTGTCTCAGGTTTCAACGTTAAAATATCCTCAGGAAAACTAATTGTGTCCTTAAACACACTGATGAAGCGGTTTGGTTCTATCCTGTAACATTCACAATAATTAATACCCCATTATGACTTTTCATTTGTCATGTTGGGTTTTCACTAAAATATTGCCTTAAACATGTCAGATTTATTCCCTAATTAAATGGCATTAAGTTAAATGGGAACTTATGATAGCTGCTACAGTACAAGAAAGGTAATTAAGTTTGGATTTAGTAAATTGTTAATAGCTTGGTATTAAGCAAACTACAACAGTTAATTTATTCTCCATAAGAATAATACAGAGATTTAAATGTAAGGTTATTTTTTCTTCATAACCTTCAAGTTAGTCATTCAAAAATGCTTCAATATACTAAATTAACTATTTGTTGGCTTAAATTCTTTGTAAAGAAATTGTTTAAAAGATCAAAATGGGAAAAAGCCATTTTTTTTTTACAAAACTCCTGTTCCCATAGTCTAGTCATCTTAGTTCACGAATTCGTTCAAATAAACGTAGGTTATGGGGGTTTTTACCAATTTTTTTAAAAAATCGGGTGGTTTTTACTTAAGTTATTGTGCTAACAAGCACTCAATTATTCTTATAATTTAATATTTAGAATTTTATCGGATAGTATTTTGGCTTCTGGGAACATCCAAATGAAAAATTAAATGGGTCCTGGGTCTAGGTCTTACCATGTGACCTACGGTAATAGATAACTAATGCCCCTATATGGGAAAAACTTAAAAATAAAGTATAAGCAAAAGGATAGTACTTCTTTCTATTACACTATTGAGGTAAGAGGCATAGTTTTCTGGTTTTTTTAAAGGCAGATCTGTTGCATTTCCTTATATTATGCATATGGAATTCTTTGTTTGGGGACTCCTTAAAAGTGATGTGTATGATACCGATGTAGAGACCGATAGGTGCTGAGAAAGTTACAGAATTGACAGAAGCTGTAGAAAAGTTGAAAGGAACCCTTTCTATTAAGATTACAGTACCAGCAATAAAGGAAAGCTAAAGAACATGCATCAGACATTAAGGCAGGTAGTTTTAACTATCGATAAATATACTCCCTGGATTGCACGCTCAGGTTAAAGTACGGGCCGCCGCCAACTCGCTCTGTCCTTGCTGGGGATAAAGGCTCACACTAGTGCCGAGCGTCACGCCCACTCGCAACGCATATTGCTGTTTGTTTTGTTGAAATATTCAGAAGAAAATAGTTTGAAGGAATGTAAGGAAGTTTAAGTTTACACTTAATTTACCGACTGTGTGTCAAAAGTAAATCTCATAAGTAGTGATGTGTCGAATCCGAATCTCGAATCTCGAATCCAACGAATCTTTAGGAAATATTCGGATTCGAGATTCGGTCAACGAGATTCGACTTTCGAATCCTTCGAACTTCGACCCGAATAAGAATCGGCGTTAGTCAAAACACCCGCCGATGCGACAGGACGACTGTTCAAGGTCAGTTCGAGACACAGTCGTCTGCCCGTGCAATTGCGTAATATTTTGAAACAGCCAACTATTTGTGGTGAACGTAAACATAAGATTTTATATGTCCTTTCAATGTAAAAACTCAAGATAAGATCTAATAATTAAATTTAAGTCTCAGATTTTGTCTTGTATAATAATAAAAAAATTGAGTATATTACACTTGTTAACAACATTACAATTTACTAAATAAAAACAATCATAATAAAAAATCATACAAAAGAATTAATATAATTGGCTTTAATATAAATTGGAATTAATATAATTCCAATTTAAATTTAGGCCATTGACCTAAATATCATGATTGTGCAATGTTGTATTTTGATGTTATAAATGTAAATCATGGCATTAATTTGAATATATTTGTTGTTAATTCAAATTATATGTTTGATGATTTAAAGTTTCTACATGATAAAAGAGAAGTCTGTACCGAACCGAAAATGTACTGAGGAAAATACTGTACCGTCGCAACGCAGACCCCTAACTTTTGACTCTTCTTTCTTGTCTCGTTATCATACAGAGTGTATGCAATTTGAGCATCGAAAAGAAAACGGGTGGTGAGTCGAGGGTCTTTGACCTTGAGAATGCCTGAGCCTTGCTGGAGTGGAGACAATGGTTTATGGTTTGTTTACATCCTACTACCCTCTTTTATTTACTTCGATGACTTAAACGCGATGCCAGTCTATTATATTCTTTGGTCGCTGGTATTACCGCAGATTATGATAATTTTCTCAAATTGTAAAGTTCATCAATATTTCTGGTACTTTAATTTAATGTTGATTGATCCATTTTAAAAGGAATTTGTTAATGTTTTACAATACTTTTGAGTGTCATGCCATGAAAAGTAATACAGTTTTTACATTAGACTCTTGACCAAAGAGGATGTTTTGAACGGTTTAAGTTCCTTCATTGTGTATTGTTCCTACTTTTGTTTGTTTAGTTGAGTTGTTATTGACTATTAATTGCTGAATATTTTTCCTTAATTAGATAACTATCCCTTGCACAAATTAAATAAAGAATTCATTAAGGACTTAGGATTTGTTAATTTTGTGTTTTGTTCAAGTTTTCATTTGTTAATTTTAATTTGTCTCCCCAGCTTGTAAATCCAGCTATTAAATTTCAATTTTTTTAAATTATGTTTTTGGCATTTAATTTTCTACACCTTTATTATTTACATAATTTGAATTGCCAAGATTGGTATTATTGGTATACTTGACATTTCATTGAGTGAACGTAGCCTAAACTGTAATAATTTTCTTAATTGCGCACAAAAAGATTCGATTTTAAAAAAAATCGAAAAGATTCAAGATTCGAGGTTCGATTTTTTTTAGATTCGGATTCGAGATTCGAAATTTCCGGATTTGACCATCACTACTCATAAGGATATCCAGTGATGTAATGAAAGAGTTTGATTTTTTTGTAAACTTTATGTGATTTGAACATTAATCAAACAAAAATAATCATTTAATTACATTAGCATGTCAGCATTTTGCTTGACAGTTATTTTAAAATAAGAACAGTAGTTTGTATTCAGAAGAAATACATGAAATGAAATTAATTAAGCTAATAGGTAATATGTAGGGCCTATATTATTTTACAAAGTTATTCTCACTTCTATGCCTGGGAGAAAACCACAACTGTTACCTCATCAATATTAGGACTCAGGCGGAGGTTAAATAAAATGGTTTTGTTCAGCAACCTATTAAGGATGCTTCACAGACAAAGGATGTTAATAATAGATCTATTAAATAATTTTCCATTTTGTGCAATCAAATTAAAAATCAGCAATAATTGCTGTATTATTATTCAGAGATTTTGCAACATGTAAGAATATTTTTGTTCTTTGTCGTACTGTGAAGAATAGTGGGTTTACAAAACATATTAATTATAAGTTGTTAAATAAAAGGATGTGGAATTTATTGATCATTTCTCAGTGAAATAAAATATTACCAAAAAGTAATTTTTTCATGTTAATCAATATAAAATACTACTGTGAATGCAAAATTTATTCTTTGTTTTGAAGGGGCTTGTTAAATATTATACTGTATGGTAAGCAACAAAATGCATACATATGTTTGTAAATGTATTTAGCCTACTATCCTTTGTAATATAACAACACATTTTTTAAATATAATGATAATTACATGCCAGGAACTCAGTATCTAAATCCCTTAAACTGACGCAGAGCTCCTTCTGCCAAACGATTTTCTGCTTATATGTAATCGCTTAAAAATGGTACAGTGAAACTCTGTATCAAAAAAAGCTTCAAATAAAACCAATATTCATACTTAAATCCTAAACCTTGATTTATTGACCTGAATTTTTCTCCTGGCCAAAAAATAAAAAGTTCTTTGCTTACCAGGGCCGGATTTAGCATTTTTGCACCCCTAGGCCCAAATAATTTTCCGCCCCTAGTCTGGTCACAATTACTTTCCTTCAAACCTTTATTAAAAACTATATCATGCCCATAGGCCTAAGTTAATTGCTTGAATACCACTCCTCGTTGGAATCATAGCAATTTTTTTTTAAGAATTGACTTGTTTAGCCTTAACAAAATGCTGTCTTAAACACTTGTAGCAATTTTATGCTTTTAATAAATGCTCACGTCTGTGGCCGTGGGACTGAAACAAAACAACTCAACCCACATAGCATTCCTGCAAAAAAAAACATGGCCATTGATTCCAATTCCAGGCCCAAAAACATGAACTCCATACAGTATGTGATACCATAATCCAAAATAAAACGATCTAATCATCAACAATAGGTCGTCTCCTGTTTATATTACAAGAAAATATTGAAACACACATCTTAGAACTAGGCTAACCCTAAAATAATGGAAACAAAATTACGTCAAAACTTACGTCCAGTGTAACTAGACATAAACAATTTTTGAATTAACAATGTCATAAGAAGTCGACTTGAGTTATATTTAATATATGGTCGTACTGCATCTAGGTTATACATAGCCAAAGCAAAACAGAACAATATTCCGGCCAACCGTACCGTACCGATCCTTAGGTCTGAGGAGAAAATGACAGCATTAATGGTGCTTTTGAGGGTATTGAATTGTTCTAAAATCCATGCAAACTGAGATTAATATTTTTTTGTTAATTTTAAAGGTTAATTCATCTTTGTTTTAATATTCAACACAAATTATTATATATTTTTACTTGATCCTGCAGATTGTAGTAAACTAATCAATAATAATATATACCTACAGTCTATATAGGTATATATATATACCTATTGACTATATACCTATTGATTATATATAGGTATATATAGTCAATGGTAGTACCGAGCCCGAGCCAGCATAGGGGCAGTGCAGTGGCGATACGAGATCAACATCCCTACAGCCTACTCCTGTATAACCAGTGTTCGTTACCCATTTTGTAACGAAATTGATGCGTAATTCTGAAAAATAGTTTAAATTTCCTAACAATTATTTCTTCTTACGAACTTCGGAATCACAATGCATTGGAGTTTTTTTTTACCAACTATGACTGTTTATTTTTGTTTTTAGATAGCCTAGGTATAAAAAAATTATTCTCTGCTGTGCGCCCTCTGGGACCTTGCGCCCATAGGCCCGGGCCTACCGGGCCTATTGGGAAATCCGGCCCTGTTGCTTACTACATTTTTTATGACTTTAGTAGTGTTAAAAAATATTCATCAGTTTTAATTTGACAAAATAAATTATAGAGGTAAGTTAAAGTTGAAACTATCTACCACAGTAATAAACACAGGCTTTTCCTGAAAAATACTATATAAATTTGAAATTTTTACATTAAAATATAAAATGTAGCAACGCAAGTTGAGTAAAAGTATGTTTGTGTAACAGAGAGAGGTTCGATCGACCCGTCCACCTCGGTATACCACCATTTCAAATGGTGAGCACAGCCTGTTTTCTACCACACAGCACGCTATCCAGGGGAGTGTTTTAACCAAATATTTAAAATTCTTAAGGTGAAGCTTTCCCATGATTTTTGTCTGTTTTCAATTAAATTAAATGATATTACCTTGTATTTTAAATTGTTTTGAGTTTTGATAAAATAACTTTAATTGTAAATATGTTAAGTATTTTGGTAAGAAATAAATAAATTTGCCAAGTTTGGTCAACATACGTCTGCTGGTCATCAGTGTTACAAAATTTCTTTGGTGTAAGTACAAAGTAAATGAAGTGTGGTGATATTTGATGATGATGTGATAGTTTTGAGACATTTTAGTGTAAATCCAATCAGGCAAATGGAAATTCGCTTAGTCTGCAGGTTTGCTGCAGCGGGAGTATTCTTTTAAACTAATGGCCTTTAAAGCAAGGTGTCACTTGATGGGGCTTTACATTAAACAAATTTTTGAGGGTAATAATTTCTCCCCAAGATAACCCATTTTGGGTTTTCGGAAGAAATTTGGATGCAAAAAAAAAGTGCACTTTTATACCATATAGAGGTGTTGATTTTCCTGGTGTAACCCATTAAAAAGTTAATGGGGGTATCCATACTTTTGCCCAACCCTGTATATATAATATATGTACATATACTGTATAAAAATTTGAAAGAACCCCCTAGAATAAAGAAGGCCCCTAGGGATGTCAAAATGAAAAAGTAATTGGTCCCACGTCTAGGTTTTACCGGTAGGCTACTGTGCCACATACGGCAATTAGCTACTTCCCTGTAGGGAAATTCACTAAAAACACCATGGTCTACATTATCACTGGCAAATAATACGGTAATATAAAATGATTTTGTCTTACAACGTTGGAAACGCTCCGTGCAGTAGGCGCAACCGGGTTAGCGAGTCCCCAAGTTAGTAAATTCTATCTTTTCATTGAGAACGCTTTTTCTCAGTAAGAAATATAAAAGTAAGGAAGAATGGAATAAATACTCACCCGTTACTTTTAGATTTCAATCCATGTTCCGCAGCTATGGAATGTATGAGTTTGCGTTCAATGTTATTGTATGAAGATGGAAAAGATATAGCTGAAAACAAAACAATAAAAATAAATGTCTATAAAATAACATATGTAGATTTTTTAGAGATATTTCTTAGCAGGCTGCCGACACGATAGTTGTACGTTCTACGATAGTTTAAACGATAGTTTACGTTCTATCGTGTCGGCAGCCAACCTCCTTAGCCATATTTATTTATTTATTAAACATCATCACATTACATCAATTCTCTTGACAGGTGATTTGTCACAAAGTCTAATACTAATACTATACTACATTTTAAAATAAAATAGCTTACAAAAGAAATAAAGCATATAATAAGCTACAAACCTATAGGAGAAGCAATATCTTTCAAATATACTCATTTTCCAGATATTCCTCTAACGAGTAAAATGCCCTCTCCAAAAGGAAATTTTTTAAAGATAGTTTAAATTTAGAGAATGAGGCAATGTTTTTAATCCCAGCGGGTAATTTATTGTAAATTTTTGGTCCCATATACTGAGGGGATAAATGAAAGATTTTAAGCCTATGTTGAACTGGTTTTATAATATTTTTGAATCTTGTGTTATGTGGATGAGATTGTTGACAGTCCATGAATGTGTCGAAATCACTTTTAACCATTAATGCCAATTTGTAAATATAAGAGCTAAAAAAAGTTAAAATTTTAAAATTAATAAATAAATCTTTAAAATGTGTTCTACAGGAGACTCTGGCCATTAATCTTACAGCTCTTTTTTGGAGAATAAATATTTTTTTGGCCTGGCTTGATGAGCCCCATACAGTAATTCCATAATTCATAATCGATGAAAAATATGCGTGATATACTACTATTTGTGTTTCTAGATTAGTAGTATCCCGAATTATTGTGAGAACAAATGTTGCTGAGCGTAGTCTTTTTGATAGGTTTTTAATGTGTTTTTGCCAATTTAGTTGTGAATCGATTTCTATTCCCAAATAATTTATTGACTGTTGTGAATGAATTGTAGTTAAGTTTGTATTTACAATTATTTCTTGGTTAATATTGGATGCAGAAAACTGAATTATAGTCTAGTAAATCCGTACGAGAACCCTAAAAAAATTGCTTTAAATTGTTTTATTGGTTATTTTGACTTAAAATTATGTGTATTTTCCAGGAAAAAAAGTCTAATAAAATCGGAGTCTCGGAAGTCCAAAATTCAAGATGGCGTCCAAGATGTTGGTCAAATGTGTCCGTTAGCACAATAACTCAAGCAAAAATTATCTGAATTCGATGAAATTTGGTACAAACATGTAAACCTACATTTATTTGAACGACTTCGCGAACCAGCATGATCGGACCATGGGAACGGGGGATTATGGGGGGTTTTACGGGGTAAAAATGGGTTTTCCCCATTTTTGACCCTAAAAACGTAAAATTTTGCAATTTATTTTGAAACCATTTTAGGGCTCAGAAAAAAATTAGTACATTGAAGCGTTGTCATGGGTCTAATACATAGTTACGGAGAAAATTTAAAAAAAATTAAATTTCAAACTCCTATGTTTTTCTTACGGAGAATAAGAAAACTTGTTGTAGTTAGCCTGTATATGAATATATTTTTATCAAATTTGGAAAATGCATTTTTTTTATACTAAACTATTTAACATTTTACTAAAAACACTTTTTTACCCTCTCTGTCGCAGCAAACTGAAGTACTAGTTAAACTAGTGCTATTTAAATAGGGAATAAATGTGATATTTTTAATATGATATTTTTAATGTGATATTTTAGTGTAAATTCAATCAGGCAAATTGAAATTCGCTTAGGGTGCAGGTTTGCTGCGGTGGGGGTGTTTTAATTTATGACTATTTTTTTCTTGAAAAATCCAATAATAGGTCTTAAAATAAAGATCACAAGCTAGCTAAAATTCAACATACATATGTTATTTACTTAAATAAATATCTATACATTTTTAGCCCGAAAGGATTTTTTAGATAAGAATAGGCTTGTATTAATCGGGAATCTGAGCTATCATAAAGCCACATTTCAGCCCAATCCGACCAGTAGTTAATGCGTGATTGAACTTCAAACAAACAAACTGTCACATTTATAATATTAGTAATAGTATAATATAGTCACACTTTCTTGTGGTTAGTAGTAGAGCATTATACAAATAATAATTCATAATTTTCATCAAGTTGTACACTGTTATGATCACTTTACGAACTGGCACATTGTTCTCCAAGCTGGTAAAGTCCACAAGCTGTAGTACAAGGTAACCCATACTTTGTTGCAGGAGCATTGCAAATTCTTGCAGCCAGTAGAGTAGTTGCAGTGAGCAAATCTTAAAAATCTCTGGAGCGGCACTTTGGGTCATCGAGTTGTTTTTATTGTTTATTTTTTTCCAGCAGAGCATCTCGACATTTTTTTACATTAATTGAAAAACTCTTCAAATGAATAATAGTTCTTTTTTTTTAGCAGTTGATTCACTAGATGTATGAAATAATTTTGGTTTATTTTACTTTTTAATTTGGTAGGAAAATTATTCAAAAATTTTGATCCCATGAAGGTTTCCTTTTTTTAGTTTTTTCATAGAAGCTAAGATTGATAAATTTATATAAATTTTATTTCTAGTTCATATGGATGGACATTTTTCCTAATTTCCAAATTTTGTTTTAAAATTCAGGGACAAATTCATAGATATATTTCTGACTTACTACCGTGAAATGGGGCAGTTGCCTTCATAATAATTAGTAATAATTTTAACCTTTACATACATTTGGTTCTCGAAATGGAAACTATAACAGAATTCGTAAGATTACAAAACAAATCTTCAATTTTAAACTAGAAAAGATGTGCAATGTTTGGCAGTATGATTGCAGCTCTGATTCGTCGTTCTCCGGGCTCAGGCCAAACCGTGTGCACGTTTCCATTTGTTATGTTGTGTTATTGATTTAATCATTATTTTACAATTGAATTTCATTGACCCATCAGAAGCAACTAATATACGACTCCAACGGAAGGAAAAGCAAGATATAAAAAATGAAACACTGTTAATTTTAAGTAACATAAAATTGATAATTTTAAAAACATATTTCGAATATTTGTCATATGGCTTTTTATTGTAGTCTAAATTAGGGGCTATGGCTCCTACAGGCCACTAGTTGTAGTACATATTTATTGATCAGACAGTCAAAATTTGTAGTTTTGAAAATTGATCTTTTACAGTTATCGTTTGTCTAAGTATAGCATGATTCTTATAGCATTTTTAGTTTCAGAACTGTATCTAAATTTTTTGGGCGTTCCTCCATAGATTGCCAGACCATAAGACAAAATATTTTTATTTTAGAATGTCCAGGTTACATTAGTGGTTACACTGGCCTAAAAACACATAACCCTGAAGAAAGTTTTTGTATTATGATTTGTGTATATTTAAGATTTGTGTCTAGGTTAAGCCAAAAAATTGAGTATGCTTAAGATCTCCTATTTTTACGGGGTAAAAATGGGATTTTCCCATTTTTCACTGTAAAAAGTTGCAATTTACTTCCAAACCATTTTGAAGAGATCATAAAAAAAATAATTTAGTATACAGACGCGTTTTTGTGTGCCTAACGGTTACGGAGAAAATAAAAAAGTGTACATTTAAAATGACCATGTTATTCTTATGAAGAATAAATAAAGTGTTAAAGCTTGCTTGACAATGGAAGTATTTTAGTGAAATTTGGAAATTTTGTCCATATTGAAAAAAACCCGATTTACGAGACTCCGATTTTATTAGACTTTTTGTATATTATTTCACATACCTATTGGAAATGTAAACCTTCAAAAAATCTTTTAAGGCAATTTTTTAAGGTTAAGGGGTTTTATTTCATATCTTGGCTAGACTAAATTTGATCTAAATAACTGTAAACATGAACAATAATACGATTGGAAACATATGAAGTAAAAAAAAACATCTAATTAACAGCAGTATTGCCAAAATAAACCTGTAAACATTATACATGTAATTATTTTTGTAATTAACTATTTGTGTTTTATTACTAAACTACAATTGAATGAGCGGAAGCGAATCCTGTGGAGTTTAAAAACAGCTGATTAACAACAGTATTACCAAAATATACCTGTTAACTTTATACATATATTTTTTTTTATAAACTACTTGTGAACTATTACAAAATAAAAGAATTAAATGAGCGTAAAAAAAGTATTGAAACAAATTCTATTACTTGACTCGACACAGAATTCGCTTATGACAAATATGTGTGTGTTTGTATCTGTGGAGACGATACAGGCCACGATGAATTGTTATCCAAGCGTACCAATTAACAATTAAGATATGGTAATTTTCAGAGTACCTATAAGAATTACATTGTTTTTTTATAACTATCCCACCACCACTTAAGATAATTTAATGATTAAAAATACTAAATTGCATATATTTTTTAAGGATTTACAACATGGGTATAGCACAGACTAGGGATAAAAAGTTTTGTTCCCTATAGTGACTAATATTGAAATAAGTTATTTACTACTAACAACTTAAGACAGATTTTTACCTATTTTCAACCCCATACAACACGTTTACTGTATATTATTTATCTTAAATCATGAATAGTTTATAGATAATACAGTTTCAAAGGTTTGTACCAAATTCGGTCTAAATTGGAGGTTCAGAAGAAAATTTACAGGGAAAATAGTAAGGTTTATTATTTTTTCAAATTTTTGGACGCCATATTGGAAAAACCCAATTTCCGAGACTCCGATTTTATTAGACTTTTAGTATGTAATTTAACATACTTTTTGGAAATGAAAACCATCAAAAAACCTTTTAGAGCAATTTTTTTAAGGTTAAGGGGTTTTTTTTCATATCTTGACTAGACTATTAGTTGAGTTTTTGCCACATTCATGGACAGGCCATTTACTGCAAACCAATCCCCAAGGAGTTGATATTCCTTAGTTATTGAGGCTTGAATGAACTCATTGTTTTGTCCTGTGCAAATTAAAGCGGTATCATCTGCGTATTGAAAGGTGGACATCTAGTAGCATTGCATAGATCATTAACATAAATAATAAATAAACAAGGGCCGATAATGAAGCCCTGAGGAACTCTATTGGGGTTAATGTTCCACTCTGATTTATACTTTCTCTGCATTTTTTGTAAAATAAGTCTTTGTTTTCGGGTCTTTAAATATGATATGAACCATTTTAATTCAGTATTTTTTATTCCATGCATACTTAATTTTTCTAAGAGTATCTCATGATTCACACAGTCAAAAGCCTTGGATAGGTCACATAGCACACCCACAGTCTTCTGCGATCCATCCAAGGCTTCCGCAATGTAGTTAATCATTTTTGTTATGGATTTTTCAGTACCGAGTTCTGGGCCGAAACCAAACTGTGAAGGATTTATTAAATTATTGCTTTCTAAATATTCTGTTAGTTGAATCTTTACAATTGTTTCAAAAATCTTTGAAAAACAAGGCAGAAGGGCGATGGGGCGGTAGTTAGAGGGATCGTTGACATCGCCCTCTTTGAACAGAGGTTTAATCTCAGCCAACTTTAGCTTATCAGGTAAAACCCCCCCCCTCAAGGGACTGATTCACTATTTGGCATAATGGATGTTCTATAAATTTAAAAACTCTTTTAATGACAAAAAGAGGAATTTCATCCCAACCTGAGGACTTAGTGTCACTGAGAGATGTAACAACTTTTCTTAACTCGTCAATTGAAACATCTCTAAATTTAAATGTTAATTTGGAACGTGGATGATTTTCGATTAGTAACTGAGTGGCTTTTAATTTATCTGTTGATTTGTTGGCATACTGAGAAACATTAATAAAAAAGTTATTGAATTTATTTGCTACCAATACTGCACAATTTTGTTTATCCCTTTCATGTTTGAATTTAATCTCAACTGGAGTATCAAATATTCTTTTATTAAGTCCTGTTTCATTTTTCACTACTACCCAAGATGCTTTACTTTTATTCTTAGATTTTTTAATAAAATCATCATTAGCTTTCAGTTTTGCTAATGCAACTACTTTTTTAAAGACCTTTCTGTACTTTTTGTAATGGATTAAAAACTGAGGGTTACGATTCCATTTTGATTCTTGGTGCAACCTATTTTTATTTTCTGCTGAAATTTTTATTCCTGTTGTTATCCAGTTATTTCTGTTACGTTTATTCTTTGGACGATCTACTGTTTTGGGGAATGCCTCGTTGAATGAATTTAGAAAGTTTGTAAAAAATTTATTGTAATTTGTATCTACATTAAAGGTTTCAAAAGGGTTACAAATAACATTGTTTAGTGTGTTTTCAAAGGTGTGGTTTGGATTCATAGATTGATATAGACCATTGAGTAGAACCGTTGCATAAGCATACATTATATGAAAATACCGATCGGTCATTTTGTGACCGATGGCACTACGGAACGGCCCAGGTCGGTCATAAAATGACTGATTGGCATTTTGAGGTTTAAAAATATATTTTTTTCTGTTAACGAATAAAAAAATCAAAGTTTGCCGCCCCCAACAAGGTTTATTTGTAAAGTAAAAGATGAAAAAAATTTACAAAATTTGCCGCCCTAGGCTGCAGCCTATTTAGAAAATAGGCCCTGAGCAATTAATTACAGTAATGGTAATCAAAGCTGTCTTGGCTTGGTTTCTGGTCTGTGTAAAAGATCTCCGTCCTCTGGTCCCCGGCATGGTTTTGAATTAAATGATCACAGTCAGTTTTGGTAGCAGCAAACACATAGGGCTCAGACAGACTAGGGTCCGATTTCTAGGCTCTGGTCCTACATCTACGAAGCCACAGAGTTGTCTCAGGACCTAATACCAACATACACCATATAGGCTACACCGTGTTTATTCCATATACAGGGTGAACAACTTTACTGTGCCACCATTGGTATCTCAGAAACTATTAGATTTAGAGAGAACATTAAATGGTGAACTTCAACTAGTTTTTAATGATATAAAAAATATGAATTCCAATGTTTCAAAAATGGCTGCCATTTTCCAATATGGCGGCTAACCTAAAAATGTCTTATGGAACACCCTGTATTTTATGATTGTTTTAGATTCTAGAAGCAATTTTAAGACTTTTTAACTCTTGGCATTTTCTCTCTAAACCTACTCGTTTAGGAGCTACAGCGTGTTAAACTTTGAAAAATTAGCTTGCCGTGTGGTTATAATCATTATGTCAATAGCTTTTTGCAAAGTTTAATACGCTGTAGCTCCTGAACGAGTAGGTTTTAGAGAGGAAATGCCAAGAGAAAAAAGTCTTAAAATTGCTTCTAGAATCTAAAACATTCATAAAATACAGGGTGTTCGATAAGAAATTTTTAAGTTAGCCGCCACATTGGAATTCATATTTTTTTATATCATTAAAAACTAGTTGAAGTTCCCCATTTAATGTTCTCTCTAAATATAATAGTTTCTGAGATACCAATGGTGGCACAGATAAGTTGTTCACCCTGTATAGGCCTACAGATACACCACTCCTTGCAACCCAACCTCCCCATCATAGCTTCCATGATAATACATAAACTTATGCAAGTTAAATATTGTATGTTACCTACCTTTTTCGTGTACATTGTTGATGAATAATATTATTTTTTCATTGATGATGGATTTTGTTTCATCTGATATGGATTCTCTTTCTTCTTTGGAAATTCCGAAAGGTCGTGCTTCTTTAAAATCTTTTTTTCTATTTGACGCCATCTTGGCTTTAGTTCGGAAGCTATAAACAAATTATAATTATTTACACCCAAACGCTCTCTTAGGTTGAGGATATATAGCATCTAACTTAACTTAGTAAGTAGGTTAGGCGCAATTCTGTGCTGGTGCTGGTGGCAACAATTTGGTGTAAGAAAATACTTGATTTGGCAATTTTAAAGGATCATCATAGCCTACAAACATGAAACTGCTGCACATAACACTGGATGGCTAACTGAACTGATAATGCAATGTAGAATCTCTTATGAAGTAGGACTATAATGGGCATTTTCACAGGTCATATTAACTTAACTATGCGCGAAACATTTACCTCATAGTTAATCAATATAGAAAGTTGGTGTTCTGGTTGATTTAAGTTTGGTTATCGATCAAATCGATACTTTAAGTTATTGTTGGAATATCCAATGGAGTCAGATATCAAGTTTCTCCAAATTGGACTAAAATTCCTACAATTGACCACAATACTATAGGATCATCCTTCAGCAGTAGTTTTAGGTATAAAATTACCTGAGTACTGCCAGAGTGATCCTGTTAGTCCTTACGGATTACGTGTTTCGAGGAGCTTAAGTCCTCATCATCAGATCTTGTACAAGAAATACATCTATCACTTCGAATTGATGAGGACTTAAGCTCCTCGAAACGTGTAACCTGTAAGGACTAACAGGATCACTCTGGCAGTACTCAGGTAATTTTATACCTTTTATAGTTTGTTCTGTGATCCAGAGACAAAACAACTCAAAATATGAAGTAGTTTTAGGGCTAATAATCACATCCATTTGATACAGAACACTCCTGGCCACTTTTCTGCTAAGTGAGATTCTCTACAACCATAGCCAGGACATTTAAAATGTAGCCTAAGTAAAACTTATGTCTTTAAAAGTTCACACTGTACTACTATGGCCTTAAACTGTATTATGGCTACAACAAAGATGTTTTATGCTAAAATCATTGGCCTATGTTGAATCACGGACAATGGATACTAGCCTAACAGTTAAATCCATTGTCTATGGCTGGGTCAAACTTAGGCATAAGGTAACAAAGCCTATTACAGCAGGCCTAATGTACAATGTAATAGATCAAAATTATATTAAAACAGCCTACTTTGCTTATTTCCAATCCATTTTCAGATACAATATTATCTTTTACGGAAATTGCAGTAGGATAGAGGAAATTTTAGTCTTACAAAAGAAGTTAGTTAGAATCATATCTTGTGAACCCCAACAGGAACACTGTAAACCCCTGTTCATTCAGCTACAAATTCCAACAGTAATTAACATTTATATATTTGACTCTGTATCATATATTCTACAAAATCCCAACCTTATCAAACAAAATTCTCATGTTCATAATACAAGGAATAAAAACGTTGCTGCCATAGATTTTTTTAGACTGTCTAAAACTCTTAAAAGTCATATTGTAATCTCACTAAAAATATACAACAAGCTAATACATTTAATAACAAAATATCCTAGTAAAACTTTTAAATCTAAATTCTACAAATGGCTTTTGAACAACCCTTTTTATTCTCTAAAAGATTTTTTTGAAATGCCTTTTATTAATTTTTAAGTAGAGCTAGCAAATTTATCAAATTACTGTTGGATTTAGTTGGTTATGGGGTTTAATAACTTTCATTATTCTAAATGCCTTGCATTTTTCTGAACAATAAGATTATTTGGTTGTAATATTAAAGTATGTATTGTAACATGTCTCCTTGTGTGTAGTATTCTTGTAAATATTGTATATTGTATTCATTAACTGACTATGCTAGTTTTAGCAGTTTTTCGGACATTGTCAATAATTTGTATAAATTCACAAGACAATAAACACATTTCATTTAATTTCATTTTGTAACTGGGTAGCTCATTGGTTATAGTGCTCGCCTAGTCATCAAAAGACTGCTGGTTCAATCCTGAGAGGTGGGTAGCTTTTTTGTGGTTCTAAACTGGACCCAGCTTTCCTTGATCATTGGGCTTTCAATAAATGGTCCTGACTAATGTAATAGCTGGTTTTAGTCGGCAACAAAGCAACCAAAGGTTATCACACTCCATTCTACACTCATATGTTGGGATAAAATATGCACTATGGATACCGTAGCCTGTTTCAAATCATCAGTTAATGTGGCATATATTTAAATTAAAAATTAGGCCTATCTGATGGGTTGAGTAAAATATTAAACAACACCGAATACTGTACATATGTTTTTGGTGTTTGGAGCATTTTCTAAAGTAAAGTTATTAAAACCCGGCATTTACCCAGGACCATTAAACATTGTCATTAAACATTGTCAACAAAAAATTGCATATTTTTCATTATTTGAAAGCCATTTAAGATTCGGCATCATAGCATGGGGTTCTGCTGCAGACCATCTCATACAAAAACTGCTTACAATACAAAAGAGGGCCATAAGAACAATAGAACAGCTTCAATATGACGAACATTGCAAACCATTCTTCATGTCCAATGAAATCCTTACCCTACCATCCCTCTACATTCTGGAAATCATCAAATTTTTGAAACTCTACCCCCCAAAAGTCAGGAATGATTGCCACAAACCAATTAAGAATCTCGAAATTTAACTAAATTGTTCAGCACAGACATAGGTACCAAAACTAGTACAAATCTTCAAATAATAGGATCAAAGTTATTTAATATGTTACCAGAGAATTTAAAACTAATCCACAATGACAAAACTTTCTTGAAAAAACTAAAACAATATTTGCTAGGCCTAAACAAACCATAGGCCTACTAACTTACGACCTAAATGAATTTTACGTTGATCACAGCATCTACAATAGACTAAACCATTAAACTGCTCACAACCTACACTAATACACAAATACACATATACATAAACAAAAGAAGAATGACGATTCCCTGGTCTCAATGACTACGGTGAAAAGGACCTAGGTTAGGTAAAGGTAAAGGTACCTAAGTTAGAAAAATGAACCTGATAACCTCACCTTCACCAATACTGTAATAGAGGCCTAGGCCTATCTTGAAAAGTAAAATTGTAACATTAGAAAATTACGAATAACACATGAGCTATGAAAAAGGGTACCTTCAGATACCTTAAACAAAATTTTTATTAAATAGCCTAACGCGAACAAACTTGAATTTGAAGAGAAATCAAGGTATGTAAGTTAAGTTTCAAGTTCAAAGTTCAAGTTCAAAGTTAACTTTTGGTAAGTTGGTTTTGGTCTTTGGCCTTTGGCGTCAGTCGGACCGTCTGGACTGGAGATGGAGACTGGAGTGGAGTGGAGACTGGACTAGTTCGAAGTCAGACTGGACTGGAGAATGGAGATTGGACTCAACTCACTGACTGGACCCGTCCCAGAGAAACAGCCGGAGACGGTTATACAGGCATACAGAAGTGAAAAAGAAACAGAAAGTCAAAAACCTTAATTTATTTTGATCCTTGTTACTGTAATGCAGATTCGAATGCGCCTGCAAGATTCTTGTTACGGTATAACCATGCCACTTCTGTAATAGCATTGGCTATACATCTCCCCTTGGGGAGATATATAATCAATGGTAATAGCCACTTCCCAATAGGGAAATTCGCTAAAAGGTAGGCATACTAATGACTTTAACATTCAGAAACACATCTGAAGCAAGTTTGAAGGATTTGGATATTTGATTATCAGATATTGATTGGATCAATTTACTATCTGAGAGTCAAGGGACTGGGGTTCAAGTGCTTCAAACGTTATATCACAATATTAAAATCATAACTACTGCAATATTATGATATTGTGGATACCCTAGTCTTCTAATAAAACAACTATCGTTTAAAGTCAAGCTTAATTTTATTTTAGCAACTATGAAAGTAATTTGGAAAGCGTTACTCTCGGCAGTTGAAATTGCATCAAACTGTGTAAAAATGGTAATGGACTTATACGATTTGGTGTAACAAACTGTGACACTGCTTTGAAGTACAACTTGAGTTTAAGGGTTGGGTAATATTGCATCTCCGTGTGTTACATCATGAGACCAAACTCGCGCAAGTTCCGTCGCAAGAATTCTCACCAAAGCAGCTTACTTGCATAAAACTACGTAAAAAAATGTGTTTAATCTCTGATTGTATCAAAGCTAATTGGGCAAAATGTTTCAATTTGTGCTTTATTATGTGTTAAACACTACTAAACTTACAACGATCCTTAACAACAGGTTAAAACAATTTAAGGTACATATATATATGTTTTTTTCAGTTTAAGCATTGACTATATACCACAACAATATAGTTGTGGTTATATAGTCAATGGTTTAAGTTAAAACAAATTTGACGTCAAATATTTATTTCTTGTTATTTAACCAATTTAAGACTATTTGAACTAAATATATCTATAAACTATTAATCGTGTTTACTCTGCTGCTATAACCAAAATCTACTCTAAAGTATGAGAGTATATTTTTATGTTGTCTACACCAGTACCTGTAGGTATGTGTCAAACTTTCAAGAGTGTTGTATCTTCTAAGGAAACTTAGGGATTTAATAACTCAGCCATACCTTACAACCAACGGTGTATCATGCTCTCACCCATAGTCACGTGATGTATGGATTGATACTGTGGGGACATTCTCCTGCTACAAGGGTTGTTCTCTCTAAAAGATGGCACTCATAGAGTCATCAAATCATCTGGGTTTAATGAGCATTGTCAGCCTATCTTTAGAGATCTTAAGATCCTCACAGTGTACAGTCAGTATGTTTACAACATACTCACACTCCTGAAAGAAAATAGGGGCGACTTCATGAGAAGGGAAGATCATTATAACACAGCACTCGAAGAGTTCAGGATTTAGACATTCCTTGCTGTCGACTCGAATGGACCTTATGAAGACCTACACTCGGTGTCGGTTGGCCATAAGAATTTTCAACACGCTGCATACCACCAGTTGTAAATATTAGTTTATTATAGTATTTATATAACAAAATAAAGTCTTTTAACTCTTAAAAGACATGACGTAATCTATCTGACAATAGTCGGTCAAGAATTAAGAATACAAGTATCAAGTATAAATTATCAAGTACCATTGATTACGCATTAACACAAGGAGGAGTGTGTCAATGCCAGCGCAAACATACGTAACTGGACCACTAACTGGACATAAAGTAAGCATCAAATGATCAAACAAGACTTAAGAGTTTAATGTTTTGCGGGGTCGTGGAATAAACAGATCAAATTATTATTAAGATATTATAATCTGGATATTATGATCTCATTAATTAATGGTTTATTGTGGCTCATCGCATTGGTCCTGAGTATGAACAGAGTATGTTTTATCTATGGTATGAATTATGTATAAAGGTTTTGATTTTCAAAGTATGAATGTCTTGGCAACCCTGGCTGTGCACCACATGTTTTTATTTGTTTTTATTTCCAATCCAACCGTTTTGAAATTTCAAAATAAGTTTTCTTCTTACAAAATCAAACGTAAATAAACTAACGTTGTGCCATTTTATGTTTGCATTATCAAGTGTTTTTATTAATAAAAGTTGTTTCTAAATTATAAACAGTAAAAATGCTTATGATCATTTTATTCGAGTGATAGTAAAGTGTACTCTACCTAAATTGGTTGTAAGTATAATTTTCTATCGTATTAGTAACCTATGCCACTTTCCTCATTTTTGGTTATGTTAATTAATCATTGTGTATAAAAATAGTTGCTTATTAGTATTATTTGGGAAACAAAAATGAGCCTTTCTCTTATCAAACCTGTCGTTGGTAATGTGCAAAGGGGTACAGTTTCTTAACTGGGCTATGCTAATATCGATTGAAACTATCGAATTGAAAAAGTGCAAAGTCCCATGATTTAATTTTTGGCTAATAAGATAAGTTTCTACTTTCACATTCTTAGCAAGAAAACTTTACTTGTTAGGCTAAATTGATTGTTGTGTACCTAATGAACAAGCTAAATAGTGTAGATCGTGCCAGGAGCAGTTTGTACATTTCCACAAGAACGATTCCCCTACAACCATCGCTTATGTTATTTTGTACATTTATTTTAACAAATTTGCCCTAATTGCTGGAAATTTAATGTTACTAATGTAACTTAGTGTCTAGTGGTGTGACTCTCAATATGAACATTTACCTCATCCCCCACACCCAATACTTTACTTAAATACTTTATTCTGAAATGGTGACCATACGAATGTAGGTAGCCTACAGTAGGCCTAAGTTATGAGTGTAGGATGAGTAGCACGATCTTGTAGTCTTGTTTAGTGACTAAGGCCAACATGTTCCTTAGACACAACTAAAGCCCATACAGCCAATGACAACTAAGGGACCTACAGTTTATAGTGGAATCCGAACCACATTTTTGCCTTGTAATTAATAACGAATAGGTCTAATTATCAGGATACTACTGCGGATAGTCATAGGCCTAGTACTCACTAGCGGGCATTAATCAACACCACGAGTATCGCATCCACAGTGCATGCATATAAATATCCACAATTCGTGACCTCCAAGTGACACAATCTGTAGGTACCGGTACCTGCTTGGTTACAAAAAAAGTGTTTAACTTAAGCCAAAATTAAATATCAACAATAAAAGTAGGTAATCTAGGTGCAGTTGACCCAAATGTAATTCAGCTCAGTAGTTGATTTAGTAATTGTATTGCTGAACATCACCCTGTAATCTTTGTTAATCGTAAAATTCATTAAGCTACCTACCGGTACTGTAATAGCTTAACTTACTGAACTATTCTTAGGTCTCTGTTAGCAGTGAGCAACTATAGGCTTGCTGTGTGTTGAGTCAAACTATGCATACCTACTGGGAGTAATTAGGCTGATGTAGGTATTTAGCCTAGTTATAAATTAAACAGGAAATACATACCGAAACAACACACACCAAAATACCTTTAAATAACTGGTCGACGAGACACTGATTCACGAGACTCTGTGCCGGTTGAAGGTAAAACGCAGCTCCGGTGGAAGGTAAATCGGGACTTAGGCCTACTTTCCACCGGAATCACTTGTAGGGGTTTTGTTTGTTCTGCATTGTATATAAACACCTGTTCGCTCTCCACAGTCCACACGTCACCTTAGGCGCTGCAAGAACTTCAACACGTCCATACCACCATTCCAACCGCTCCATGAAATTAAAATTTGTAATCTTTTCTTTTGTTTTTCAGACACTTAGGACTTGTTTTAGACTGAAAAACTCTGTAAGAAGACCAGGGTATAGGCTGGGATGGAATTTGTTTTAGCAAAAATGCTACAAACTCTCAGACAACTGTAGCAAAAATATTATTCTTTATGCATTTTTAAAATAATTGCCAGTAATATTACATTTTTTAACATTACATCTTCAATTTTATTTGTAGCAAATTTGCTATAGCCTGCAAAAACAATGTCTAGCATTTCTAAGCTGTATATAGCAAAATGCTAAAAATGCTAAACCCTGAAGTAGACACATAGAAATTAAATGTTCAATCAGTGAAACTATATTCAACTTGTGCCATTATTTTTTTTCTAGTTACATTTATGGATGTTTTAAATACATAAAAAAAACATTAAACTGACTAAACGGGTAGAGTAAAATAAGCACCGTGGACATAATATAGCCTAATCTTATTTTTACTTCACATTTTGACTGACGGTATGTCGCCTCTTGCCCTTTTAGGCTTCAGCGAAGAGGTTGAAGGTAATGGAGTGAGTGAGTCATCCAGTCATATCCCAGGAGGGCTAGTAGCCTTCTTATAATACAAGACTGCGGCAAGACAAAAGCGACATTACTAGTACCGGCCAACTGAAACAGCTGCTCCAATAATTTATAATGGAACGTCCGCGCAATGATTATGTTTAAACATTTGATATTTCTGTTAAAACTACCATCGCAATAGGCTAGCTGGTGCGATGTTGCCACGCACCTGCTATGCTGGTTGTGACAGAAGGTGCACATGATCACTAGCCTATTTATTTCTATTGTATTACAGTCATTCACTATATCCACCCGTATAGAACTGGTACATAAAGTTCCCAAAAATTATTGTTATTAAAACATATTACAGAGGTCTAAGACTATAGTCAAATGTCAATAAAAACTCTCAGATAGGTAGGCCTATACATAAATAATTAATCATATTTTAAATAAGCATTCCATATTGAAATTACTGTAGATAATTTTTCAGTTAGTAAACAAATTATTGTAGTTTATTCTTTTGTGTTCCAGACATATGAACCACTATGGCTGCAGGTAGCTCAAACTCATTTCCCAGATCTCCTCCCTTTAGAGCCACTCAGCTGGTGAGTTTTTGGTTCATAGAAACTCAGGGTGGGAAATTACAATTTTAATTCAATCAGGGTTTCAGCTTTAGCACAATTTCAACTTGGGTTCTGTAAAATATATTCTTTTTGTACAGACCTGAGGATTTGTGGACAAAAATTGTAGGCTATAAATAATGAGAAAGGTGTGATATTTTTTACCTTCTACATCTTACATTTAACATTGAAATATCTTTATTTCCATACAAATTATTAAATCAATTAACCTATTTATTATTCAATAAATATTTAACATAACTTTTGCACAAACATTCAAGAATTTTTCTTTTAAAAATTCCTTTGATGTATAAATTACTTCGTATAATGTTTGTTATAGATGGATATATAAATATAAACCACAGTAAGTCATGCTGTTTTACTCCTAACCTTATGATGAAATAGGCCAAACTTAATAACCCAGAGGTCCTCAACAAGACAAAAAAGCTCTAGGGCTGCTGTGTGTGTCTTTGAGGGTTGTGAGTTCCAAAAGTAATCAGATATTCATATAGGTTTATCTATTCTCAATAAATCAAGGAAATAAACATGTTTTTAAATATCTAGTGTAAACTTTTTAAACAAACATGTTAGTACGTTAGTAAATTATCTATTTTGGCAATACAGTAGACCCCTTAACCGACCTCGTATTAACCGATAATCGGATTATCCACCTTTGATCGTAAAATAATACAGTTTGTTTTAACCGACCTTGCTTTGAGAGCAGTTCGGTTTAACCGTTGCTTTCTAGCAATCTCAGCATTTCCGCTCCCACGCTGGGCGATGAGAACTGAACCATACCCTTATCTCCATACTAAGAATAAGTTATTTTATATTAATCACAAAAAATATAGCATAGCCTATTGTCAGTTTGTCATCATCGTTCATAAGCCTCGTTCACACGGGGCGAGTTTACAAGCTACACGCCAGCGTGTAAGAAGCCGGCGATTTGGCGAGTGTGCTTGTATTCGTTCACACGGAGCTTGTCCACTCGCTCAGTAGCTGGCTTGAACCAAATCCTCCAACATCTTTGAGTAACAAGCGCACAAGCACAAGCAACTGTGTTCACACTGGGCTACTTTACACGCCTACTCGCTCAAAAGCTGGCGAGTTGGCGTGTAAAGTAGTGGCAGCGTCAACTTTTTCCAGAGCTTTTTTACAAGCAGCTTTTGAGCGAGTACGTCGTTCACACTGAGCTATTTTACTAGCTGCGTGTAAAAAAGCGGGCGTGTAGCTTGTAAACTCGCCCCGTGTGAACGGGGCTATAGTGCCAGCACATCTGATCTGATTTGTTATCTCTGCGGCAAATTTATAACATCATAAAGTGCGTTACGATTTTGATGAGAACTGATTATTTTATCGCTGGAGTAAACAAGCAACTTGTAGGGAGGGCAGGGAAGGGGGGTTAACAACTCCAAGGTCAAGATAGTTTTTGTGCCTCGAGCCTCCAGTGAGAGGCTATAAATAAACATCCTGTCTTGTAACAAAATGGTTGCTAGTATCTTTAATTTCGACAAAATGTTCTGTATTGTATTACGATGGATTTGGAAAGCATCAATAAATACATTACAGTACTAAAGTTATTAAAATAGGAATTTTTATTGACTCTTGCCTAGTATTATAATGTATTCCACTGAAAGTAGGCCTATTTGACTTAACTGTGTTTTGTGTTTATTTGTGACTTTTCTATTAATGCGAAAAAGGAGATAAGAGTAGTTTATTTTATAAATAATGCAAGTACTGTATGACTTCTAAATAATGATTATATAATTCCAAATTAATAGCACTTAATTATGTTATGATTTTAGGGATTGCCCGTTTTAACCAACCTTTTGAGTTATCCGACCTAGGTCCGGTCCCATTAGGGTCGGTTAAGAGGGGGTCTACTGTATCATCAGTGCTGATGTTGTGCAGAGCTAGTGTAAAGTTGACTTGTATAAAACTCCAGCAACCATATAAAACCAATGATACCTACTACTGTTTCTTATAATAAAAATTATATAATAGTGAAATTAGGTCAGTAAAGTAATACTAATAATAAGTAATAATAAGTTTTGGTAATACAAAATATTGAACAATTGTGTTTTTTATTTTTTATTTTAACGCTAGAACATGATGAGGTGCTGCTAAGATAAGAGCAAAAAAAAAAAAAAATTGAGTCACAGAAACTAAATGGTTGACCACTGCAATAACCAACCCTATGTTACAGAATGAAATGTAAGTATCTTTCCTTAGTTAAAAAACATTGTGATATATTAATACCCCCGCCGCAGCAAACCTGCAGACTAAGCGAATTTCCATTTGCCTGATTGGATTTACACTAAAATGTCTCCTTAAAAATATCACATTTATTCCCTATTTAAATAGAATCAGTTTAACACATACTTAGGTTTGCTGCAACAGAAAGGGTAAAAGTGTTTTTTATGTAAAATGTTAATATTTAGTAAGAAATAAAAACATTTTCCAAATTTGGGCAAAAAATGTTAATAAACAAGCAAACTACAACAGTTTACTTATTCTCCATAAGAATAACATGGGAATTTTTAATTTACAATTTTTTGAAATTTTCTCCGTAACCATTAGGTGCATTATAACGCTTCAATATACTAAATTATTTGTTTTTTTAAGCTCTACAAAATAGTTTGGAAAGAAATTGCAAAATTTTATGTTTTTTGAGTCAAAAGTGGGAAAAACCCATTTTTACCCCATAAAACCTCCCATAAACCCCCGTTCCCATTGTCCGATCATGCTGGTTCGCGAACTCGTTCGAATAAACGTAGGTTTACACGTTTGTACCAAATTTCATCAAAATCGGATCGTTTTTGCTCGAGTTATCGCGCTAACGGACACATATATAAATATATATATATATGAATTTGAACGGATGGTGTTTTTGGCCTCTAGGGACCTCAAAACGAAAAAAAAATCGGTCCCGGGTCCAGGTCTTACCATGAGTACTACGGTAATAGCTTATTCCCTATATGGGAAATTTGCTAAAAGAAGACAGAAATGTCACTCTCCAGTTTTCTAACCAAGATGTTCACTTTCCTTTCATTTTAGTGGAATGAAGCTGTCAGTATCTTCCAGAATGGCATGCCAACCCGAAGACACTTTCATCGAATGAGATACTATGACAGTTGTTTCTCAGGTAATGTCCAAGTTTTGTTTTAAATTTCATTAAAAATGTTACCATCATAACTAAGAATAGGCCTATACAAATGGGTGCAAAAGTCTACGGTTTTGGTAAATTGGTAATTTTTAAGTTGGCCTATTTTCTTTATATCAATTACAGCATGTTTTAAAACTTTTTTTTTGTTTTCTAAGATTTTAATTTTTCCAACAGTGGTGTCTCTTCTATCACCCCTTGATTGAGTGCAGTGTGGAGGTTAGCATACCTTTGCAATTGTCAGGATTAAAAAAATAATTGTAGTTCTGTACTCTGACCTTGAAAAATATATTTGTACTGTATTACTATAGTGAAAACATCTGTATTTCTGTATTCCACTCTTTCCAGGAATCTAGTGTGTAAAGCTTACGATTTAAATTTATATCAGTTGGTAAGAATGATATTTAATTTTTCCAGACTCCATATTTAATGTTAAAATGTGACTCCAGACTCCACAATTACTGTATTACTATTTTTTATGCTATCAAAACAGTACAAAAACACTAATCAAATTAGTTTGATGTAAACATAACACAAAACTAACACTTGATATGTTATCTGAATATAGGACTTCTTCAGAGATTATCACTGTTTATGTTTTGTGATATTTCTTGTGTATCTATGAGCTCCTGAAATATAGTATTCTCAGGTAACCCAGCTAAACTCTGTACCTTTAAAAAATCATTAATTTTTAAATATTACAAACTCAGTGGGTTTTTTTACATGTTTTTTTTAGAATGAGTAAACTACGTATACTCCAACCATCCACATAAATTTGGACTGAACCTCACCCGGATAGTCTAAAATCGGTTTCCCAAGAAAGAAGTCATAACACAGTGGCACGAGGCAGATGAATAATTGCCTGCTGATCGATAAGTCATTACAATAAACTCACCGCATGATTATTTGCACATATTAAAATGTGTAACAGATGAGCACAAACTTCAATAAAGGCAATTTTTCTGGGCAAAATTTTTTTTCTCCTTGAGGTGATCCAGATGATTCTAATTCGGGTGATTGGGGTATTGTATTAGTTTCACAACTTTTCTTTATCTAATCATTTCTATTCAAGCTGTACATTCATACATGAATATACAAAGGTTTGTGTTTCATATGGGATATAAAATGAGTAAATTTAAATTCATATATTCAAATTTTTAAAAAATCTTAGATTTTTTCCTAACTTTACAAAATGGCACTTAACCTAACCTAACCTAACCTAACCTAATAACCAAACTTTCTTCTTATCCCTTCCCAACACCTGCTTAGTATGGCCAAGGAGTTTTTGAACTGTGTAAGGTAACATGATTCTTTGGTTTTGTACAGGGAAAGAAGCCGTGGAGTGGCTTAGCCATGCTCTCACTGTTAATCCCCGTTTCGGAAACAATGTCACGACTGAGGGAACACATAAGTTGCTCCAACATTTCCTCAAATCAGGAGTCTTTCAAAGCATCAAAGGAAATTTGACTTTCAAAGATGGTGGACTTTATGAGTAAGTTCTTAGGTTAATTGTTTATTTTATTTGTACATAGGATTGCATGATGATTTATATTTTATTCTTATTTGTGTACGTTTTGTGAGTGATTATGTGCGTTAAGTATGTTTTCTTGCCAGTGTCCATGAGAATGGTATTTTGTATTTATGATGGATACTAAACGCTTTCAACAGAAAGTTTTCAAACTCTAAATTTGTGCGTATACTAGAGATCGAACTAGTCACTCTTTTTGTTAACGAAGACACTTGTACTAAAGTTTGCAGTGTAAGCTATGTTGGTGTAAGTTACAGTATTAAAAAAACAACAATGCGTTTGTAATGATTAGTCTCTGAATAACTTTATTAATAAAAAATAGTTTAGTTTTTTGATCCATGAAATGATTTGTATTTTTAAGTAGCCTACACTATACTTTAATACTTTTCAAGAAATGGTGACCGTACAAAGTATGTATTTTAAGCCAAGTATGAATGGAGATGAGTGTAGGATGAGTGGCACAATCTTGTAGTCTTGTTAGTGACTATGGCCTACATATTCCTTAGACACAGCTGTTTATTAATAGCCCATACAGCTAATGGCAACTAAGGGACCTACAGTTAATAATGGCATCCGAACCACATTTTTGCCTTGGTATTTACGAATTGGTCTAGTTATCAGGATAGTGCTGCGGATAGTCGTAGTACTCACTAGTGTGGACGTTAATCCACACCAGGGAGTATCACATCCACAGTGCATGCCTATAAATATCCAAAATTTGTGACCTCCTAGTAGCTGGATTACAGGACGACGCCACCGTCCCAGTTTTTTCCACTACTTCAGACCTCTAGGGTCTATTTTAAGTTGTCACAGGATTATAAAACAATAATTTCTCTTTTAGCCGATGTAGGTAGGCACTCCATATCAATTTTTTAAAATCATAAACTACTTACTAAATACAGATAAAATAAGAGAATCCAAATCACTATTGTAGGCAAAATACCAACATTATTCACCAACATTCAATATTCATTCAACATTATTTACCTATGTTTTAACTTGCAGGTTTGTTAATCGAACAATTCAGTCACCAAATCGGAAATGTGAACGCAAAGTACCACAATCTCGGAAGTGTTTAAAGGAAATTGACTTTAATGTGCCAAAGAATTTTGATAATAGAATTTCAAGAAAGAGAGAAGATCTAAAAAACAAATGGCAGTACATGGATAAACATCTAGAGTACTTCTCACACCAAGATGATATTGACTGGAAGGATGTAATTTTGAAAAGGTTTGTATTTTGAAAGTTTGCCTTGGATATGTTCAGAAAATGAAAATCATACTGTACCTACTTTATTGGCCGCCAACCGTTGACAAAGACGAGCCGTCTGTGAATGTAAACAACAGCAGTGGCAATTCCGCTCGGGCTTTACGGACTCGCATCGCCTTTTGTCTGTTTTGATATTGACATGATTGTGTTATAGCTCAAACTCAAATGACAAGTAACTTCTTTACTAGAAAGATCCATCTTATTGTTAACGTTTTCACACTTCAGTAGTGTGTTGGTTTAGCATTGTTTTAATAATACTGTAACTGTACTTTAAAGTTTTTCAATTTGATTTAAGAAGTGTTGAGCATGTTTGTGTTATTGTTTTCTTAAATAACACTACCCTATTTAAAAAAAGTTTGCATGAATATTCCATTTGATCATTGTTAATTCGCTATATAGTGTTAAAAAAAATTGAACAAATGGTGTTTTTGGCCTCTGGGGACATCAAAATGTAAAAGTAAATTGGTCTAGGGCCTAGGTCTTACCGTGCCACCTATGATAATAGCTACTTCCCTATAGGGAAATTCGCACCTCGGTTTAATCAGGAGTGTACTGTATTGCAAAGTATAAAACACTTCTTTTTCAATAGATATATTTTTCAATCCTGAACCAAACTACTTTTAATTGAACCCAAATTCTAAATCTGAGGGTTAAGGATTGGGTGAAAATAGCCCCAGGATTATAGTTTGCATATGAAGATAATGAAGTTGTCTTATAATAGTTTATTTCCTTTTATCTACTTTATAATGCTACAGACTAGAAAAAATGTCATCAAGATAACTTAATGTTAAATGTAGGGAAGAGTTCATAAAAAATCCGGAGAAGTAGGCTTAATTGACTTGAGTAAAGTTATAATTGCAGTCTTATAAGTTAAGTTTTAAGTTAAAAAGATTTTAATGGGCATTTATTTATTTATTTATCTTATTTGGTAGCGTTATCCCCTATGTAACCTATATTTTGAAATATGCAATACTTATTAGGTGCAAGTTATTTGTAGACAAAGATAGTTGTAAAATTAACATTTTATTTTGTTACAAACCCACTTACATCTATAGACACATAAAATATGTTAAAGTTATTTTTTCTAGATCGTATTAACATTCAACTTTTTGAACTAGTGGATTCTTTATAGATCGCTGTTTGTTATTCATGGCCGTGGACAGTCGTGAAACCATTTTCCCCAGTGGGCAATACAGATACACCTTGGTTTTTTGGCCATCATCAGCGATAATTGGAAAGAAAGATAATAATGATGTATTCAAGAACACAAGCAAGTGTCATTTGGTGGCTTACATACTTTTACAAATAGGTGTACTTTAGTTTGATGACCTAAGTGCACAAATAAATATGTTTTCTTTAGTAAACTATGTTTTGTTAAGCACAACCTAACAACGCAACCGATGGCGGGCTAATATACTCTTTTAGAAACGGTATGTTAGTTGTAGATGTAGGTAGTTATATTACATGTAGCTTCCATACCACTGCTCAAACGGTGATTGGCTGAAAGCAGTTTCCAAAATTGCATTCTATCCATTTAGCCTTTGTTGTATTGGTTTTCCATTTTCCTGCTGTACCAAACAATTATTATAAAATTTAAGTTAAAGTTATCATGCAAATTACAGTACTTTCGTATTATACGGAGGCCACCCTTATACATCGTGCTGCAGTGGTTATGTTAAGTTGGGTTATCATAAATATGTTTGTAGGACTTTCCTCGTTTCGTTATAAATCAAACAATACCAGATGAGTCATGCTTTCGCCCGCCGAATCCCCTCCAAAGGCCAAGGTCAGGTTGTTGACCATAGCACGGGCATCACTTGCCTGTATCTTGGTCAGGGTCCTGAGTGATGACTCATCTAGTATCGTTCGATTCATAACGAAACTTTAGAAAGTCCTACAAATATATTTATGATAACGATAACCCAACATAACCGCCACAGCGTGCTGTATACCTACTTGGGGGAGTACATGTGGCAGCTAGCGGCGGCGATGCATTCAACTCAATCCTCACAGATATGGCTGCCTTCTGGGAGGCAGAACTCAAAGGCCGCTAATCATAATCATGTCAAATTCGGACAATAATTCAATTAAAGTATGTTCTTTCCAATTATGTAGTTATTTTTCGTTTCTGGTAAAAAAATCTCTCTAAAATAAGTGACCTCCGTAAAATACGAAAGTACCCAAATTACACTCATAATAGCATGCAACATTGTATTTACCAGTCTCTAAAGAGCATATTCACTGCAGGATCGGCTCTCTACTCCCAACACTAGGCATTGACTTGTTGTTGGATCCAGACACCATCTGCTCTGATTGGGTCAAAGTCAATGTTTGTCCGCAATACCAATCAATAAGGAACAACACAGAACTGCCCTTCTGGGTCTACACTGCCATTTCTAGTGTTATAAACCGTAAGTTTTACATCACCAACCAACGTCAGTTACAGTCGTTAACTTATCAATCAAATTGATCAAACATGTTTTTTTTTTACTGATTTCAAAACATCAAATATAAAATTTATTTGAATTTAAATTTAGTCAAACTGATGGAATGACTTATTTTAAGCTATAGCAACTGTTATTACCCATTAAATATGTCAGTAACAAAAAGTAAGGTAGAACATAATTAATTTTAGACACTAGCACATTCTGTTACTGGCTCACTCAACTGTTCTTTCTAAATAAAAAAATGGTTACAACTGGTTCATTTAGATGGGATGTCTACTTCAGTATCCAATTGTCGATGATGTAACATAACAAATAGATAAACATTCATTATGTATAAAATAATGTGTATGATGTTTGAAATAGTTTCTATTAAGTCCATAACAGTCGTTAATTAATTGCCATGATGCTATCTATTGCTTGATATTGAATCTTAGGTAAGTTTATTTTGCAGCTCTTGAGAAAGAGTACCCGATGTACCAGGGCTATCAAAAACAAGTGTACAAAGTGGTTCAGGACTACCTACGGCACAGGAACTTCCCAGTGATCCCCTACTGCTTGTACGAGCTGGTCATGTACACATTCAACCATCTCCACTACACCGACCTCGAGCTGAAGAGCAGACTGCAAGAACGAGACTCTGTAGAAAACCTCGTGTTGAGTATGAGTAACGCGGATTGGAGCAATCATGAACTCGTTTCCAATGAAAACCTCTCAACTACGATGCTTCCACCCAACTCTTGTTTTGAAACTGCCTTCACCTCTGATGAACCTGTGACTCGGATCGTACCTCAAAGTTGCGTGGACACGATTTGTCTCAGCAACAGAAACTCAGTTAGAGATGCCGTTCAACCTCATGCGAAACCTGAGAAACCGAGCAGTGATAAGTTTAGAAGAAAGAGTAACATCGCATTGAGAAGAACTCAGTCCATGGCACAGATTGATGCTAAGTGGAGCACTCCATCGCCAGAGCAACAGAGTTACGTGAACTATGGTCTGTCTCAGTCCCTGGACGATCTCCTCCTAGAGGATGTGTCGGAGGATGTAGTTGGAAGCCTGGACCTGGAGGAAGCCATGAAGAGTGTTCACAGTCTGATGCGGGCGACAACGGTCTCGGACTCCTTTGATTCTCTCACCACAGTTGACTCCTGCATTGTAGACCCAGCAGATCTTGTGTGTATTGGTAAGTTTTTTTACATAAAAAAAACATCATACTTATTAAATTATTAACTAGGACAGTTCGATTTTGTTAAAGCCATAGATGTAAAGGTGTGGTTCTTAACCAAACTTACAAACTGGAAAACCCCAGCTTATTACATCTTACATCTCAAATATACTCCCTGGACACCCCAATTTGGTATTTCTTGATAAAACTATAGTTCAACCATAGTTCAGGTGTCAAATTTGTACTTATCCTGTTAAACAAAAATATAAAATTCCATTCTCATGTTAATCATGAAGTACAATGAGTTAATGTGGGTATCTTTGTTCATTGCACACTTGCCATATAGTCACGTACATCATCGGGAAGAGATGCATAAAAACTCGCTAAAATAGTTCCCAAGGACTCATCTTTGATTATTGTCCGATACTATTTACTACAATCGGTGGCAAAAGTTGTTGAATAGTACGTTAAATAACGATAACACTGTTGCAGGGGCTCGTTGTTAATTGTAACAAAAGAATCGTCATAAATTAATGGGCTTCCGTGAAATATAGTAATAAGTTAACCAACAATATTACTATAATAGCGTGTACTTGGATCGTCGTAAATAGGCCCAATAGACATATAACAATTTGTGAAACAACAATGTTAATTTAATAAATCAGGGGTATTCGAATCTTTGTTAAATAATGGGTCTACTTGAAATATAATAATATGTTTATCAACAAAATTATTATAAAACAATGTTAAGATCCCAAATATTTAACGGGTAAGTACGTTGTTTGCGAGTAAAATTATTTACACAAATATAATATACAATAGAATTATGAATGAACTACCAGGCATCTCCGATGGTAAAACTGTTATCAAACAGCTGATCGGGTCGCTCTTATCTCTTGTTCATTCATCTAGAGAGTACAATAGACAAACTCCAACAACAGGTCGACTAGCCTTTTTAGAGTCGAACGAACAATTCTTACAGAATATTTAGAATTAATTAGTTAATTTGAAAGGCAGTGTTAATTATAATTGAACACCAATAAATTATCAGAGGAAATGTATAAACACTGGTATAAATAAATGCGATGTATAAACAGTAAACTTCAAAGATAATTAAATTCCAATAAATTTCATGTTGTTTTATCATACAAACGTAATACGTTTAACAACAAGTACTGACGTTTAATCATATTATTTAGTTCGAAGTTAGTTAACTAATATTCCACTGGAATATTATGTGTCGTATACAAAAACTGATTTTTTTGATATTTGTATTTGTAATATTTATTAAATTCTGAGCCAAAAACAATTATTGTCCATGCTTTTCAGGCGCCATAAGATGTGTTAAACATACAATGAATGTCCCTGTTCGGATCGTCATAACATTTATGTGTTTTAATTGTCAATGTGTAAGTGTAACGTTTGTGTATATGTCTCCAAAACTTTAAGACGCACCTGTAATGGGGAAGTTCAAGAACTTATATTAGGACTGATGATGGAGATATAATTCCCCAAAATGCATCTCCTGTAAAGGATACAACAGGATCGACCGGCGGACACAGGTAATCTAACATTTTATTGATTGACACACTTATCCAGAACAACAACAAACAACAAAAATGAACTCTAATTTAGTTTATTTTCTTTGCTACACAGTTACACTTGCCAATACAAATTGTGTATTTATTAATTTGTGGCAGTAAAGGATCTCCATAGCTTGTGTTACAGATAGTTGCCAATGGCTGGAACATGTCCAGATGACAGCCAAGACAGTGTTTCAGCTTCTGTTGCTTCTCCTTCCTCCGGTCAGTAGAACTTCTCTACAGATGCTTCTTCAGTTCATTGATAGACTTTGTGTCCCTTCTCACTCCACCATTAGTAAAACAGAGGTAAGGTCCTCGGTTGTATCTTTGACTTTTGAAACAACTAAACGTTCCATTCCCAGTGTTTTTGATGAAAATCATAGTTGATGTGAGCTACCGACGGATTGTGCTGATCTAAATTAAAATTCCAGAACACTAAAAATTCAGTTTCGAGCAAGAAAAATTTTTTAAATTTAAAACTATATGAATTATTTTTTGTTTTCCTATACATTTTTTTACCTCCCATCTAAATTAACCTTTTCGCAACTCAAGTCTACGCACAGGCCCTGCCTATGTAGACTTTTTCCTTTGTTATAAAAGGTATTTTTTTTGCACTTTTTTGCTTTATTTCTACAGAATATAATTTTTGTTTTGTTATCTTATCTAGTTAGTAATGTTTGCTTTATTATATTTAAGTAAAAAAAAAAAACAATATACTTATATGTATATAATTTATGGGAAATAAAATATTATTTCATTCCTTCAATTACTAATAACCATATAGTGGTTTGATTACGTTTTATTTTTGATCAAGCTCAAAATAGTTGTACAGTAGCTACAACCATGGTTTTGACACCAGTTTCCTCATGGTCACCTAGGTCATGTTGTAAAATATCACATCGTTATGATAGTCAATGTGAGAGTGTTCTCCAGTCCGTTCCCGCGATGGTAGGATTTAATAAGAAGCATAGGCATTTATTCCGTCATCGAGAACCATTTGTTAAATTGTACGTGTCCCAGTGTGTTTATGAATGAATGAATGTTTTATGAATGAATGAGTGAATGTTTGTTTATTTCCACATAATATATACAGAAAACAATGACACACTTTTTAATACAAAATACTTACAAAATAAAACTAAGACGAAGAATAAAAAAGAACATTTCTGTATAAACTAAATTAAATTGATTGTATGAAATACAACAGACATAGGCAAGTGCTGCCTGTGCGTCTGCTGGGTTGCTATTTAAATATTTATAGTAGGGATGGTCAAGTCTCGAAATTTCGGGAAATTTTCGGGAAATTTTAAATCTCGTTACACGAGACGAGATTTCTTTTTGGCCGAGATTTTTATCGAGACGAGAATAAAAAAAAAAATAATAAAAAAAAAAAAAATATATTAAAAACGCCTGCAGAAAGTCAATGCAATACCCGCAATACAGGAGCGTGTTGTAGTTGTGTTTCCTTTGCGAAGGCGTTCTTATTTAATTAATTCTTTAAATGTAAATATTACTTTAATTATTTTAATAATATTACTTTAATAACATTTGAGAAGTTTTGTTAAGTGTAAGCAGTGTGAGGAATGTTTTATTACTATAAAAAGCCAAAACAAGTAGGCCTAACTATTTTATAAAAATTAATATTGATTTTATTTTATGATTTATTTTATTTTAGGATAAGTTGAACTCTATCCTAACTGAAATCACTATGTTTCCTAATCGTAGGCATTTTTAATAAGTTAGGCGTGATTAATAAAAAAATGTTATGCTGATGTTTTTTAATAAAAGATTGTAAATATTCTTGCCTATTATCATTACTTTTGTATTTAAACAGTCATCTAACAATGTTACAAAATCAGGTAAACATTTTGAACGTGCATTTCCCGTTGTGTATGAGAAGGGAAATCCCGTCTCGATCTTGTCTCGAAATTTTATGAGAGATACAAAGTCTCGTCTCGTCTCGAACTAAAAATCCAATCTCGTCCATCCCTAATTTATAGTAACCAAGTTATATGGAATTATGCCTATAAAAGGATGAATAATGGAATTTAGACTGTTGCTTAAAGGTTGTTAGTTTAGAAAGGAGATTTATGAATTGTAAAATTGAATAGATTTATGAAAATTGAATAGATATTATGTTCATGTAAATGTGACAACCAAATGTGCTGGGAGGGAACCTTAAAAATAGTAATCTTTATGAAACTGCTGCGTTTTTCGCACTTAGGCTACTGGATGACTGGTGAGTACAGTATAACTAGTGTTTGGTTGCTAGAAACAATGCACATTCATATTATAGGTAAATCTTTGAAAGCTGCAGCTGCGGTTATTCAACTACTTCCGGTTCTGTTGGTAACCGGGGTTGAGAAATGAGAGCAGTAGATTTTGATGTTTGATTTAGGTATTTTCTTAACTTATGCAAGATTAATTTGTTATCAATAACATTAATTTATGTCTAAACTCGTAAAATAATCATATTTATTGACCAATAACTGTACATACATCAAAATTATCATACTATTGGACAAAATATCTTTTATGGAGAAGGGGCAAAAACATCCTACAAATACCAAAATTATCGTGTACCCTATCTGGCAACACTAGATATAAATAATGGTTTTTTTAATAGGTTGGTAAATTCAGGAAAATCGTTATCTAGCCATGGGCTAGGTCCCTTGGTGGCCGGATATGAGGGGTTCTGCTGTACTAGGAAAAAGGTTTTTTCTGTTCAACTATGAATGAATGAGTTCAATAAAGAATTGTTTATTTTTTCAGATTGTCTACGATTTAAGTGCTCACATTTTGTCTCCTGGTCCTCACAGCAAGAATGTGTACAGCCACCATATGGTTCTCAGCGTAGTTTACTTTCTAGTGGACAACTGTAACTTTATCTTCCAGGATACACCCATTAAAGAGTTGCTGAATGGGTTTGACCTGAGAAATCAGGGGGAGAATACACAAACACAGGTAAACTCCTCACTTACCAATATCAGTTAAATGTCAGTTCCTCTGTAGCCTTGTAGGATTGCATGCTTAAGAGAGAGTTGTGAAACTCACATCTGTAGGTTTAGGAAAAATCTACAGTAAATAGTTATAATTAACACTTTGACAATTTTAAACACATTAATATAGGATAAAATTTGGCTTTCACAATATAGTACAGTAGTACACCTATCTAAATCTCCGATTATCTGAATCGCAAACAGAAAGGATTTTTGAAGCCTTCGTTAAAGAAGGTAGAAACCATGAACGCAGCAAAATCCTGAACATCTTCTGCAGTCAGTAACATCATTATCGTCTCCTACGGTAAAGGAACATCGTCTTCGTCTTCCATGATGGCGGCAAAATCTTGAATATCTCTGGCTGTTATGTCAAAGGCATAATCATCATCTCCCGCGGTTACAACGTCATCATACTTTCCGTGGTCGGAAAAATCTTGAATATCTACCCTGTCGATATAGACATCATTGTTGACTCCTGCGGTCATAGAACATCTTCATTGTCCTCTTCCATCGCGGCAATAGCGTGACTTTTTCACTTGCAAAATATTCACAGCCATGTTGTGTGACCGTGATAGTATACGCTCGGCTTGATTGAGCCTATTTTCTATAAAATACTCCGCATTTCAGTAAAAATGTCACTGATCAACATTTTTGATGTCTTTGAACATTTCATAAAGATGACTCTTTAGTAGTTCGGCCCTCCTCTTTGTTGGGTCACATTCTTCCCCAATCAAATCCATACCATTGCAACGTATGTCATCCCATCTGCATGGAGGAAACTGTGGGAGGCATTACACTTGTCTATCACCATACTAAAATTTTGCGTTTGCTATATTTCCCATTCTATTAAGGTTGGCTTTGACACACCAATGGTTTGTCTCTACTGCAGTGGCGGCTTGTGATTAGACTAATTGGAGGTTCACAATTAATGCCGACATATAGCTGGGGGGTCCGGGAAAATTTGAAGATTTAAGGTGTGAAAACGTGATTTTAGATTCATTTTAGCTTATAATATTCAGGTATTATTATTATGTTTTATTACTCATACTTAGGTCTACTTCATAAAAAAAACAACAGAAAATGAAGTCTCAACTCACCATGCAGATGTACAACCCTCAGTTGCTAAGCCGGATAATGATGAGTCCCTTTATAATTGGTCGCCACCAACAGCAGTTGACAGCTTCTTGTTGATAAAGTCCATCCTCCTTTCCTTCTTTGAGGCAAACCTCTCAATAACCTTTTCATTGAAGTCCAACATCTGATAAATTATTTTGAGCTCGGTTTTTAACTTTTGGGTTTCAATAAAAGAGAAATGGTTCACTGTACGTTCCAAAATATCATCGGGAATTTGGTTTTGAAAATTTTGAAATTATCACAATCAAATAGGTTTGAGGCTTCTAAGTGACCTGTGAACTCAAATCTGCTAACCGTTTGGGCTATTATACTGTCGCACACTTCCTTTGCAGCTACATTCCTTGACAAGTTTGATTCCTCATTTGTGCGAGCCCGCTTGGGTCAAACTCTGTCACTGACGGCTCAACAACAATTTCATCAATATTGCAATTTCTTATTTTCTGAATTTCATTTGTGAATGCAGAAATAGCTTGCTTGGCCCACACAGGATTGATGTTTTTCTTTTGAAAGGAATCATACAAAATCTGCACATGAGGCATGACTTTGGCAAAAAACGAGAGCCAAAATTGAAACTGAGGCTGTCTTACTTTTAACTTTAAACCTTGTGCCTGGTTTATTGTAAGAGACTGACCACTACTTTCCTCAATCTTTTCAAAACATTCTACTAAGCTATCTAAGTTTTCATATATAGTGGATACAGATATAATATTATAATTCCATCTAGTGGATGAGCCAGAAGGAAGCCTTTTCCCTACAATTTCCCGTAACACATTCGTTCTCTGAGATGAATGAGAAAAAAAAAGTACAAATCTCTTGTACGTTAGCAAAGAAAATTCTGACTTCACGGTTTTGATTTGCAGCTCGTGTCATAATGAGGTTAAGCTGCTGGCCATAACAGTGGACAAAATGTGCATTTTTATAATCTTTTATTCTTGCTTGGACCCCAGAATGCTGGCCACTCATAGTATTGGCTCCATCATAACTTTGGCAAACAAGCTTTTCTTTATCATCCCCAATAACTTTGGCCAAAACTTGCTTTATGCAGTTAGACAGGGATTCTGCATCAGCCTGAGGTGGATTGAGGAATGTCCAAAACGGCTCCACTGGATATCCATTACCAAGGATATACCGGAAAACCACAACCATTTGGGCCTTTGTTGACACATCAGTGGTTTCGTCTGCCATCACTGCAATATAATCTGCAGCACAAATCTCTTGTAGGATATTTTCCTGGCAAACATGCAGCATACAATCTAAAAGGTCATTTTGAATTTCTTTGGAGGTGCCCTTAAAAACAGTAGCAGTTTGAAGATGCTCACTTTAAGGATACTGTCAAGGGTAACAGAAAAGTGCACTAAGCCTTTAAAAATTCCTGGATTTGATGAATCTGATTTCTCATCATGGCCGCGAAGAGCAAGTTCAAATTCACCACAAAATCTAATACAATCTATTATTTTTGATAAAACGTAACGATTTTTTCTAACTTGGTCATTTTATTTGCCAATATTTGCTCTATAGGCCTAAGCCTCATTTAGCTGTTGTCTTATTTCTGTACAGCCTAGAATGGAAAGATTAAGACATGCATTCGTATGAATGGGAGATTCTATGTGCTTTTTGATTTTTTGAGAGAGGTGGCCTAAATCAGCGACTCCATTTTTTGTCCAGGTAGTATCTTTCCCTCGAGAAAACAAGATACAAGGAAAGCAAAAAAATCTGTTCAAAACATCACAATCACAAATCCAAGAATTTCTATCATAAATCTTGCTATTAAAACTTTGAGTGTACTCATAACCTTTAACTTTTTGTTTTTGGGCCAAGTTTAACACAGGCGTTGGTCTTCCAAGTTCTTTAATGGAACACTTGTCTTCCAGCGAAAGGGTGGAAAAGTTGTTTTTTAATAAGAATTGAACCTTGTTCATTTCTGCAAACACTAATAATCAAATTTTAAAACATTACCACAATTCAAAATAACAATCTGAATACTGCAACGAACATAACCTATACTTCGATATCAATCATAAATGCACGCAATGACTGACAGTGACAGTTCAGGCAATCCAGCCGTACGGTGCTGCTAAAAGGTTTAGCGGCCTATTATAGAATTACTGTTCCGATCGGGAGTGTTCGGGAAACATCTTCAGAGCTCGGCGGCGCGCTAGCGATCAAAGTTAGCGATTCTGCCTTTTAGTTTAAACAAGTCCCTCTCCTCACCCCACTCCCCCCTTGCCTGCTAGGAAGGTTCAGACTGCGTGTGAGAACCTCGCCATGAACGCTCAACGTCAGGGCTTCATTCTCGATTTCAAAAATAGTTTTGGCGGACTATTTTGTACAAAAATCAATATGTTAGTGGTTTTATGCACTACTTGCTTATTTTTGTTTGTTTTATTACTTATGCAGGGGGTTCACTGAACCTGTGAACATACACACGAGCCGCCACTGCACTACTGTATGAAAGGGGTTAATCATTACCCCTGCCACCACACCAATCATTAATTTGCCCTAAAAAACCATATTTGTGACCAGAAACGGAAAGACTGCATTTACTTCTTGTAACAATTTGGGTTTTAGTGTAGCTGTCTGCTTCCATAAATAGAGGATGGTGGACTGATGGCGAGTATTGCATGTCGTCCAAATGTCACAACATCCAATGATATTTAAGTCAGTGTTACGACGTTCAAAATATAATTTTTGAGCTGTATCTTTATTGCAGTTACTGTACTTTTGGACATGATGAGATTTGGAGGTCGTGCAAATGTCAAAAATTTCATATTGGACATGGTGAGACAGCTCATGACGCGTCTTGACGCAGACTTATATCATTGGACGTCGTGACACTTGGACCTCGTGCAATGCATCCTGCTGATGGAATGTTAGGTTAGGCTTACATTTGATCCTTGTCAATCAACACGTTTAAGCACAAAAGACAGAAGACATTCTTAACCAAGCAGCATTTGTATATCTGGGCAATAGCTCCAGGAAACTGTGGGAATATTTCTGTTTGTGCCCCATCAGATCCTAGAGTTTTTTTGGCAGCACATAAAGGCGATACCACTTTCAAGCGCATGTTACTTTTCTTGTTATGTAGGGCCTATGTAAATAAATAAATTGGTCTAAATAAGTTTTTGCACTAACAAATAGCCATTTACAAATTGCCATAATTTGTTTAAATAGATTGCACACTTGGTTCTTGTAGTCAATTCATCATAGGTTTTGTGAGTCAGTGACTGTTATACTGTACTACTATGATTTTTTTTATTATTTCAATTATTTGGTTTCTGATACTTAGAAAAATAAACCTTGTAGACCTTAAACAATGTGATCAGTCGTCGTTATAAATAAATACATTTGTGCTGCAGGTTTATTGTGAACAAGTGACAGGGGCCGAGTTTCAGGACCAAGGAGTCACTAGTTCTTGGTTGGCTTTAGCTGAACTGCTGGACCAGATTATCTCAGATACCAAAATGAAGACCAAGGAGAAGAAAAAGAGGCTCAAAAAGGTAACATATTTTCACTTTGCTAAATTTAAATACCTCCCCCGCAGCGCAGACTATGCTAATTTCTAATGCTGGATTTCACACATTTTTTTTTCAAAACATACCAGATCCGTTCCATGTCTAAATAACATTAGGAAGTCAATAAATGAGTACCTACTTAAGTTTGCTGCTACATGAAAGGTATAGAGTGTGATTTTAGTAACTTTATATAAAATAAATTAAATAATTGAAAACATTATAAAAACATTAGTACCCTTTTTAAATTCATTTTTAATTAATTAACGACATGTTTCGACACTTAGGTCATAGTCATGTTTACATTTACAATGTTAACGTGTTTTTATAATGTTTTCAATTATTTATATAGTAGTAGCCCTAATCACAATCATACTTAAAATAAATTAAATTTCCAAATTTGAAAAAAATATATAAAAAAGCAAAGTACAATAGTTTACTTATTATCAGAAATCCTTTATTGTCCTTAAGCAAAACAATCTTGCAATAGACATGATCACATATTATGGTAAAATAGGGTTACACAGTAACCCAGTCAGACTAGATTAATAAGCCAATATCACAGACAATAACAGGTAAAAATTTTTAAGTAAAAAGAAAAAAGAAGGCTATAGGCTGGGTGGAGAATATATCCATAAGAATACCATGTGAATTAATTGTAAGTTTATAGTTCTTTGGAATTTTCTCCGTTACCACTTACAACAACGCTTCAACATTTTTTTTAAGCACTACTAAATGACAAATGGTTTAAAAACATATTGTGAAATTGTCCCCAATTACACAATATTGGGTTGATTGTTATTATTACTAAATTTAATATTTAGGCTGTCTTGGTTTTGAGGGTCAAAATTGAGAAAAATCAAATGGATAAAACCCATAAAACCCTGTTCGCATAGTCCATTCATGCTGGGTTCTTAATAAATAAATGTTGGTTTACAAATTCATACAAAACTTCATCATAAGCCACGGATGATTTTTACAAGCTTTATTCTGCTAACATACACATATACATGAATTTGTATATATATGGTTTTGAATGGAGTGGGGTTTATGGCCTCTATGACATCAAAATAATAAAGTGAATTGATCAAGGTCCAAGGATCTTGGTCTTACCATGAGAACCTACATTATTATGTCTGAGAAATCATGGTTTTCATGTGTACAGAACAGGTAAAATAAGGCCTAATTTGCCTCAGGGTGTGCCTCATTTTGCACTAAAAAATCATTATTTCTAGCTATTTATTTGATCTTTTTGGGCTTAATGATGTTTGATAAATTTTAAATGCTAAATAAGTGTTCCAGAATTTTTTTTTCATGAAATCATTTTGTAATCTAATCTATGAAAATTAATTGGCCGACATTTTGAACAAACAAATTGATTGCTTTTTTATGAATAGTTTGTTACTATTTAAAATCGTATACCAAATTTCATTAAGATATGTTTAATAGTTAAATGTTAATTGTTGAAAAAAAATCAAGATTTTTGAAAACAGTTTACCTTTAAGAGTTTACAATAAGTTTGAAGATGACATCAAACAGCAATCATGATTTTTTTTACAAAATATATAAACTTTTTTGTTTTTATTTCATGATAGTTTTTCTGTAAATTGCAGCGTTAAGCATATTATAATATAGTTGTGTGCTGTGAAGTCAGCCTTTTTGAGTTTAGAGAACCGCATACAATATTGATACAAAATTCTTAAAATGTATTTACACTTGTAGATTTTACCTCACTAATTGTTTTACTAGTATAAGATAATTTCTAAAAATATCTTCTTGGTTGCAGTTTAAAGAAGCCTATCCTCACATCTACAAGCAAAAGCTTGGGTCCTCATCCACATCAAGTGCCTTACTTCATTTTAGATAAGTCTTTAGTTTTAGATCCACCTTTTTAAGAACTTGTTTAGGCTAGGAGATTATTTTATTTACTATGATTAGCATAAAGTAAGTCTCAATTTTCTTGTTATTTTTGTCAAGGATACCCCTCTTTTCCTGATGCTCTTTTGGGCTGGAAAGAATGTTATCTAAAGTCACAACCCCACTATGCTGAATGGCACAGATATGCGCAAGGCTTGTGCCGATCGGCAATGCCGCTTGCGATTCAAAACTGACAGGCTATCGGTCCGGATCAAAGAAAGCCAAGAGGCACGTTAGAGTGGGGACAAGCCAGGCGGCAGACACCGGTACCAACCATCATTTTATAGTTATTTTTGGTCCAAAAGGATTCAAAGTAAATTTTCAAAATTTATCAATGTCATTAAAAAACAATAAACTCATCATCAACTCTGTATTCTTAGTTTATCATGTCAGCATCATCCAGTAGATCACTAGCACTATACCTTTTACTTATTTTCAAACTGGGGCGAATCCAAAACCTCCAGGGTAACTCGGTCGGTCTAATGCACCAACAACATCTCATCATCAGAGGACATCTCAGCACAGAGTGACACAGCCTTCGTTTCACACTTTTAGGTTAGACCTCATGGCACGATGCCTTTTGCACAACTGAAACAACTATGCCAAGCAGCAAAGCCGGTCAAATTTGCTGAACAGCCTTCAATGGCATAGTGAGGATGTGGCTTTAGGATTCATATTTAATTGTCAATGATGTGAAATTTAATTTTGAAACAAAAAAAATTGAAATTGAATTTTAAATAAATCATCATATTTTAGGGAGCTCTCTTTTAGTGATGGTCAAAACCAGAAATTTTGAATCTCAAAACCGAAACCGAAACTTTAAAAATCTAATCCCGAATCTCGAATCTCAAAACCTAAACGCGAAACTATTTTACTTAGCTGGTTACAAAGGTCAAGGTAACAAAAAATACACATAATCATAAAATGTTAAGTATGCAATCAAAACTGAAAGAGATCGACTCCTGACTGTGACATAACATAAATATGTGAATGTGACTGATAATCTTAAAACCCAATACAACATAATTTTTCATAAACAACCAACAAAAAAAATAAATTAAACTTCTAACACCAACATAAACATGAATATTAGATTAATTAGAACATTTAGTGGTCAATATATTTCTTTGTGTTTAGTAAAGTTGATGTGAAACTGAATTGTACCAGTTATAGTATTTAAGATACCTTTTGAAGTTCAGGATAAAATTTACTTGTTTCATTTCTGTTAATGGTGATGTTTGCTCTGTTGCTACCAGCTTGTTTGGAAACAGTGTTAAAAACAATAACAAAGGCACAAAAAAATGTCAGCAGTTTCAAAAATAAAACTGCCAAAATCTTCAATTTCGAAACTTTTGAATCTCGAAACTTGGTGATCGAATCTCGAAACCGAAACTTTTCCTAAGTTTTGATGGTTTTGAGATTTGAGATTCGGTTTTGACACATCACTACTCTCTTTAATTGTTTTGTTTTATTTATCCAATGTGATTTAATTGTGAACATTTACAATAATTTTTCCGTTTAAAACAAATTTCTATTCTCACAGTTTTTTTCATTTCCTATTTGATTAAGCTAAACTATAATATAATTTAAAACCATTCATTCGTGGTTTAAAATGTACTAGGCAAACATACAATTTATAGAAAGTCAAAATTAAGGTATAATTGTATGTAACTATAATCTCTTATACTAATCAACAAATTAAATTATTCTAAAAGTACCAAAGACAATCCCAGCATTTAGCTGTTAAAGATATGTAAACTAATTAACATATTTTAAGACTTGTAATGTATTGTGTTTTTGGTAACACAATAAGAATGATAATGAGATTTTTTCTTTAACGAAGAGCTTACACCTTAAGATCTTGTATACTGTATTATTTTTTCAATTAGTGCTCTCTTAAAAAGGTCTTCCTCCTGGTGCTTATATGTATATTGTACATATGTTTGATGTTTATGTTTATTTGTTATAAACTTCACATGATTTAATCTATAGTATTTGTGTGACTTGTTATAATACGTATTTTTAAAATATTTTTTTATCCAGATTTGTTTATTTAGTTAGTTAATGTTTTCATTATTGTATGTTTCATTTACTTGTAACCACCAATTGTGCCTCACTTGCCATAAAAATTAAAATTTATATGGACAATTCTGTATTTTTTTAAAATCCCAATATGTAATGTCTTTCTATAGTAAGGTAAGATATAATGTATATCATATCAAAGTTAAGCCTAGTTTATAAAGAAATGTGAAATTTCAATCATAGATAACTGTATTTTCTTGTTCAAGAAAAATACAGGCTATAAAAATTTTCATATCAACTGCCATGTTGAAACAAATAAAAATAGTCAAATTCGGATTCCTCCAAAATGATTGTATTAAAAAGTGCCTTAACATTAGATATAAAATATGACATATCTGACAGGACAATTGTGAAATTTGAACTAGTGAACTTCTGGTTTTGTCCTGTATTCTAAAAACATTTAAAATATTTTCATACTATTTCTTGGGGCTGGTTGGTTTAGTAGGAAAACTGCCTTTCTTTAACATTGTATGTTCAACGGTTTGTCTGAAATCAATATTGGACACCTCAGATATTCTAAGTTTCCTTGTGTAATGGAAATAGGAAATGACAGGCAATCTATCATGCAAATAATGAAATTAAAGATAATTAGTAGTTAATTTATTTACTCACATACTTTTACTTTATGACTTTATTTACCAATAATTAATTACATTCTTTCTAAGGTACTACTAAGAATTCCGTTTCTCATTGGAAATACAGTAGAACCTCTTTAATTCGAACCTCCGTAATCCGAAGGTCCACTAATTCTGAACGCCTCATTGCTGTACTCTATACACAGTACGGTAGTTATTTATTGATCTACGGACCGTAATTGTTTCTATTGTAATTTACAGGACTGTTTATTCATTATGTTTACTACTGTATTAAATAATCACTGTATTTTACTTTATAAAGCACTTTTCATTTTTCCTGTATCAGTTACAATCCATTTTAGCCAAGTTTTAGCTATTTTTATGTTAAAACAACAATATGTTCTGTAATGTATGTTTGGTGAGGCGGTGGCTCAGTCGGTAGCGTCGCGGACTTCAGGCCCAAGGCAGTAGTGTCGTGGGTTCGAAACCTGGTCACTGCCACAAACTTTTATCAGTACAGTTCACCTTTGTACTGTACCGGCTCACCCCTTGCTTTGCTGGATACGTTCCACGCACAGATCTGTAGTCTATGTGGACGGGCAAATGCAAGGTTAAAAGAGGCCGCCAACCTCTTTAAAAAAAAAAAAAAATCCGAACTATTTAATGGCCCGAACTACCCCGGGTCCCTATCAGTTCGGATTAAAGAGGTTCTACTGTAGTATCAAAAAATGTATAATTTTCTTTTAAATTAACAAAATGGCGGCCATTTAAAATCTTTAAACCTATATTACTAAATAATGGCTGGTTTTATGAAAGGGACACTTTTATTTAGCATTTTTAATTGCCGAACAAACGATACCAAGTTCAAAAAGATTGAATAAACAATAGCTGAAAATCATGATTTTTAGTTGTAAAATGGGGTAGAACAAGGCTAAGCTAATCAGGTTGTATAAACTTTAATTCACCACCTTATTCCAACCCTGAATATTATGCACAAGCGATATACATTTGTAATTAAAGAAGGTTTATGTAAAAGAAATGTACTATTAAAAAGATGCCTAGGCTTCCCCTGACATTCTTTTAAGTTTATTATGAACTGGTCATCCAGTGGTCGAAAACTCGACCAAAAATATGTAATATACATACTTCTCTATTTTCAACCCACGCTGTAAATAGATCATGTGATTGGAATTTCTTCCATTTGTTTAGATTTTCTGTTAATTTCGTTGTTATTTCGTCACCAGCATGGCAACTCATAAGGCCCATGTTAACTGTTTTAACATTTAAAATTTATTTTTTGTGTATATTTTTTGTCTATTTAAATGTATAAAGGGATTCTGCACATCTACATGAAAATGTCGAAAAATCTACAAAAAATATCTAATATACAGACTTCTCTATTTTCACCACACGCTGTAAATAAAACATGTGATTGGAATTGTTTCCATTTGTTTTGATTTTCTGTTTATATTTAGTTGTTTTTTCGTTACCAGCATGGCAACCCATAAGGCCCATGCTATTTTTTTTTAAATTAATTTGTTGTGCTTATTTTTGAGCCTATTTTAATTTATAAAGGGATTCTGCAGACCTACAGGAAAATATCTTTCTAACAGTAAGCGTAGATTTTCCCTACGATGCACAAAAAAGGTTTTAAAGAAACATGCTTGCCTATTAATATATAGATAATATTAATTTCAAACTGAAGTGTGAGATATGCAGAGCTGTTTTATATCTTACATTTTTTTCATTGAATGTTCATGCAAAACAGTACTGTAGTAGAAATAAAAAATATTTCTACACCTCTGCATAGGAAATGTATGCAATACATGCATATCAAAATGTACAAAACACAACTGCGCAAGACTTTGAAAACATCTTGTCTATTTAAAATATTTTAAATTATCAGTATCAATAGTGTATTGTTGTTGTATTTTCAGTTTTATAATACATACAAAAACTGTTTGTTCATACACTTTATTAGTTATTTTGTTTTAATCAACCACAAGCCTGTAATTGTCTGTTTCTGTATTACAAAAAAAAGAATGTGATCATGTAAGAAATTCAGTTACATTTTCATTCCTTTAATAACAATATTGATAGGTATAATTTGTTTTAATATACAGTAACTTATATTATTTATATATTTAACCTTAGTGTAATGGTAATATTTTTAGTGTATTTATTTCTAGAAATATGAATAGCTATTTACTTTTTATTCGTGTTCAAAATATTCTATACCCAATAATCGATAGTTTATAATTATTCGATAGACACATCACTAAATGGAACCACTGCTTGAAGCCAAGCATGCGGGATTTCCTCGATCCGAAATGCGGGAATCGGGAGTACTGTTTAGGTTGTGTGGATTATTTAATACTTTCATTATAAGCCAATCATCGACCTCAAGTAAGAGGAACGACTCTCGGCTTTTCAAACAATGTAAATAGAGGAATTCTGAATTCGGCACTTCGAAATAACCTTTAACCACAAACTACACCCTAACCCAGAAAGGTCATCTTGTCTGGGGAAATTCTTGCCATGGTAAGAAGATTTTTAGGCTTCAAAAGAAGGCACTAAAGTACCCCGAAGAAGTCCATGCAAAATCATCATTCAGGCTTTTAGCCTTTTGACATTTTATGACCTGTATATTTTAGAAGCATTATTTTGGGTATTCAGCAATTTGTCCATTTTCAGGGAGAGTCACACAAACCACTAGACATAAGAGCCTAATTAAGCCTACTAGCCATAGATTATCACTATTTGAAGCATCACCTCAATATATTGGACCAAAATTGTATAACTTGATTCCTGATCATTAAAAACCATCACAAATCCAAAAAAGGTGAAACAAAAATGTAAAGACTGTTTACTGACAAAAACATTTTATTCTTTAAATGCATTTTTAAGTGGAAATTGGGAGGGTTAAGTGTTGAAATTATTTTATTTGGATTTTTTACTATTTAGATTTAAGTATTATAATGCATCGATTGACAAATGTCCTGTCATTTTATGATGTAATGACATTCAGTAAATAAATAATACTTTATCCCTTAATTAAGCCCTTAATCAAACATAATAAGTTTAATATGATTCTTATTGTGGTGTTTTAATAACAATCTTTCATGTTTGGCCTTTATTTAGAATCCGTCATCTTTCTTTTAAAAACGTTATATCTTATATAGATACTATACAAAATTATGTATTGCTTACTTTTCAATGTAATCCCGCTTTTCAAAGTACTGTAGTATGTTTCGGCACGAAGTTGGGCCATCATCAGGCGGGCCAGTTTGAAATCTTCAGTCCAAAATGGACGTCGTTAGGATAAAAACTACTAACAGTTCATACATGACACAAACACGCACACTAACATAGTATACACATTAAACGAACAGTACCGGTATGTACAGAACGTTACTTTACATTTAAGAAATACAAGCCAAACATTCAAAATAGTGCAAATCTGCTTTGATTTAAAGTTGTTTTAGTTTACTAAAAAGCCTCTGAATACGTTGGCACCCGCACTTATTGTTAAGTAACCATAACGCGAAGTTTATATAAACTACTCTTTAAAAGGCCGAGATTCGTAACTCTAACCTGAGTTCAAAAATTGGCCTATAAGCTGTGCTATATATTATAATGTCCCAACTTCTATTCGATTAGTAGGTACAGGTAGGGTTGAGCATCGATACCTATTTCAACCATCGACGTTCACCATCGATGGTAGCATCGACATCAACCATCGATGTACCGATTACATCATTGCGAAAACATCAATGTTTTTTTCAGTTTTTCGTCTGCTTTTTGTACTCTCCAGTAATGGAAAACATCGATGGTCGACTACGCCCCCGACACTCTGCACCGCAGAGTGCAGACATAGGTCAATCATTACGCGAAGCTTATATAAACTAGGTACTTTTTAAAAGGCGAAATTCGTAACTCTACCCTGAGTTCGAAAATTGGCCTATAAGCTGTATATAATAACATAGATGATGTAATATAATAATTCACCAACTTCTATTCGATTAATTTATACTTATTAACATAGCTTACTAACTTAACTCACTCGTTTCAAATTAAATAATATAGTTAGTATATTAACTGTTATTTCATATAGTTAGTTATATAGTACCATGACAATACACTGTTGATATTGTTAGGTATGTGATATTGTATGGTATTGTTAGGTACTCTTTTGAGGATGAGACTGTGTTACGTTTTTAAGTCTTCCAGTAGTAGAGATATTTTTTATATGTTGACCGAGTTTATGAAATAAATGCTTCTAATTTGAATGCGGAGTAGTGCAGAGTGAAGTAGTGGTGTTATCACAGTCACGTACACAGGATGTGAGTGACGTGTGTGTGTGTGCTATCAGTAGTTGCCTGAGCAAGCGTCAGTTCCAGGAATTGGTCCAAGCTATGTCAGCACCAGCGTGGCGCCGCCGAATGTCGCGTCCGCCGCATACTTGACTCCCAGACAACCTATTTCGGCAAAATTAACAACGCTATGTGGCTTTATATTTAGATTGTACGCAAAACATTATTATTCTAAACGAAACATATTATTAATGTTTACAGTATGCTCCGTGTACTTACATGCATCTTCTTGTTTTAGCGAATTCCCCATTTAGGGAATAAGGTATAACCGTAGGTTTCGCGGTAAGACCTGGACCCGGGACCGATTTACCTTTACGTTTTTTGGTCCCCAGAGGCCAAAAACATCATCCGTTCAAATTCACATATACAGTATATCGTATTACGTGTACACTAGCAAGATAACCCGTGCAAAAATGATAAACATAGAATTAACATAGATGTGATTAGACGCACATACATATTTATGAACGTAGCCGTAATATTTATGAACATAGCCGTGCTAGTTCTTGTCATTTTGTTGTCCGACCTGTATTTTTGTTGATTGACTCAAGAAGGCGATCTTGAGCTATTTGCAAAGCTAGTATAATATAAGTATAATAGGGTAATATATATAGTATGTACAGTATGGTAAGTATGACAGGATGGATAACAACAATCTACTCAATCAGTCAATCATTGAGAGGTATACTTTGGCTCCGAAGGAACGGTTGACGACTGCAAGTTGTTAGTCTAAAAGAGTTTCGTAGGTTTTTTCATGTATGAGATTCAAAAATATAGTTGTTATTTTGCAATTAACAGCACCCCTAAGGTCCATGCACGTTTAAAAAAAGTTTAATTTCAATTTATTTTGAAAAAAATTTCAACTATTCAAACACAAACTCAACTCTTTCCCATACATTATCCGACACACAACAGACGTTGGATGTATAAACAATTTATACGTCTAATAACCCTAGTACGGCTACGACAGTACAACATATCCTACGTTAGAGAATTAAAAATATACTCGTTAATTTTCCCTATATACAGTAGTAATGTTGGCAACTGTATTTTTATGTTTTTTTTTTTTACATTGGTCTTGTACTCCGTACATCAATCATATAAATTTGCTTATTTTAATTAATAACTTCTTGAAATGATCACACGTTATGATTTTTATATTTTCTACATGGACCCCGAATAAAATATTTCAACTTTTATAAATAATTAAAATACCTAGGACCATTTTCAATTATGTGACTTATAGGTTATATCCAATATAATTTCTTTTTTTTTAAATTGAGCGTAAATATAAAATTTAATTTTGACTGTAAGGTACAATAAGGCTGTCGGTCTTGACAGCGTGTAAGAGGTGAATTAATCATTTATTTAATTATAAAGTACTGGCAACAGAGCCCGTTGTGGTTAAATACAACGGTCTCCAGTAAAATAATGGTTGTGAAATCCATACACCACTTTACTCACTAATATTAATGGTACAGATTAAGCACATAACATTAGAATCGTATACTCAACATAAGTAACTCACTTTAAACATAAATTCAAATTGTGAACAACGATATTTAATCAAAGAAAAATAAATTAAATAACAATATAACAATAAGCTGTTAAATTATTAACACATGTTTCGTATGTTTAGACTTTAGATTATGCATACTGGTAAACCAATTATTGCCACCTATAAAAAATATTGGTTTTTCTTTTCCGAGTAGGGTTAAAGGTCTTCTACCCGACCGATTTTCATAATTTTGGCATTAAAATAAAGGTATGCAAGCACGTATTTGTCATCAAGCATCATTGTTAATTTATCTAATGTATTACTCAACGAAAAAATATAAATTGGATGTTTTTTATTTTTTACTTCAATTGAAGATGAAGGCCTATTCCAGCAGTTCTAATTACATTACCCTATATGTTTTGGTCTAAAAACCTTTAGTGAAATACCAGCTCTCATTTGAGCTATGGTTATTGAGATTAATCCTACCTAAAGCACACTGCTGAATCACGAATAAACAACAATTATAATCGTGTTAGTACTTATCTTCAATCAATGATACGTAACTCAAATTTTATTTAAGTTTTTTTTTATTTCTTCGTCTTAAAATACTTCAAAGGCCTTCACTTGAGATATTGATAGTTTTAATCAGTTAAGTTAAAGATATACTTTATCGCTCAATCAGAAAACATAAATTTAATTATATCTTGGAAATGGAATTTAGTTTTAGAAAAATTTACTCAATTCTAATTACGTTATTCTATTTGTTTTGACCTAAGAACCTTCAGTGAAAAACCAGCTTCCATTTGAATTATTGATTATTAAGATCGGACGTACCTAAACCACACTTAAATCACGAACAACCCATTTTTTTTTTTTTTTAATAGAGTTATTTATCATCGATTTATAGTCAAACGGTCTTGCTTGCTCAACAGGAACTGTCAGAACTGACAGGTTTTACCTAGTAAATCTAAAAAAAAACTTTTATAATTATTTGCAAATCTACACGAATTAGGCTTTCTAATGACCTATTCATTAATAAAATCGTTTCAGTAGAACTGTAGATTTAATTGTACAAAGTTTAACAACAAAATCTTTAGTTCAGTATTTTCTCACCATTATAAATTTTGAGGTTGCTTAACGTTCTGGAAAATAACTTTGAAATGGTGAGGAAATCGACCAAAGTGGAAGGTGATATTCTAACAGAGAATAAAATTTCCTACAAATCACAATTATGAATTTCTGGAAAATACTCAATAAAGGCAGCCTAAAGTTGGCTACAAATATAAACATGGAAATATAATCTTGGGAAAAAGCGTTTTAGATGTAATATTGTTTATTTTTATTGTTTTACCTCAAATATGTAATAAAATCAAACTTTCATAATTATTTGCAAATCTACACAAATTAGGCTTTCCAATGACCCATTAAGTAACAAAATCAGTCCGCTAGAAGTATAGATTTAGTTGTACAAAGTTTAACAAAAATACAATCTAATTCAGTATATTCTCACTACCTACTATAAAATTGGAGATCACTTAGATTATTGCCAATAACTTTTAAATGGAGGGGAAATCGACCAAAGTGGATGTGATATTCTGAAAGAGAATAAAATGTACTACAAATAACTACTATGCATTTCTTGAAAATGCTTAATAAAGGCAGCCAAAAGCTGGCTACAAATAGAAACTTGAAAACAGAAACTTGAAAAAATCAGTTTTTAATGTATTTTTGTTATTTTTACTTTTTTACCACAAAGATTTAATAAAATCACACTTTCATAATTATTTGCAAATCTACATGAGTTGGGCTTTCCAATGACCCATTAATTAACAAAATCGGTCCAGTAGAAGTCTAGATTTAGTTGTACAAAGTCAAAAATATCCCTAACTCAGTATTTTCTCATTACTATAAATTCGGAGGTTGCTTAGCTTTTTTGCAATAACTTTTAAATGGTGAGGAAATCGACTAAAGTGGAAGGTGATATTCTGAAAGAGAATGCAATTTTCTACGAATTGATACCATACACTTCTTGGAAACACTAAAAAAAGGTCGCAAAAAGTCTCACCCAAATAAAAAGTGTGAAAAACATAGTTTTCAATGTATTTCTTATGAAAGACATGTTTTTTTTTAATTTTTCACCATAAATCATAACAAACACAAACTTTCATAATTATTTGCAAATCTACACGAATTAAGCTTTCCAACGACCCATTAATTAATAAAATCGGTCCAGTAGAACTCTAGATTTAGTTGTACAAAGATTTTTAAAACTGAATTATATATAGAAATAGATAATTGAACATTTTAAAATTTAAAATTAAGCTACACACTGTTGAAACTTCTGAGATAGTGTGGCCCACACCACGTGGGCTAGTTTATATACTGTTTAACTATATTTTATATACTAGGCTTATATAAAGATTTTGTTTATATAACTATATAAAGTAGGACTAGTATATTTACTAGCCAATTTTATCAGCAGATTAATGGTTTTGTCTTATATTTAAAGTAGGTGTGGCAATTTTTTTGTCGCTCCTGATCTTGAAAGTAGTTGTATATTACCCAATGCACATTTCGCCAGCGTGTGGCATCTTGAGAGAATCTTCTTCTGACTCACTAGCCATTGATTGCTTACTCATCTGCGCGGAACTGTGATATGGAAACAGCGAAGTACCGTCACTTACTGGTCACATGGGATTATGGGAAAGTAATTTGTAATAGCAGGGATACGCTTGTGTAGGCCGGACTCGAACAATCAAAGTTTGGCTTACCAGGCTAATGCTCTGCTACGGAACTGCCGCGTTAGGTAAAAATGTGTTGCTAAACCGTGTAGGCCTAAAGCTATTTTCACGTAGCTATATAGGTACCCATTCTTTGGAAAGAATTAAACACACCCCCTTCATTTTAAATCAATATAAGGCATTGTTTCTGTTAGAAAGCGTTACTTAATTGATACTTGAAACATGGATTTGTCCCACTGGAAGCTATCAACCGTGGTCGTCAATAGGATTTTTTGTATTTTTATTCTTCAGGGAATTCTTTTATGCTATATGTTTTCTTTTCCACCAGGTTGATTTTTAATTTTTTCTTAAGGGAATTATGATCTTAATTTTTTTAAATCTTGAGGTTAACTGTTGTAAATTTTAATACACATGTGATAGGGACTTCTTTTTAATGTTGTTCTTACTTCGTTTATTTCCAATTTCCCTACATTCTCAATCAGTCTTAATGATTGTGTTGTGTTGCCATTTTGTTTAACATGAAAAGATTTGCTGCAGATATTTCAAAAAGGTCGATTATTAAGGGAATAACATGCAAAACTCTAAATTAGGTTGGAAGATTAACTTAAATAATTGATTTCTAATCGATTTTGAAAAATTCAAGTAAACAATGATCTATCAATTGTTCACACTGAAACGGAATATAATCTCGATCCAAGATTGTGGAAAATATTCTACTATTGTGTGTGCAAGTGTGTGTGAGGGAGTAGGTAGAGGAGGGTAGAAATGCTGAGTACGCAGCTCTGGCTGCCTCTGCCTGGCGCTGAACAGCAACAGACAGTCTCAGTTCATCACTTGCCACTCACAACTACAACATGGTAATGTACTATTATTTTAATTACGTTTTACTTCAAAATTTACATATATAAACATCAAACAGAGTATATTTAAATTTGTAACTTAAAATATTCTACATTCACCTTTAACTTATTTACAAAATGACATGTTTTATTTTCATGTAACTACATTAATAACCTACACACACATAAGTTTATGTATATGCCTATATCATTTGGCAATATATACTTTCGTGCCTTGATGTAACGAATTTATGGATTTTTGTTAAATATAGTTTAAAATGGAATCATGGAAAACTTGATAGGTAAAATTGGCTTACAAATTATTAATTCGATTCAAAGTTTTATTATACAGGGTGAACAACTTAAAGCGTGCCACCATTGGCATCTCAGGACTATTAGATATATAAAAATAATTAATAGGGAACTTAAATCTATATATATAATTCTGTAAGAAAAATTTTTTACCAGAAAATTGTGGACGTCTGGTAAGTCACAGAAAAGTGGGAGGGGTCTTAAATTAAAGGTCTTGACCCCAGGGACTCGGGAAAAATAGCAGAATTCCCATAAAGTTACCAGAAAACGAGATATAACGTAAAATATCCACCATAAGAAATGCACGGGGACTGAAAAACGTCTGCATTCTATCAGCTGTTGAGCTGTTACTTATTTATTTGCAATGTTTACATTTATTCCGAATGTCAATGTTGGTAAATAATGTTTCAAAATGAATTGTGTTTGATTTTTTTCCCGTTTTTATAATGAGTGACGTAACTAGACAGGGTAGGGGAAGACCTGCAAGACGTGGAAGAGTGTCCAGGAATTCAACAGACTAAGAAATGCAAAAGAGAACGTCATGTAGGGCCTAACTGTGAAAGAAATCCAGAAGCTGTTTTACAGCTTGTCTTTAGAAGAACGCTGGAAAATGAGTTGAGTTGTTTCTCACAATCTAGGTCCTCTTAAAGCGCTTGCATGCATTGTGGTGCATTTCACTTCGCAGAGGAGGCTACAAATGGACATTTCAACGCATGTTGCCACAATGGACATGCCACAACCACAAGTAAATGACGAACTAACTGTTTTTACATGATTCGAACTTCATAAAAAACATAAGGCAATACAACAGTGCAATGGCTATTGCGTCGCTTTTCGCTACACAAAAAGAGATTCCGGGAAATGGGCCTTACTGTCTTAAAATTCAGGGACAAATTCATAGATATAGGGTGTATTTCTGACTTACCAGTGCCAAATGGGGAGTTGCCTCCATAATAATTAATAATAATTTTAACCTTTACATTTGGTTCTCAAAATGGAAACTATAACAGAATTCGTTAGATTACAAAACAAATCTTCAATTTTAAACTAAAAAATATGTGCAATGTTTGGCTGTATGATTTCAGCTCTGATTCGTCGTTCTCCGGGCTCAGGCCAAATTGTGTGCACGTTTCCATTTGTTAATATGTTGTGTTATTGATTTAATCATTATTTTACAATTGTATTTCATTGACACATCAGAAGCAACTAATATACGACTCCAACGGGGCAACGGAAGGAAAACCAAGATATAAAACAAGAAACACTGTTAATTTTAAGTAACATAAAATTGATAATTTTAAAAACATATTTCGAATATTTGTCTTTTTATATATGTTTTTTATTGTAGTCTAAATTAGGGGCTATGGCCCCTACAGGCCACTAGTTAATTATATTCTTATAACATTAAAAAATATGAATTCCGCTTTTTTCAAAAATGGCCGCTATTTTCCAATATGGTGGCTAACTTTGAAATTTCGAATGGAAACCATTGTATTTTATAACGGGTTTTGAATGTAAATTTTATTATACACGTCTTTACTCTTCACATATTTGCTCTAAAGCTATTCGTTTAAGAGCTTCAGTGTGTTACATTTGGGAAAAAGTGGCTTTCTCTCTACATTCTGATGGTTGTGTAGCTGAGTTACAAAACTTAGGCTGCATATGAGTGAATGACTTATAAAAAAAAAACGAAATAAATCTTTGAACTAAATTGTCATAGAAAAGTTAAGTCAAAGTGCCCCACACCCCTTTTTCAACCTAGGTAGCCATGTTCTTGATTAAATTGAAATTATTTTATGGCAACTTTATTGCGACTTTTACAATTTTCTTCCATAAGTTATTATTATGCCTACATGATTTGTAATAGCTTAGAAGAATAGTTGAATTTCAAAGTTTTAAATATTTAAGAGAAAATTGGAGCTAGTTAAATGTTTCTATCATGGGGGTAGGAAGAGTTTGTCCTTTTAATATTTCCAACATTGATAAGTTCTTGGTATTTATTGATTTTTAATGGCATAGAATCAACATTCTGTGAAATCCCTACTAATTCCCATGAATATGGTGGTCTAGCAGCTAAACATGAGCCATTATGCCAACTTGTAATAATTGAATACTATAGGCCCTAATTAATATGCTATCCACTGGACTTTATATCTTTGCAGATTATTTAGACTTCTTAGCCTAAGTTACTCTTATCAAAGATGTCAAAGCTCCTATACAAATTTAGTTTCAAACAATATTGTTTTTTTAGTCAAGTGTCAACCAATAAGATGCTAATCAATAAATGTATTATTTTCAGGATAAAAAACCAGACAAAACCGAAGAAAGAGAAAATAAGCCAACTGAAAAGGCTCAACAGGAAAAGTCTCTTGAGAAATTAGGGGCCATTCCAAAAAAACTCTATGATAAAAAAGGGAAAGATTCCAAATCAGCTTGTAAGAATAACAAAGGCCAAGCTGCTTCAGATGAACCTGATTCAACGGTTGAGGAGTATTTCAGTGACGATGAAGAAATGGAATTGTCAGAGTCTCAACATCACCCACTGTTGAAGAAACAACGTGCTGTTAAGGTCACCTATGAATTTGCTCAAGGTCCAACAACATCAGCTGAGGAGCAGTCAGAGGGGGCAACCGCAGACCCCGTGGTTCCTGAAGACGAATATTTTGAGCCATCTGAATTGTGTTTAATGCTCGAAACTAGATGCTTGGTTTTCAAAGGGATGTTTGATAAGCATGTGACTGAGGAGGAGAGACAAACGATTGATGAACTTTACTCTGGAAGGAATCTGAAAGTGGTGATCAGCAAGAGCGCAGCATCCGTTCATCTTTGCAACAGGAGCCAGGTGTGGATGGAGTTGTGGTGGGGAGTACCACTCCTCGTCCTGTCAATGGAGTACGACACTCCAGAGTTGTGGATCATCATCGCTGAACGATCCACAGGGCTTTTACTGTGCAAGGATACCATCAGTTGGCGGTCTGGGTGAGTCAAGCAAAAGTTAAAAATCCATGCATTTCATTTTGAGTAGCCTACAGTAGAACCTGGATTAATCACTAACCTTTTTACAATAAATTTCTGGTATCCATCACCCCGCTACAGTACTTAAGATTTTTTTAATGTGATTTGATTTTATTTCCCCGTACGATCATTGAACAAGTAGTCTATAACATACAAAATAACTTAACAGTTATTATTCACTTGTAAAGAGTTTAATTTAATCCAAAACATTTTAAATTAACTTACTTTACAGGTTTATAGCAGGGTTTCTGTTATCGGTCTATTCACTTATCTGTCACGCTTCCTTTCCCGAGTGTCATTCAATCAATCAAGAAATTTATTTAAAACAATAAATTACCAATGTTGTACATAGGTTACAAAAGTGCAAAAACCACAAATGGTTTGTCTGCACTAATAATATTGTTACTTATAAAATCAAAATGTAAAGTTTCGTCAGTTTGAATCAGTAGCATGGAGTTTTATGAGTCCTTCACTGTCTCTTGAGTAATTAACAGCAATTATAAAAAAAAAAACAACGATGACAAAAATATCATTAAAAGTTCAATGGTAACAATAATAAATAAACTATGAGGATAAATCAACTATAAATTTAACTAACAATGTATATAAATTAAATTAAAAATAATATACTGTATACAGGAGTGGCCCACGTAAGGTGTCTCAAACTGATTACGGAAAAACGGCTTAACGTACAAGGCTTAAAATGTTAAAATATTTTTTCGTTATTCCTTGGGGTAGATTTAGTGGGAAATTATTTGATTTCATCCTTCCCGTAATCAATTTGAGACACCTTACGTGACCCACTCTGTACATATAATAAATTAAATTTGTAACAAATCATTCCATACAAGTTCTTTATAATTATAAAAAAAATATTAACGATGACGTGGGAGATTATTAAAGCATTTTGTAACAAATACACTATCTTAGATATCGCCTGATTTTTCTCTTAGATCGCCTGATTATTTCTCTTAGATATCACATCATTTTTTTATCAGCTGTCTGATTGTTGCGAAATAGTCCTATTACTATGGCCTGTGTTAACAATTAACATGTGTTTATATGGAGAAAGAATGTTATTTGCTGATAAATCAAAAACTAAAAGAGATATAGGTATGGCTTAAATTTGAAAGTTGCTTGGAATAGCAAGACCTATAAAATGACGTGCTGTTTGACATATGATGCTATTTGAACTTTTGAGTTTTGGCTATGTAAATATTTTCGAAAACAAATTTTTAGATTTTTTATTTGTTTTTGAGATAATACATATTATAATATCTAATACCAGAATAAATATTTAGCTCAAAAGGAATGTGATATTTGAATCAGGGTAAAGATATCTGCAATTCCAAGAAAAATACAGGTTATTCCGTAAAAATCAAACTTTTTAAAAAAAGTGGCAGCCATTTTCAAACGGCTAAAGATAATTTTGTTCTGTTTTCAACAAAATGTTTCTTTTTAATAGGGCTTTCAAATTATCTATAATATGATATATGTTTGTATTTGATACTTCCAAGATTTAAACTAGTGACCCTCTGGTATTTAAAAACCCTTTATCCAAAAACATTACAAATATTTTTATGTTATTCTTTGGGGTTGATTTAGTGGGAAAAAATTTTATTGCATCGTTTTAAGACCACCGGTTTGTCTAAAATCAATTTTAGACACCTTACGCGAACGTGAACCACCCTGTATACACACTGTTAGCTAGCTGCTTGGACAAATATACACAATTTAAGGTTTGGTACATGTTTAAACTACGTTTAAGTGAGAACTGGGAAGAAACTTGCTAACACCAAAGAGCAGACCACAGAAAACGTACTACTATAACCTAGAATGCCAACCGCATGGTAAAAAGCATTAAGCGTTTTGAGAGAGCTTTGCCTGGCAATCTGTAGGCAGCGCCACCAGCGTTGCCATGCAATAGCATAGCAACGCTGGTGGCGCTGCCTACGGATTGACAGGCAAAGCTCTCTCAAAACGCTTAATGCTTTTTACCATGCGGTTGGCATTCTGGGTTATTGTAGTACGTTTTCTGTGGTAACACACACAACAAGAAAAGTAGTGGCAGGGGTGTTTCTAACTCATGACGATCTTGAGAATAGATGGATAGAATATTGTGCCCTCAGCAGTCACTTGATCCCCTCAAACATGTTTATGTTATCAGATACACACGGGAGAACACCACCTACCACGTGATGGAGATTTGCAACAAGCATTCTTCCAAGATGGCGCTTAACTTTGAGACTGAAGACGCCGCAGCAGACTTCTCATTGAATGTCAGTCTCTTTTTGTCTAAACTGGAGAACATGAATGTTTGCCCGGCCAAGTGCTGCGTAAATAAGTGGTTGGAAAACAGTTCGGATGAAGACAAGCGTTGCACTCCTTGCTGCTTGTTTCAGCTTCTCATCATGAGCGAAGAAGATTACCATCGTTACCTCGCATACCATCGGTACTTCGAGCCCCGGGTGCTCAACAGGGGTGGTTTTGGTGGCGACTGGTAGATTCTTAAAATAAGTCTTCCTCTGGAAAAGCAATCCTCTGAAAAATCAATGGAGCGTACGTCATTGTAATTTGATACACATATTTTTTTGCATGATAAGTTTGGTAGGCAAGAATTTAGGAATGGAATTAAATTCCCTTGAAAGGTTTTTTGGTCTTGAGTATTTTTAGATTGATTGTAAGATACATTTTACACCGTACTAAGAATTCTAACACATTATTACAACTTTGTCCCGAAATAGCCAATACATGCATTTATATTAATTCTTTGTCATCAGTTATTTATTAAAAAACAAGAAAATATTTTATTTTGTCTCTAAGATAAAATAAATTATAGAATCAAATACAACTTGAATATAATGGTTTCCTGATCAAAGTAAATACAGTACAGAGGCTATTGTCAAAATTAAAGATACAAGCAAACATTTAATTACAAGACGCGGTTCATTTATAACCTCTCAACAAACAGCTTATTATTAAGTAACATCCTGTAGAGTGTATTTTAGCAAAAATACCGAGATTCTTGGAAGGAGATTAAACCGAACTACTCCCAAAACAAGGTCGGTTAAAGTAATATTTTAAGAGCGAGGGCGGATAATGTGAGGTCGTTTACTAGGAGATCTCCTGTAATACCACCAGCGTTTTGAATGAAGGCCAGAGGATTTTTTTGCAGCAAGGTAATAAACTTGACAACGTTATGCCGGTTGCCTAAGAATTACATTTACTGTAGTTGTTTTTAGTCTATTATCTAGAGGCATTCTATTGTTTAAGAATTATCTATTTTTACTATGTTTTAAATATGCTTTATTTACAGCTTATCATTCACATTACCTCAAACATCACTTAACAGACATCACAATTAAGCATCACCTTACAATTGTTGTATTAATAAGCTATATTTCACTTGACTTGTTACTTTGATAATAAAAAAAAATGATTCTGTATCATAAGGATTAATTTCACACCCCATTTCATAATAGAGTAATTAAAAAATATTTAAAAACCTTGAACAAACAAACGTAGCTATAAATTGTTTGAATTGAATTTGGGAAACCCAAATGGACAAGTAGTGAAATGTAATGACGAGTCGAATACAAAAGTTCCACTATATACTGTTCCATTCTGTGGATTTTAATAAAAACAAAAAATGTAAGACAACAATTTAAAGTCAATAATTTAACACTTTAAACAGCTGAAAAAATAATGAAATTATATTTTTTCAACATTTAGAAGGTTATATCAATATATCATTATACAGGGTGGCTGAAAACTAACTTACACCCCTCCCCTTAACTTTTCAACCATTTACCATATTTGAAATCTTTTCGCATCAACCTTCTTAGATATGAGGGGCTACAAAAACTATGGTTAATTTTGAAAATTTTACCCTTAGGGGTAGTGGGGTTGGGTGGTAGCTCAAAATTTTCAAATGACAAGTATAGTCGAATTTGGCATCACCTTACAGGTCTTGACGAAAAATAAAAATTGACATAAAGAAAACCAAAATCGGCCCACTAGTAACAAAATGGCGCCCTAAAACGTTTCAAATCCAAATAACCATGAGGATGGCTGAAAATTAATTTGCAACCCCTTTAACTTTTAACAATTCGAGATATTTTAAATCGGTTTGCAGCAACTTGTTTGGATATGAAGGGCTACAGTAATTGTGGTCAGTTTTGAAAATTTTGCCTTTAGGGGTAGCGGGGGTGGGAGTTAGCTCAAAATTTTCAAAAAACAAGTATAGTCATGTTTGGTATCATTTTACAGGTCATGCCGAAACATAACGATTAACATGAATAAAATAGAAATCGGACCATTAATAACAAAATGGCAGTTCAAAACTACTTTTAATAACCGTTGTCTTAATAATTTTTTAGCTGCCATGTTGTTATTAATGGTCCGATTTCTAATTTCTTTATGTTAATTGTTATGTTTAGTCAAGACCTGTAAAATAGTACCAAACTCGACTATACTTGCTATTTAAAAAATTTTGAGCTACCCCTACCTTCACTACCCCTGAAGGAACAATTTTGGAACTTGACCATAACTATTGAAGCCTTTTCAGCCACCCTGTATGTATTAAAAAGACACAATTTGAAGTGGCAAAGTCGCAAGGGCAAGTAGTGTTATTACAGCTCTTTTGTTTGGAGGCAGCTAATGGCATTTGTGTACTTTTTTAAAAATACGAAAACTTGGTTACTGGGCTTTGAAAATATTTACTCCATTTTTGATGTACAGAAATAGGTTTCCAATTTATATTGTTTTGGTCTTCAATCCTATATATTTAATTTTCAATTAACAATAAGGAGCTGGTATCACCTCATTAAAATTTCTTTAAATAAGGAATAGATATGACATTTTAAAGGAGACATTTAAGTGAACATCTAATCAGGCAAATGGAAATTCCCATAGTCTGCAGGTTTGCTGCGGTGAGGTATTTGTATTACATAAGTATGTGTTTTAATACCGTACAGTGTATAGATTAATGAGAATTCATTAGTTTTGATTCAAAGTATATTATTTAATTCAGATACAGTTATAAAGCAAGAACCTTCAAAATATGTACAATTCAAAGTCAATAAACCATCAGATGTTAATTATAACATCTGCTTAATATTACAACATCTCTCCCTTTTAGTTGCCCTCGTATCTTTTCACAGGTTTTACTATTCTTCCAAACCTTGTTCTAACTTCTTCATTAGATTGGAGACTTGGTTGTGAATAAGAAGGATTTTTATTGTTTACAAACAACCTTGTATTGAAAGTTGGTGTACTGGTATTTCTAGAGACTTGTCTTGGTGCTTTCTGATTACTCTGATTAGTGTTGTTGGTTTGAGAGGTAGGGGTTTTGAGTAAGCTCCGTTCATTGTTTAAGTCTATAGAAGTTTTCGGAGACTGATCGTTATTTTTAGAGAAAGGAAGTAGAGTAATACTTGCTGATTGTTCAGGACTGGTTTGGCTTTTGTACGGAAACAAGTGGTATCTGTTTCGGCGGACTGTGTTTGTTTCAGTATTTACCCAATAAGATCTTGGCTCCAAAAATCAATATGATAAGCATTACGGTACCAGGGATTTACCCCAGTTGCAACAAGGACAAAAGGTGTGGATCAAAGATCTAAAACGTCAGTTTCAACATGGTTTACGTTTTTTGATTGACAAACTTTTGAGAAATGTCCAACTTTACCACAGAGTTTACATGTGTGGTTTCTAGCAGGGCACATATACTTTTGATGAGATGGAGTCAAACCACACCAAAAACAAGATTTGATATTTTATGAATGGCTTTAGTATTACTGGGTTTGTTAGGAAAAGTATCATTTTGTGAACTAAATTGATTAGTACTTTGGTTTGCATGGGAATGGTTGGAAAAGTTAGGATTCATTTTAGTGATTATGTCTACTTCAGAGTGGGATAGTTCATGCTTTTGCTTCTTTAGTTCCTCAGACTTCCGAATAGTGTTTACAGCAAAGTTAAGTTTTAGGTCATTTTCCAACTGAAGAGGATCGCTAAGGGGTTCGTCATGCATACCAATTATCAAGACCATTAAAATCATTTCCTCTTCAATCTGTCTCCATTCACAACTTTTTGCTAGAGAATGAAGAGCAGTTACAAAGTCTTCTATAGACTCTGTTGATCCTTGTTTAAGCTTTAAAAATTTAGCTCTTTCAAAAATTATATTCTTTTTTGGAATGAAATACTGTTCAAACTTATTCAAAACAACATTGTAATTGTTGATATCTGATTCATTTAGTTTAAATGAATCGAGTATTTGTTCTTCCTTTTCTCCCATGCAGTAAATAAGCATATCTACCTGTACGTGTTTTGCCGCTGGCTTCTTTAAGGCCACTCAATGAATGGTATCTTCCAAAACGTTTTCTCCATCTTGGCCATTCACTGGGTTTGAATGTAAAAGGTTCTGGTGGTTTCACATTTAGGGAAATTGCAGCTTCATGAGGTACATTAAGGGAAACATTAGGTTCAGTCCTACCGACTGCGCCATGTTTTAATACCGTACAGTGTATAGATTAATGAGAATTCATTAGTTTTGATTCAAAGTATATTATTTAATTCAGATACAGTTATAAAGCAAGAACCTTCCAAATATTTACAATTCAAAGTCAATAAACCATCAGATGTTAATTATAACATCTGCTTAATATTACAACAGTATGTTTTATCTCAACTGAGCAGAAGAACGAAACAGCTAGCGCTTCTGCGGCGATGAGAGGCAACTGCCACGGCCGCCTTTAACTCCAAGCCGCGGCCTTCGAGGTGGCAACGTCGCAAGTGGTGTTGTAACAGCTGTTTTGTTTGTAAGCAGCTAATGGTATTTTTGTATTTACGAAAGATTGTTTACTTGACTATGACAATATTGACTCCGCTTAAAATGTATAGATATAGATTTTTAATTCATATTGTTTCGGTTTTCAATTTTGTATGTATATTTTCAATATGTTAATAAATTTATGTTCATACATTTAAAATGAAATCAATAAAGTGCGAATTAATGAGCTGATGTCACCTGTCTGTCATGTTATCTTATGGGACGTCTGTCACTAAACAACACCACTTGCGACGTTGCCAATTCTACCAGGCCGCGGCCAGGTGGCCGTGCAACTGCCCTAGTGGTTTGTGTATTTGCCGCTAACAAATGTAGCGCTAGCAGTTTGCTTTGTCTCCGCTTGTTATCCACAGTAGTTTTTTATTTACTATTAATTTAAAGTGTATACCATTTTCGTCGCATCCGAACCTGGATGCGAACGTGGATCAGGTGCTCGAAATAATAAACACATTTACTTTAAGAAAAACCGCATTGGCATGCGGGAGTCGGTGAGGTAGGACGATGACTGTAGGTGTAGGTATAGAGAGTGTCAGGTGATCGAGGTAGCAGTGGGAACGAAAGGTGGTGTGATGGAAACAACCAATGGGGTTAGTTTATTCGATCAGGCCATATGACGTCACATCGTACGATATCTAACGGTACGTGTATCGAGTTAGCAAATTTAATACCTGTAACTATCTAAATCTGAATTGTAAATGTACAATTCATTTTATATTTAAATTAATACACTACAATTTTGAGACAAAACTGGGTTCAGCCAGAATAATAAAAATAAGTTATAAATAAAATGGCTCACAAAAAAAATGAAAGTGGGAGTATTTAACAAAGATAACGACGATAAACAACAAAGATAAAGTACGAGTTAACTCTGACACTGAATTTCAGCCCGTGAAAATCAGATCGTGCACACACAAAGATCGACTAGAACAACAGGGTGGATGAATTACATCAATGACAACATTTTGAATAAATTAACAACAATAACAACACTAACAGTGTAAAAATTAGCAACAATAACAATCAGTGTAAATAAAGTATCAAAAATGACAACATTGTACATAAATTAACAGCAATAGAATTTACTATATATAATAATAATAAACTATGGCAATAGCCAACAACATAATACATGTGACAAAAGCTAACACAACATAAAAACGCAAACACAAGAATGGCTCTGGGAAGTATGACACTTCACACTATGACGCCACCAAGGAACCACAGGAGACCACAAATCCCACCACGGGACACGAACAAGCACTGCCCTGCGTCTAGCGTGTGGCCCTTTAGAGGCACCACCAAGTAAATGAACAACTAACACTGCTGAGCGGAGAGAGAGCGGAGAGGTGTCAGAAGAGCAGCCCCTGGACATCACGGCTGAAAGATGTTGGTGATGGCCCAAAGAAAAGGTGTGAATAAGCCAGAGTGTTAGTTGATGACCCCCTTACTTCTTACTTACTTACTTCCGGTGTCCTCGTCACAATCGTTTGATCGGGGAGTCCTCAACTATCTTCCTTTTTCGGGGTTTTCTATGTTCAGGTTTCGTGTATTTATGTTTTATGTTTTGTGTATGTGTGCTCCTCTATGTATTCTTTTATTGAGTCGTACGGCCTTGCAGTTAGGTACAATTTTAATTTTTTTCAAAATTGGGCGTGTTTGATTTTCGGTGTTGGGGTAATTGATTGTAGAACATTGATACAGAGTATGTGGGTGTGTTGTTTGTTTTTTGAAGTCTGTGTTGAGGTATGTCTATGTTTATTTTACTTCTGGTGTTGTGGTTGTGCTGCGATTGTCTTAGGTTGGGATTGGATCGGATGGTAAGGATTATGGTTTCGCAGATATAGAGTGAGATTGATGTCATTATATTGAGTTGGATGAAAAGGGGCTTGTGATTGGTTTAATCTTCTGATCTTGTTATTGTTCTGATTGCTTTTTTTTGCAATGTGAAAAAGTTTTTCCATATTTTTTTTGAGCTGTAGATCCCCAAGCTGCAATTCCGTAGCGTAGATGTGAAGTGAATAATGAATGGTATGCTATGAGGGCTGTTTCTTGGTTGGTTATACTTCTTATTCTTCTTATAACAAATAATGCTGATGCCTGTTTTTTGCAGAGTTGATCAGTATGTTTGTTCCAGAGTTCCACCCAAATCAGACATTCTCACATGTAGCGTCATCTTTTTTCCTTACTCCAGTACCATCGACAGAAGTGGCCGACGTGATAAGGTCCTTAAAATCAAAGTCATCTTCAGGAGTCGACAACATCTCTTCAAAACTTCTTAAATCGTGTTCCCATCTTTTTCTTTGCCCTCTTGTTCATCTGATTAATTATTCTTTTGAAAATGGGAAGTTTCCCGACTTCTTGAAACAGTCGACGGTAAAACCGTTACACAAAAAAGGGAAAATGGACGAACTTAACTTGATGATTTCAGACAGATTCCTATCACTTTGACCTTTTCTAAGGTTTTTGAAAGGGCTCTGTGTTGAACAGATTGTGGTCTTTTATCAATCAAAACGACACTTTGTTTTCAAATCAGTTTGGTTTCATCAAGAATAAATCCACGGCTGATGCAATTGCAATGTTTGCTTTAACCAACAGAATATAGTTTAATATAGTTGGATAAAGGAGAAACAGCTGCAGGTATTTTCTTTGATCTTCGGTAGGCGTTTGACATACAATTCCGTCATTTTTTTAATGCCCTCCCAAATGATCTCAGGAGTGAAATGGACTTTCGTAATTTTAAGAGACAGCTTAAAGAGTTTTTAATTTGTATTTTTTCTTACAGTATTAAGGACTTTATTTGATAGTGAAAACAATGCAACCATGTTTATTTTGTTTACATATTGATTGTGACGCTTGCCAATGCCTGTATTTGGGTTTAAGGGCAATAAATATAATATAATTTAATTTCATTTCAGTGTCTTCGCTAAATCTCAGCAGTCTCGATATTCCATGGTTAAGGCGGGTATAATTTGACTTTCCATTGATTTAGGCCTATATGTAAAATACTCCAGAATCGACCATTTTGTAACCGATGTCATTAAGAAATTACCGTGATCGGCCATAAAATGATCGATCGGTATTTCTATGGCCATCAAAATCGATCCACTAGCTTGAGGATTAAACTCGAAAATGATGAGTAAAACAATACTTATTCCATATACTGTACTGACTAAATTGTATAGGGATAGGGGTAGACAATAAAAAGCCACTAATTTGAAAGTGAATTCTAAGAATAACTATAAAGTAGGCCTTCAATACTACCATTGTCTATAAAACATAAGTTTTACTTGGTTTTATAGTCAAAGTCAATAGTAATGCTTTAATAATTTATCTATAACTATAACTTTTGTTAGTCACGAAAATTTCTTGTTGGTGACGTGCGAATAGCCACTAATTGCTTGAAGAAAAGAAGAACTCACATTCTCCAGTTACTACTTCTAGTTTTCTTGAACCTAGGCCTATGCCTTGATTCTGATTGGAGGAAAAGCTCATTCCCAAATCCTATTTGCCAATCGCCATCGCCATTTTGTTCTCCTTCTTTCTCCAGGACACCGGCTTCTGAGTTGACTTGTAGCTTCTACATCTTTAAATCTTTTTCTCAGATCAAGTAAGTACTTATATATTTCTGTATTTTTATACAAATAAATATTCTTTACATCAATTATAATTCTTTAGTGATTTTAGTAACACAATTTCATTTAATTTGCTTTTAACTAGCCTATGTACAAAATCCCTGACCAAATCTTGGTTGGCCTGTTCCTAACTAGCCTACATTATTTTCCGCTTGTCGCTGAGGAATATTTATTTATATTTTCCGTTGAACAAATATTTGTTCTCATTACCTAGTGCATAATTAACCTATACTAGGATTGCTTATCTTGTAACTTGGGTATATTTCATTGGCCGGCCAAGCCTATCTTAGGCCTAGGGCCTATCACTGTTATGCAATCACCATTTTACACTGTTATGCAAGGCTTTTTGGATCATCTGCTAAGGGATACGTCTCTGTTAGGCCTACTCACGACAGTAATAACGTAATAACCTCTTGAGAAGTTCTTATTGTACAATTTTTGAAGTAGGCCTAGGCCTAACTAAACTTACCCTACTCAAGTCTTGATTTGGCCTCAGACTTAACCTAGGCCTAACCCTAGAGATTCTTTAGGTATTCTTAGGTAACTTATTCTCTTTTTAGTTATTCTCTAGACCTTTTCTTGTCTAGCTTAGCCTAAGTAATTTTTTCATTTTTCCGACCCTTTTCTGTCTTTAACTTAAGTTATCTCAGTTAATATCCATCAGATCCTAAAAGTTCTTGCATAAACTTATTACTTTATTACTTATTTACTTAGCTTGCTCTAACAGTAAATTTTAGTAGGCATAATTTTTTTTCTATTTTCCAGGCGTTTTTCGCGTGAATAAAAACCATCATTTTCAGAATCAGGGCAACTTAGTTCCTACATTTTGGAAAAAAGATTTAACGCTAGCAGTGGCCAACTGTCGTCTGGTGACGGTATGGGCCAAAATTATTTTAATGTAAAAAAAAAACACTTATACTGTAATCAACTCAGATGAGAACAATATATATACCATTCGAAAGATCACATTCTGAACTTTCATTTTATTTCATAAACAAACCCTGTAGGAGGTATATAACAATGTCACGACAATTAGAAATCAAATGAATTTTTGGCGCGGCACGACTTTTGCAGCCGACACCTGGGAACTGGCAAAACACGTCTTGTTTGGCATTACCCTGCTCGGGTAATTTTCGTCTTGGGATGTTTCGGGTGGTACCACTGGATAGCCATTGATTTTATCTTCATTTTGGTACTGATATTTAGAACTAAATATTGATTGGACAATTGGTACGATTTTATGAAAACAGCTGTTTTAAAAATTTATAACAAATGGCCAACCGTCGTCAGGTGACGGTATGGAAAATACAAATTACATTTAGTGTAAGTTATTATTACTAGTCATATAATATGTCATTTTGAAGAGGAAGAAATATAGATTGTGAGAGTGGCAGCCTTGCATTCAGGGTTTTTTCTGTCTGCTTACATGAAGACGACGGAAGTGAGTCATTACTGCTACAGTCTGTCTTGTAATCGCCATTGCCATTCCATTGTTTGTTTGTTGTTGCCGGTGAGTGTTCGCTCTCGTGCTATCATCTGCGATTTATTACTAAATACGTTATTAGTTCGTAGTGTTGGTGTTATTGAAGTTTTTGCGTGTGTATAACAGTAATCTTCATGCATTTTATAATGCATAAATATTACTGAATTGTGTGAAATAGTGTTCATAAATAAAATAATGTTGCAAGTGCGACCATTTTTGTTTATGTTTATGTCTCTATATAACACATAAAAAAATGGGCCTATACCCAAGGTGTTATAAATTTTTATAAAGGTAAATGAATACACTACAACATGTTTATATTGGTTTGGGGGTAAAAAATATTGTACAAAAGTTGTATACTAAATACTGTGATTTTTTTCACGAAATCGCTATAAAATATAAAAACATTATTTTAACTTATATTACATACGTTTATAGGTAAAAAAATATTTTTACCATAGACTTATGACTTTTTCTGATTCCTTACTTCATTAGCTTTACAAACATGTATATATCATTATTAGTATACACATATATTATATAACTTTTTATAACATAAACTAACACTGTACGGTTTTCAATTTTTTCTGTTCTCCGTTTGTTATTATATTTCGCCCTAAAATCGTATAAAAAAATATTATCCTAACTTTTTATATATTTCTATGTAGGGAATTAGATTGTCTACAAAATGTATATAATGAATTTCCCATAAAAATCCGTAGGAAAAAAAAAATACCGAGGCCGCTTTTGAAAAAAAAAAAATCAAAATTTTTTATTTTTTTATTTTTTTCACTGAAAAAATACACTGTCTAGATCATTATAAAATTACTATTTCTAGATTCTCCTGTTCTTTCCGAACACAATGAATATGAGGTTGGCTAGGTTTACTTGGTTGAATTTTTACGAATTTTCAAAAAAAGGTCTGCAAAATCGCCAAAATGGGTTGGCCATTCCCCACTTCTAACATTGGCCACTGCTAAAGGGTTAATCTTCTTAGCGTGCACTAAGAAGGTAAGAATTACCAAGAAGAATTACCCCTCGAGCTGGTGGTATTTTTATGCTGTGATGGCAAGGGGGTTTTTATGGGTCGTGCAACATTTTTTATAACACATTTTTATGCAGTAAATAAGTTTGTAAATACTGATAACTTATATCATTTTTTTCAACAAAAACCAGGAATAAGATTAAGTTAGGGCCTATATAAATTTTAGATATGAAATTTTAATGTAGGCTAGGCTACAAAAAAAGTTTTGGTAGTGTAACTATGCTATAGGCCTATTTAAGTTACTAAGTAGAAATATTTTTTATTTATATTCATATATATTCCGCATTATAACACAAATCAATTAACTCAAAATAATTTTTCAAAATAAGCCTACCGTATACAAATTGTGCACAATTTCATGAGGAAAAAAATGAGATAGCCTATAATATGTAGCTTGTTCGTATAAAATACATATTAAGATGACGGTTTCTATTACCATCTAGGCCTATCTATTCGTTGTACAACCTATAAGAATACTTGAAGCAATAAATTCAGGTCTAACTTCATACAAGAAATAATTTATAAAATACTCAAGTTATACTACATACCAATATCTTACATTTCAAGTTATATTAAATTTCAATAATAAATAAAACTTTTAACGCCAGAACACCGAAACTTACCAAACACAACGCGAAATAAACAACAACAGATTCCCGTAATAAGTGACTGCGTCATCATGACAATGTCGTCAGTTGATGCGTTATTTCCATAGAGTTTTAAGTTTTCCCAAATGCGTCCGAATAGTTTGAATTCACATCAATTGACAGATTAAACTTGTACATTTCAAGACCGAATAAATACTAGGCTATATTAAGTGAAATTTGTTTAATTTCCGTGCAAAAATCTGCAATTTCCATGACGTTGTTTTATAATGCGCCCGGTATCGGGCGCTCCCATTTCAGCCGCGGCGTAAATCGCTTGATATCGGGCGCATGCCAGCTCGAGGTTTAACATTGTTCATTGAGAGGAAAGGCAGGGAAAAGGTTCATTTGACGGAGGAAATTGGTAATTAGCTGGGAGGAATGGGGTGTTTACCCTTAAAAAGGGGATATTAGTTTGATATAGTTAAATTTGTTCACTAGCAACCTATACTTCCGTCATGTGGCACAACTGTGACGCCAGGCTTGTTGGAGCGTTGCTATTGGTCTGTGTTGGTGACGTCAGTCTTCATCTTAACGCCAGCCTTCGTCTTGACGCCATCCTTTGTCTTGAAGAGACCGTAAATGAATAAGCGATTGCAAAGCCTTTGGAATCGTCAATATAGTCAATGTATATACAGTAGAGTCCCGCAAACTCGGCACTCGATAACCCGGCAGTCTGGATAACTCGGCCATCACCTGGCTCAGAAAATTAGTGATTTTTTGAGTCTGAGTTAAACATGGACTCAAGTCAAATCATTCAAAACTCGTACCAAGGATTTATTGTACGATATCTGATGACTTAATACTGACTTGTAATATAAATATAAATAAATAAGGCAGCTAAAATTATTAAAAAATGTATTGTTCTTATTTTTAACCCTAGTTCCCGATAACCCGGCATTTCACAAACTCGGCACCCTTCCAGTCCACATTATGCTGAGTTTGCGGGACTCTACTGTATATATTTTCACTTATTGAGGCGTGTGGGGAGGGCAGGTCGGGGTATATGTTGATTCGTGGCATCATTTTGAGGTCCTGAAATGCCTGTCTGCAGGTTTGGTATGGTTCAAGGTTTTCCAAGATTCTGACAGCTTTCATCTACAGACGGTGAATCCGGCTCAAATTCTGTGATGATTTTCCTCCAGACTGGTAGACTATAGCGGATGTGGGATTCTACTAGTGAGAAATATGCGGTTTTAGCTGGTGCTAGTCCTGCAATCCACTTAACTCTTCGACATAAAAATACTTGTGCTAAATTTTTTGAAAAGTTTGTTGGTAGGCTTACATGTTCCGTCCAGGTGAACTTGCTGTCTAACGTAATGCCGAGGAATTTGGTCTGAGTTGCTTCTCTTAGATCTGCTGCATTTGTTACTTTGTCTATCTTTGTTGAGTGTGCATTTGTGTTGTATTGGTTGGATTAATGGACAGATAATTATTTCCACAGTATTCATTGGCTTGTTTAGCGAATGTTTATCTGCAGTACTGTTGCTGATTAGTAGAGCAGTGTCAATTTTTTTGACTTTACTATAGTTATCCATCTTAATAAAACAATCTAAATTTACTTAAGCATATTTCAATAACTAATCACATGTCAATAAGTAGGCCTACGGTAAATAAACCAATTTAGTAAGTTTGGCTTACCTATTTTGTATAGGTAAGTTATTTAAGTGATGGGTATAGGTGTAGGTAATTAGGTAGGCCTACTCTTTTAAACATTTAATACTTTATAGGCTCTTTAATTTTACAGTTTTTGGCTTTAAACATTTTAATTTAGTATATTATTGGTCTTCAGAAAATCTGTAA